TGGGAGCCAATGTTAGCTCTCCAAATAAAGCTTTGCAAACGCCCGCAGCGCAACCATTATAAACCCATGTCCAAGCACATGTTCGATACCAACGGCTGAGATAACCAACCATGAGGATCATGATAGTTTTCATCTGAAACAACCAAATTTACGTGATCATGTATCCGAATATAACCATCCCTTATTCCTTGTCGCCGCTTACATCTATCGAGATTACATTGCTATGCTGCTCGACAGAAGTTTAAATCTTGTGGTGAGTGGCAACTGAGCTCCACTGAATTTCAATCGTCGATGCAGACCTCGTTGGGGCTCCCTTGGAATCAAGCAACTCACGGGTCAGGCCAAATCAGGGTCTTCTTGTTGGTGTCACGAAGGCGGGCTAATTATGCAGGAAGCGTGAATATGCGCAAGAAACAGCTGTCACGGTCGATCTTCATCTTGTTTGGTCTCGGGCTTGGTATTCCCAACCTCATCCGTCTGAAGCTTGTGAAACTTGGTAGGTTGTCGAGGTTATAAACTTGCGACTCGATCATAAGTTTAGGATAGCCTTAGGGAATCATTGACCCTAAGTTTATCTCAATTATGCTAAACTTAGTAAAGTTCCGAAAGTATAGGACATTTTGATGTCGATGTTGCTGAAGTGAATTTCCATCTATCCACCCCTAGAAATAAGTAGGACTGATTCCCAGCGTTCACTGTTGAAACAAGGTTATTTATTTTCTTGATCCCGATTATCAGCCCAAACATTCTCATGATGATTAGTCTCGGATCCGTAACGAATATCAGGAGCATAATTCGCCTAACAAACGTTGCATCGATCCATCTGTACGAAGCATATCATAACTCAATTCCCAGCCATCTTGAAGCGAGCAAGTCTCGTTTTCGATCATGTTTCTCCATAATCTTCTCCCCAGTTAATCCCCCAAGAATTCCCATGCACGTTGTCGGCTTCTGATGCACAGATCAGCTCACATGTCGTGCATAACCAATCGTTATCCGACTATCTTCAACAGTTGCATTGTCATGATGCTCATGATCCGACTCTGAATCATTGAAGATACTGATGTCACTGATGCTGTATTCTATCCTTTGAGGCATTCCGCTTCGTAATCTCTCTAATCATGCTTATTTTCAACACTGGTCTCGATTTCATTGCATCTCCACTCGGCCGTTCTTAAATCGTCCGGATTCCCGTGACGCGCCATCAGTGTCGATACTTGCCTGATTAGTGGTACTTGATACTGGTATCCCTTTGTTGATAGTGACAGTCTAGTACACCATAGCCGCAATTCTTGCGGATGCTGCCGTCCATGGTCTATCCGTTAATCAATTTAATACCCAAAATTGCGTCTATTCTTAGTTACACTCCACCTCTAATCAAACTAAATTCATGTCTTTTAAACAAGCTTAATGCTCCAATCTTCGCCAATTTTGGCTCCAACTCGGCCCACAACCGCAAAGGCTGCGCGGCTGCCCTTGGTTGCATGATATTGAACCTTGGCCGTCCATGTTCGTCCCTCAGACTCAACCTGCACCTCCTTCTGGTCCCAGGTCTTGGGCGCACCGACAATGATGATCTTGTCGACATGCACCTTCTCCATGGCCTTCAGCCAAGGGCCAGCTTTGATAGACTTGGTGTCACGTCCCTCGGCCTCAATAGAAGTCAGGGTGTTTCCACTGAGCGTAAACTTGCGGTGAATGTATTGACCTTGCTCGTATTCAAACGAGTCGCCATCATCCACATAGAGCTCACCCTCAGCTGCGCCAGCTTTGGAGGCTGAGACAACAAGTGTGTAGTCATCGAATCGCATCAGAGCGCTTGATCGTCGGGGAATATCTCGTCGAGGAATGATATGACCACCTCGCAATAGAACAGGGATCTTGTCGAGGGGCGCGCTCACTGTGAGATACTTGCCCTTGCTTGTCTTTTGAACATCGTAGGTAAAGTAATCATAGTAGACCTCATCGTCGGGAATCCAGATATCAACAGACTCCTTGTTCTGTTCTGTAACTGGCTTCACCAAAAGACCAGTTGAGCCGACGAAGAACTGATCCTCAAGAGCAAAACCAGCCTCCTCAGACGGATGGGTCCAGAACATAGGTCGAATAATGGGGCTTCCGTCCTGGGCAGCATTGTAGAATGCAGTATACCAAGCAGGGAGAAGTGAGTATCGGAGTCGAATCGCGGCAGTTGCAATTGGCGTGTAATGTTCGCCCAGGAGGTAAGGCTCGCGACGGCGAGCATCAATGTGGGCATGAGCTCGGAAAAAGGGATACCAGATACCAGTCTGATACCAGCGGACGAGAAGGTCTTTCTCAGGATTACCAAAGAAGCCTCCAACATCAGCACCAGCAAAGGGGAACCCGGAAATTCCTTGGTTGATGGTCATGGGAATAGATGTAGCCAAGTGTCCCCAGTCAGCCTGGTTATCTCCGGTCCACATAGCACCAAGCTTTTGTGATCCGGCGTAGAAGGCTCGGGTTAGGATGAATGGTCGTCGAAGCTCACCCTTCTCACGGTGAAGGAGAGCCTGGAACGTCGCATTCTGGAAGGTCAAGCCGTTCAGGTTATGGACATCACGATGCTCCCATCCTCCGTGGTGAATATTGTCCTTGGGCATAGTCACCTCGGGTCCGTTGAAGACTGAGGGCTCGCTCATATCGTTCCACATCCAAGTGTTGGACATGGTTCCCTTGAACTTGTCAAACTTGAGCATAGTTTTCCACCATTCGATGGCCTTGGGGTTAAAGCAGTCGATCCAATTGGACGCTCCAGGCCAACACCATCCTTCATAGAGCTTCTGGTCCTTGTCATGAACGCCAAGGTCCTGAGCGACCAACTCCTCGGAAGCAGCATAGTTGTCGGTTTTCTTGATGTGAGGGTCAAGGAGAACAACTAGTTGTCGGCCATGAGCGTCGAGGTGCTCACCCATGTCGATGGGATCGGGAAACGAGTGAGGCTCCCAGGTAAAATACTTGCGATCATCTGTATACTCAAGGTCGAGCCAGATGACGTCGTATGGAATCTTATGCTTGTCCATGTTGCGATCAACGTTTCTAACATCGTCGCTGGAGATGTAGTTCCATCGGCATTGGTGGTAGGCAATTGCAAATTCCTGAGGCATAGCAGTATAGCCAGTCAACTCGCCGTAAGTCTTGGTGAGGTCCTGAGGAGTAGGGCCAAGAAGAACAAAGACATCCAGAAGCCCAGCCTCTGAGATCCAATGAGTATGAGTATTAGTCTTGCCACCAACCCCAAGGCTTAAAGGGTTCGCTTGGTTCTTGGCCTTGGTAATATCGACCCAAGTCTCAGCAACGTTGAACCAAAAAACACCAACTGATGAACCTTTGCGGTGCGCCTGCATGAAGGGAATGGAACCGTAAAGCGTCATTGGGCTATCGAGAATGTACTCGAAAACATCGGCGTTATACATACGATAGGGCTCGTCATAGTTGCCGTCTCCGCCACGGGTCTGCTTCAACGATAGAGGACCGGTGTGTTCAGGAATGCCAAACACATGCTCGTACCCATGGAAAGTGATGTCCAAAGCAACACTCTCGGGTCCTCGGGGTTTAGTGTCAGTGTTTCCACCGAAAGATTCCTCCCACCATGTACTCTCATCTTCAGCGGCTTCCTCGCCTTCCTTGTTCTCAATCTTGGGTCTCCAGTGCTCCATGTTAAGTAAACCGCGGTCGTTGAACTTGACATGCGAGTTGCCATCACGTCGGAAGTCGATCTCGAAAGGTGAAAATTTGATGATGGCTTCCTGCTTGGCCTCGGGTCCGTACTTGATGTTGATCTGGGACTTATCTTGGAAAGCAAGTTGTGCCTCCTTGTCAAGATCCAATCCACCGACAAGAACCCAATCGTCGGCCTCGTTGTATCTTTCCTTTCGAACAGGGCTATCGTCTCGCAAAACCACATCCTTGTTGCGTCGCTTCTCTTCGTCCATTGTGACTCGGGCGGCACCAGACTTGAGGAATGAGATTGTAAGGGGTAGGTGGACGATCCCTCCATGGCCATTGATGGCCTTGACAACCATGGCCTGCAATTTTCCATCCTCAAAAACTGTCGAATCGGCCGAGATCTCATATGGGGCTTTCCAGTTCGAGCCTTGGGCAACAGCGTTGTCGGCATAGGCGCGGTTTCGTTTGCAGAAGCCGGATTGGTCGCATTTCTTGAAGTCCTTGTCTTTGACGGCAACTGGGAAGATTGTGAGCAGGAAATTTGGTCAGTACCCACGTGAAAACTTACTAGCTGACTGAAAGAGGCACGTCAAGGTACCTAGCAGCAGCAATAGCGCCGTCCAGCGAAAGGACGACGCCATATTCGACCTCATGATGTTCAGACGGTCAGGAACCAAAGCTCAAGCACGGTGAAATAAATGAACGGGAAACTGGTCAATCAAATTGAGAAAACGCGTAGACGTTAGATATGGTCCCCTGGCCTATATCCTCTGTCTCGTCGCGGGTTGAAGTGAATGTTATTGTTGTTTATGCTGGGATAACCTCAGCTTTGATGATGTCGAAGTCAAGTCAAGCTGTCCCTTAGCTCCCCCTGTGAAACTCCATTCCGGATTGGGGTTGGTTTCAGACGCAGGGGAGTGGATACCGAGATGGCGGGGCACGCTTCGATAGAAGATTAGACCCGATAATGAAACATTTCAATTTCTCGACTTCTGAGCTCAGCTTTTGCGTCTATTGGATGCACTGTATGTTAGAAGCTCTTTTTTGATGCAGGTAGAGTTCATTTACACGCTTTGAGTTTTGTAAGTAGAGAATTTTCACTACTTTTTAAATTCTTTCTAGATTAATATTGTCTTATTTTGAGCTATGCTAACTCTCATAGTATCGTCCATTTTTCTTTTTCTCCAATCCTCTCCTTACTCCTGATCTCTTATTCAGTAATTTCTATATCTGTCCTCGACAACTAATTAAATCACGTGTCCGTGTGAAATCCCCGGATCTCGCACCCAAAGACCCCTCAACGCCAGCTCATCATGGCTGCTGAGGAGCCCCGCCAGCGAAAAGACCCCGCCGCCAGCGGCAAGAATTGGAAGCAGCAGCAGGTACGGAGAAGTGCGGAAAATCTGGCCCCGCGATTTTTTGCTCTTCTCTTCGCCCTCCTCGCCCTTTATATCCTCTTTTCACCGCCTTCTTCAAGCCTTTCCCCTCCAGTCGATCTCTCCTCTACCTCTACTTCTTACTCTGTTCCTACATCTAAAGTCATACCAGACAAGAACATCGCCAAAATGTCCTCCTCCGAGCAGACGTAAGCTACCCCGCCATCAAGCTTCACCCTACCATGGTTGATGCTTCTGTTTGGATGTTTTACTAACTTTGTTGTAGCTTCATCGCTATCAAGCCCGACGGTGTCCAGGTAAACAAACCTTGACGGTTATACTATTGACTTTACAAGAGCTGACAAGGCTCCCATAGCGTGGCCTCGTTGGTCCCATCATCTCTCGTTTCGAGAACCGAGGGTAAGCTGTCTTGTATATACTTGTTGCTACAGAGATTGACTTTTTATAGCTTCAAGCTTGCTGCCATCAAGCTTGTCAGCCCCGGCAAGGAGCACCTCGAGAAGCACTGTACGTCATTCCAACAAGTCGTTCGATATGTCAGTTCGTCCTAATATCTTTATAGATGCCGATCTCGCTGGCAAGGCTTTCTTCCCCGGTCTGATTGAGTGTATGGCTCCAAACCCGATTGATACAACCAACTCTAACCATATCTAGACATGTCCTCTGGCCCCATCTGCGCCATGGTCTGGGAGGGCCGTGATGCCGTCAAGACTGGCCGTTGTAAGTTTCACATCACCTGAACATTTTTGATGGTTTTCTAACTGCATGCCCAGCCATCCTCGGTGCCACCAACCCCCTTGCCTCTTCCCCCGGTACCATCCGTGGTGACTACGCCATCGACGTCGGCCGCAACGTCTGCCACGGCTCCGACTCCGTCGAGAACGCCCAGAAGGAGATTGCTCTCTGGTTCAAGGAGGGTGAGGTCCTCTCCTGGAAGTCCGCCCAGTTCAACTGGGTCTACGAGAAGGCTTAAATGTCAATGTTGTAACGCCCTGAATGACGGAATGGAAAAAGCACATACAAGTGGGATGACTTCATCTCTGTGGGTATAACAAAATCAAGACAAGATCTTCTCAAAACCTTCGTGGTTGTTTTCAGAGTGACTAAGGCTTGCTTGTGAATACTCCCTTGGCTCTCATGAGTACTCCGGCAAACCATGGCGTAGCCCATACACTGCCGATGATACGAACCGGCAGTAAAGCTTTAGTAATTGCGTATGCGAGAGCAACTTCAACTACCACTTTGTACCGTCCATCTCCACTATGCCAGCGCTCAACTGCATCCTCGGATTTGGAGTCCCGATGTGTCGTAGCTGCATTTGAAGCCTTGTCTTCTTCGTTCTGGCCAAAACCAAACCACCCCTTGCGTGTGAAGTACCTCTCAAAGCGACCAACTCCATCTTCGACATAGCTTCCAAAGTGGCCCGTTACGTATTCCACTGGCACGTAATTTGTATAATGGAAGAGGCCAAATAGTCCTAGCACAGGCACAATTGCTGTGATTTCATGAAGAATCAAGAATGAAACAATGTGCGAGACTGGAGCGTTGCGTAAACCGCTTGTGTACTTTTGTAAACGTCGAGGAAGCTTAGATGTGATGCGGTCGATACGGGAAGCTTGGGTTGACTCGGCGCGAGGATATGAGGTGTTCATGCGCGCAGGAGCGCGAGCACGGAGGCTGGGGCGCCAATTGAAAGATATCAAATTGCAACGCATATTGAGATCAAAAATCCAAGCTTGGGGGAGGCGCTTTGTTGGTAGCGTTAAGTAAATCAAGAGTTTCAGCAGTCGTCGTTGAATTCTATGTGGAGCTGCTGACGGATTGATTTGGCCCGCGTTCCGGCTAAAGTTCAGGGTAACCAGCTTGTCAACAAAGCAAAAAATTCGTCTGTTGTTTGCTTTGCATTTGTCGATCCGAACTTCTTTTGCGCGGTACAAAGGCTCAAAGGCTAAAGGTGTTGAGCTATGCTACTGGAAATACCATCGGGTTTTTTCATGAAAAGAGACGGACAACATTTATTCTTGTTGTGACGTTATCATATTGCGTGCTTCAGATAAGTCTAAAAGTTGAACTTCGAAGATGAAAAGATCACCATTAGAACCTGCGATATCACTTTGAAAGTATCTGCCAAAACTTCCACTAACACAAATCGTGAAGCTAAACTCTGGACTTCGGATCTTGGGGCAATGCCACTCTGCTCAGACACAAATAAATACAATTGAGTGAGGCCATCGTGGTCCTCGTGCTTCTTCGAACACCATTGATGGCCTCTCTTTCCACTATGGAATACTCACACACGTCAAACCCCAACAATCTCAATATGACGCGAGAGATCATTTGAACATGTTAAATACAAGTTCTGAAGGCAGGTAAGGCGCATTGACCGCGTCATCTGCATCTGTGTTCTTTCCTCTCCAGCCCAAGCCGCCTGTTCGTGATGGGCGGGCTCCTGCCCAAGACGCAAGACAGTGACCTCAGAGGCCCCCAACAAGGTCCTCAGAATGAAGCGGTTGTGGCAGAAAAAGAAGGAACCCAGTCAAAGTGCTTCCTCATGACAGAATACCAGTCTTTTAAGATTCTCCCCCATCTCTTCTCCTCTCTTCTCCTGTTCATCTTCCTTCATACACATCTGCATCTCCTCAGTTCTCACAAATCCTTCAATTTGCTGCCTCAAATCACTCATTCAATCTCAAAAGCTTACAAACCACCACCAGCACTACATTCCCGAACCAAACTCTCCATTCAAAAACATGATCTCTGTCAAGTTGGCGGCCATTGGTGCCCTTCTGGCAACTGCCCAAGCCCAGATTCGTCACCCCAATGAGGACCTCATTCTTGCCGATTGTGGCATTGGCAACAACAAAGCCCACCCTGGATGGTCTACTTCTCGCCAGGTGAACTGGTACCAGGACATTCAGTGGCCTGACGACGTCTCTAAGTTTCCTCCTCCACCCGACCTGGAGGTGGAAGTTCCGTACGCAGATGGAACTTACCCCTGGAATCCCAAGGGAACCACTGTCAAACTGTCTAACGGTGTCGTCTGGACAGCCTACATCAACCCCAGGATTGCTGACGGTCAACCAGCCGGGTCTGCCGTCACCACCAAGGAGGGTGGTCAAGAACTCACCTGCTATGCCTACCGTGGTCGCCCTGTCAGTGCAGCCATCAACACGACTGTCAACGCTGATGCAGTCTGCTTGACCGCCTTTGTCTGCAACCGTGATAACAGCGCCCCCCCTCGTCCCAGCGGCATGGAAAATCCAACTTCTACCCTGGAAACATCTTCTGCCCCCCCTGCCACGACTACATTTGTCTCGCAGCCGCCAGCGACACCTACTCCCACAGGTGGTGAACCAAACCCTCCAGCTGACCCCAATGCTGGCAAGCTGTTTGTGTCTATTCTCCTCAGCCCTCGTTTCATCAACTGGCCTAACACTTGGCAAGCCTTCATCGAGAAGTTTTCCTGGGATCGGGACTCTGGAAAGTGCGTTGGTGAGCCGGTGAAAGGGGATGGGTACACCATTAACATTGACTGTGCTGGCATCCAGATTGATTCTGACTCTCATCTGACGCTTATCATGATCAAAGCTCTCCATGACCTTGGCATGAACAGCACTTTCTTCAACCAGAACCCAACCGTGCCAGGAAAGCGCAACTCCACAGCAGATCATTGGGTAGTCATGCCTGAGTCTTTTAGTCTCCAGGCTATTGATGTTTCTCATCAGAAGACCATCGGCTATCTCGCATACAACACCACATACGACAACTTCCTCACTGGTCCATGCTCATCTTGCCAATCTGAGCGATTCAACAAGGAGTTCTTTGATCCGGTTCTGGAAGCCGTCAAGGGTACTTACCCTCTCTACAACAGCTACAACATTCAGGCTCAGTGCAGTCCCTGGATGGCATGCTGGTAAAATGGGACTGGAGTATCTTTTATCTGTATTCAGTGTGTAGTGAGTTTTACGGCGTATGGTGGTCATGTGGGTTATGAGGAATGAACAAGGGGATGATCAATTTTGGCGGCTCATATGGTATTACTTCCTTCGCTTCTCGACATGTATTTCAATGAGTTTACTCTACTCTATGATGAGCCATAATTAAATCATTCACTAGTGACAAGCACAACTGAAACCTTGGTAAAGATATTTACGTGACGAACCGAATGACGCCACTTCTCAAACCAGATGAATATCTCTCCAGGAGGACTCGCCAGTGATGTGCTCTCCAAACATAGCACCATGAACATAAGCGTCACCCACAAGCTGAAAGCAGCTGTCTGAGGGGCCTGATCTTCTAAGGACCAATGGGGCTGCACAGCCAGCGACGATCATGACTTTATCCCCGGCTTTGGTCTGAAGAGGAACTAGACATAAGTAACCTCGAATGGTTCTCGCAATACGTCTGCTTGCAGCAAGATTGACACGTAATAAGGCTTCGAAGGGAGCGGATATCTTGCCCCAAGAAGCGAACTTGGCGGCCTTCTCGGATTCAGTGTCAACTCGAACACTGGGGTCGTGGCGTAAGCCAAGTTCAAACAATAAGGGGATCATATCACCAGACTTGGGTAGGGTATGGGTAGAGTCTCGAGTGTTGGCCAGGGTCCAAAGTGGCTCTAAGGCATCGAATTGGTCGTATATAGATGGGTTCTTGTGCTGATAAGCGACCAGGGCTTGGATAGTGACAAGAAGCATCCACTTAGAGAAGGACTTGGCGAGATGTGATGGTGCGGGCCTCTGGGATAAATCGCAGTCCATAATAAGAGTCCGCCAGAAAGCTTCAACTATTGGTTGGCCCGTAGGTATATAGGTTGTGCCGCAGTGAAGAAGCATCTTCATCGTATCGTTAAACTTCCCTTGAATAACGTCAGACCAGCTCTCACCGAGCTCTTCGATTGTACCAAGGTGAGGACTAAACGTTCTGATGTTTAGATGGAGGAGAGACCTGTCGATTGTAAAGTCTGCTTCTTCCCCTGCAGCGGCATTGAATGGAAGCATCCTGGTATAGTTGGGGCCAAGAACGGGGATGTGAACTGTCTCGAAAGAGGGGATCCAGGTTGGTAAGTCAGCTGGCACGGCACGGCTGGTGATACCAGCGAGGGATAGCAGATGGAGGAATTTTGTTTCTCGAAAGAAGCTGATGCCCAGATCTATAAGGATGCCATTGTTTGGAGATTCGTAGTCTACAATGACGTCGAGTCGAGGTCTTCCTTTCGCACGCTCCATGAAGTTGGCTATTCCAAGCAGGGAGTAAACACGATCCCTGGGAATAGTGGCCTTAAAGCCAATGTTACTTAGCAATAGCTCCAGGAGCAACTTCTTAGGGTGGTCTTGGCGTATCCCAACAGAATAATCAATGCTTCTCAGAACCTCTTTGTACCGACTACTCTTGTCCTGGGCCCATTGGCGAGTAACATGAAGGCCAGCAGCGTGAACGAGAGAGTAGATTAGAGGCGCGGTTTCTGTACCAGAGCCCACAGTAAACAAACCGATAAGGGCACCGGACATGTTGATCAGCCCAGCTGTGTCGCCAACCGAATCCCATGTTGTCTCGTGATGACCGATGAGAACTCTCGGATTGCGAGAGAGGGCAACTTCTTGAAGCATCCAGACTCGTCCGAACCACGGTCTTGTGTAGATATCTCGAAGAGTTAACCAGTCGTTCTCGGTAAGATTTGGAAGGCCATTCCTTTTTAGAAGCTCGGGATCATCGATGATATAAGCATCGCCGTATGACTGAACCTTTCCCCATTCTATAATCTTAGACTCAGCCCCTTTCGCAATCGTTTGGACCAGCTCGACAGCCCTAGATGTTTTATCTGTGGCTAGACCAAGCCATATTATGGTCTCGAAAGCTCCGTTGTATATGATATCCATTATTGCTACTTGAGCAGAGCGCTCGGGGAGACTTTTCTGATTGATACAGATTCCATCGACCCAGAGGTACTGGCCTGGTCTTGAGATGCATAATTGTTTGATTGCATGGTGTAAATTTGGCAATACGGGGAATGGCTTTGAATTCAAAAGAATTACATTTTGATCAAAGATTGTGCTCTTTGTAACCGGACCCCACGTGTAAGAAAGGGCGATGTATGGCGGACATTCATCGAGTTTGAATGTATGGAGAGTGAGATCAGATGACGAGTTGGATGCTGAATCTGACAGGTGAATCAAGCGTATATGCTGATTAAAAATGCTATCGTCGTATTTGAACCCGAAAAGCGCCTGAGAGATGTTGAAAAGAGCTACCGAAAGTGAGTCGTGTATATATTGTGATGTTGTTACAAGGATGCTTCGGAGACGTTGAGCGTTGATGATGAGCGCCATTATTGTGGCACCAGCAGCTAGATGAGATGGCTGGACTTGAGCGAGCGACTGAGTACTAGATCTCAGTCCGACCCTCATTTTGGCAGGGAGTCGTGATGTTGACGACTCATCTACGAAAACCTCACGGCTTTGTTCGTTGTAAGTGTCAAGATGCGAGCTGTCGAATGTGCTTAGCCGCATTTGGTGACAGGGCATTATGCCAGCCTTAAAGCCGAAAAGATCGAGTACCTTGAATAAAGATTTGGAAAGCGATGCCATTACTTCCATTTGGTTGACATAAACATATCTTGTCCTGAAATGTATGAAACAAATTGTGTTGAAATTGACGGAATTTGTAAAAGAAGCTCAGTAACAAGCCTTATATAAGGGATGTTGGACTTTCTTCACAAGTGGACTGCCTTTGTAACACGGGTCTATTCGTTTCATCGCATTGGATTGCGAAGGGCTATACAGTCGCCATCGCCCGCAACGTGAAAGCCATCTGTCTCTAAGCCGGATTGCTTTCTATGTCTAATCATCAAGCCCATCCGAGTAGTACTCAAACTGTTTTGGCACTGGTGCATCTTGTCCACCTGGTCCATCTGGATCAACATCTTCGGTCTTTGCTTTCGAACCACTTCCAACCACCGTTGGTTGTACTGTTTGCGTAGCCTGTGCAGGTGCCGATAACAAATGTCCTCTCAACAACTTGGTCATCTCCCTCGCCCATTCCCACGGCCGTTCTTTTCCTCCCGGCAAACTGTTGAAGTATTCCCAGCCCATGATGCCTCCAAATGATCCATACCGCCCCCGTAACGTCGTGAGTACCATGTTGAGAGGGTTCATCGGCACATAGCCGCTTCCGTTCTCAGGATTGGTGACAAGTCCGATGACGATCTTCTCTGGTGGCCAGCCCTTGCGGACCATGAGATCGTACATTAGGGGATTACTGCAATCTCCCCAGCCGCAGTAGAATTGTGTGTTGTACCAGGCGATATCACGACCGCGCATGACTTCGAGAGCTTCGTAGTCAAACCCGCTGAGATTCTTGGTGAAGTCAAGAAGGGACATGGCGACTGGTGCAAGGGTGATGATGAAAGTTGGCCCGAAATCGCTGCGTAGACGGTCTATCAACCGCACAATTCCTCCCAGGGTCATTTCCTCTTCAACATCCAGATCCAGGCCGTCCAAACCACGCTCTCGAATCATGTCTTTTACAGGACCGTAGTACCGATCAAACATCTCTTGGTCAGCATCCAGGCGTGCATAGCTGCCCTTACAAGCACCACCCAGCATGCCCATCACCTTCACGCCCGAGGCTTGCAGCACACGTAGTTCAGCCCACATAGTCTGGAAAATGGGATGAGATGGGTGATAATCATTGAGCGTGATCTTTTGAGGATCGTCGTTGATGTGAATGGCGGCGACAATGACGTGGGTTATGGCGATGCCAGGTTGTGTGATGAGGGAGAGGGGCGAGATGAGATTTCCAGAGGAGTCATGATGAGTTTGATAATATGTGATCAACCGCGGTAAAGGGTTGGCGGAAGGGGGAAGAGGAGGCATCGTGTATTTGTTAGGTGAGGTTGTTGATGATGAGGATGAGCTGGCAACCTTGGAGCTTGTTGAAGCTATAAGCAGCCCCTGGAGCTTAGGTGGAGCTCCGCCGCTGAAGGTTTCGGTTCCAGCGGGTAGACAGCCACTAAACTTACAGCTGCAGGGTCCTTCATGTCTAGATCAGATTGGATTTCTATTCAACAACTTGATTAAGATTACTGCCTTTAGACTAACTGACAATGGGTATCTCTTTTCTTATACTAAAAGTCCTGAACTCGAGTTTGTTCCTTTTCCAAATCCTGCACCCTGACCTTTTTGCCAACACATCTTCCAGGATGCCAGATAGCAAAGAGCAAGACAGCCAATGCCACAGGAGCAAACTCCAGACAAGCAAAGAAGATCTCGTTCGAATACAAATGTCCTCCAAGGCCTTCAGCTGTCTCTGCTAGGCGGAAGCAGGTTCGAAGATATATCATGATAGTAGCCACTCCGAAAGCAACGCAGAACAAGCTGAGCTTCTTGCCGCGCGAACTAACCTCCCTTCGAGCGCGGAAAAGGAATGAAGCCGTGAGGATAACGAACACACCGAGGGAGAAAACCTGGTATGCCAAACCTCCGAGAAGAATGTTATTGGCGTCAGTTGGATCATCACGGTTCGACTGTCTCACGCCAATGAGAGCAGCACCAGTGATTTGCACAACCGTAGCAATAACATCAGAAGTGATAAAAAACCAAAGAATGAACTTTGGTGGCAAGAATGAATATCGTCTTCCAAGTCGTGGAATCAGTGCGGAGAGGATAGTGTACACGCCCGCGGCGAGAAACACAGGCGCTGTGACGATGAAGAAGTAGTTGAGGATAAAGTACAGCAGATGGTACGGATCCTTCTTGGCTGAGAGTGAGCGAGCAACATAGCCCACAATCTCAAAGAGAAGACCAATTGGGAATGTGATAAAGTACCAGCTGCGATAGCGGATTGTTTGAACGAGGTGGACGACGAGGAAGAGGGCGAACCACGCTGCTGCAAAGACGGCGAGAGAAAATGCGGGAGTGTAACCGTAAATGATTACAGGCGTATCCCACTCGCCATTAGGGTTGGGGAAGTTTGGGTCGACATAGCCATTAATTGGGCGTTCTCCTAAGTCTTGTTAATATCTATCATATGTCCAGTGCAATTGTAAACATACCAGAGCTGCTCATGACGAAGACGAGTGAAAAGTCAAAGCTAATACTTGATAATCACGAAATATTCAGATGTAACACAACGATCTTCAGCGGTTAACGTTGAATCTTTAAATCCTACGGCAGGACCCTTCACATTCAGCTTTGATATAAGCTTCTTTAGTCTATGGAGAGACGAGCGCCAAACCCCTGGTCCTGGCGCAAAGTCATGAATCATCATTTCGTAGCTATTCCCCAGAATGGAAATAGTGACCCTGGACCATGCACCCGTCAAAATCCCCAAGGGTCTCAATAATCGTTTACATTTGGCGAAAAACGGTCCCTGACGATTTGGTTTCCTTTTTGAGAAAGGGGACTTGTCTAGAAGACTCTACAATGTGGGAATGAAAGGCGCATGTCTTGGACAGTGACATTCATAGTCATAGGTAAACCCACTTGACAGAAACGAGATGACGTTTTGTGAATAAACAGACAGTACAGAGTAGTTATAGAAGATTGCTCGAAGTTCTTGTATGCTTGGGGGAAAGAAATAAACTCCATGGTCTGGTCAGATGAATTATTCCATAAAGATTAAGCATCTTGTGATGTAGAAGGGTCCTCCAGATCGGTCGAACCTCAAGGGAACTTCACATGAAAGGCCTAGTAGTCTTCTGCACAGACACTAAGAAATTAATCAACCGTTGTCAATTTCTTGGCATTGTCATTGACATTAGACCATAGCTGTCAAAGGCTGGGCTACTTAAGCGACCGTTGCCGAAAAGGCGAATCAGAAGCATTCCTTTAGATGACAACCTCGACTTTGAAGATGCTGAACAATGCTTTCTAATTGTGGGTTGAAGACCCTCTATCAACCGAGATCCGAGTTGAGTCTAATCTTCCCTGTATCTATCCCGAATACTACGCCAGTCTATGAACCTTTGACCAAATCATCACCCATGACCTCCTCGAAAATACCCTCTCTAACCTTCTGCAACTCCGTCCGGGCTTCATCCATCTCTTCACCCTTCCTCTCGAGCTCTTTACTCAAGTAATACTTCCTCTCTTTTGCCTTGCTCAAACAGTTGTTCAGAGCTGCTGTGCATCGCGCTACCTCCTGTCGACCACCAGTGATGTCTACCTTTCCCCAGACATCGCCCAGGTTAGAGGTGACCTCCATAGTGCGGGGATTGGCCTCGGGTGGCAGCTCAATCACATCCGCACCGAGCTGTACTAGCTGATCAACAGTTATCTTGCTCTGTTGAACGAGTTCCCTGCCCTTGTTCAGAGCTCGAAGATGATTCATGTCTCCTGATTGTAGAGCCCTGTCAACCTGTTGCAGTCCAGCTGTCATTGTCGCTGTCGCCTGCTCGAGCAGATCTAGTGCTTTTTGATGCAGTTCGAGGGCCGTCTTTGTAGCGACATAAGCAGCTAGTGCATTATTACTCTGCTGTTCCTTTGCGTCCTCTTCGGGAAAATCTGGCGTTGGGCCTGAAAAGATATCATCATAGATATCGTCAAGCTGCTTCTGAAGATCAAGGTAACCCTGCATGCTCTGGTCAAGGTCATTCTTTTTCCGAAGCTCTTCATCCAGTTTAGCCTTGACGCTCGAATTGCGTTCTGATGCCGAATGTGCCTGTTGAAGTGTGTTGTGGTAATTTTGCTCTTCCCTCTGAGCCTGACCTGTAAATGAGTTCTCTTTACCACTGGCTTTGTAAAGAAACTTCATTACATGGCCATCGCGGTATTTCTTATGTGACTCAAGGTCAGCTAAACGCTTGCGATCTAATCCATCGAGTTCTCGGTTAGAGTCTGATAATTGTGACTCAAGGTCTGAGACGATCTTTTGTTGTAGAGCAAGATCAGAGCGAATATGTTTCGTTTGCTCTAGCAGGCCTAATAACTCTGCTGTCCTTGGGAAGGCCGTTCTTATCGCGTCTTTGATATCCGGCATTTGGCTGTGAGAGTTGAATGGAGGTGGTGGGTTGGGTTCCATGACTGTAGCCATGATTGAGTTGGAGAAGAGTTCTTGAAACGTGAATGCACTTTCAGGCAGAGACTCATCAGATGACAATGAAATCAGATGATGCCTGACTGAACCAGCAAGGCATTTATAGCGGCAGAGAAAAAAATTCACTTGAAATAGAACAACTTGAAAGGGTAAGAATTTGCTTCAACTTAAGTTACTCAAATGTTTTGCTTCATACAAGATACAATAAACGCTTCAAGCGGAGGAAATAAGCCTTCATAAACCGCGCAGAATAAGGCAAGACATGAATCGAGCGCTGCAGGAGGATTCACTATCATGGCCCAAAATATATGCAATAAAGAGGCAGAACTGTGAAACCTGTTCGCCTCAAATTATTACTGCAGCCAATCATATTGCATCTTCTTGAAAAAACGACAAGCAAGAGGATTTTCGCGTGGCCTTATGCAGCAGGTAAGCCAGCGATCAAAACCTGGGATTATTCCATGCAGCTCTCTCACCTGCGGCATGACATCAGTGTACAATTATCGGGCGATTTAGGATGAACCAGGGTGTTGCATTCATGCCAAGCTACACGGCTCTGAGGAGTTTTTCCGGGTGACAACCTCGAATCTCCGAAACTACAGTAGACTACTATTTTGTTCCTCTTTCAATGCAGTCATGATAATCTCCATTATCGGGGTATAATGCGCCGCAATATCGGCTCTCGGATGAAACTGGAGAGTTGGCTTGGCGCAGGTCGGTCTGGGGGACATTCCGAGCCCTTGTGTCCTCCTCACTCTCCTTCTCTATCATTCATAAAGCGACCGTAGTCCTAGCGGGGATCTCTTCTCGGGCGAATTTATTTCGCTGGACTCGGATCTCCTTGGTGCTGGACAGGAGCCGATAGTGGTGCTGATGATAGGAGTCTCAAACTGGCCAGACCGGGTTGAAGATGTGGTTGGATAAAGAATACTTTGTGATCGTAATGTTGGACGCTATGTGAAATAAATGTTGTTCTCGCGGAACGCCAAAAGAAGTCGTAAGAAGTCGTTCTCATCACACTTGGCTGATCGTGCTTCAGAGAGTTCAGTCTTGTCAAGGACATGCTCGATCTTGCTCCGGATGAAGCTCTTGAGAGTCGCCTTGCTAACGGGAATTCCGCATACAGACTGGTGAGCGTCTATTGTATCTTCGCTGTCACGAAAGAACTGCAAGTCTTGCTCGCTGACTTTTTCAGGGTCCATAGCCGCCCAAGTGATCCAGTTTCGCTGGCAGAGCTCCTCCGAATCAATAAAGCTCGCTCTTAAAGTCTTGTTCTTCCTCGAGAAACAGATACGTAACATGCCGTCCAGCTCCTGTATGTTGGCGGCGGGCGTTTCTGGTCGCGGCTCCAGTCTCACTACAACGGATTCGACTTCGGGTGGCGGCGAGAAGTTGTTCTTGCCTACCTTGGCGATCAAGGCGACTTTGGAGGTGAATTGTGTGTTGACTGAAAGGCGAGAGTATAAGGAATCACCTGGCCGAGCGCATAACCGCAGTCCAAATTCTCGTTGGACCATAAGAATGCTGACGCGTGGAGGCCGAGGCAGAGAGATGAGCTTGGAGATGATGATGGACGAAATCTGGTACGGGGTATTGCTGATGCAAACGTCGAAGGGTGGGAGTGCTTCTGGGAGATCCAATTTGGCGAAATCGCCCATAATTATTTCCAACTTTTGCTGCTCGGGTTTGCCTTGGACTCTTTTCGTCAACTCGGCTCCCATGCGTATGTCGAGCTCCACGGCCTTGACCGCTTTGGCTTGTTCTAGTATACGCGTGGTGAGGACGCCGGTTCCAGGACCGATCTCAAGGACGGTGTCGGTGGGTTTGAGGTTTGCCTTTGCGACAATCATATCGGCGATGCCAGGGTTCTTCAAGATGTGCTGGCCAATATTCGTGTTGTATTTGAAGATGGACTTGCGAGCTTCAGGCTTATCGTAGGGCCCCTTACGGGGACCACCGCGCCTGCTATCCGACGATTTCGGCATTGCGTTCTTGACTATGAGTGAGACGGCAGGGTTTTCCTCTTATTTTTTTTTTTTGGTGGTGTACTGAAGCATCTCGTAGTGTGGGGCACCCCGCGATGATCTTTTTGGTGGGGCTGTGGCATCCGGAATAACTACAACTCCGTATACCCGGGTTTATGAGGCAGGCGTATGTAGAATGATTATCAATATCTCTCTAATAATACCTTGGCTATATCGAAAATACACAGCATTCTTAGAGAGTACTTGGTTTAAACCTTGAACTGTAATCTAGGTACATAGACAAGGACCTAAAGTCTGGCTCTAACTACCTATCTCGTATCACTTTATGGTTGGAGAGGAAAACTCAGGCACGAACTCGGTGCTAGAGCATAGTTCTTATCACTGAGATTGAACGCAATCCACATCTTGGTTTGTTTGGTCAACCGCCATAAACAATAAAAAGAACGACAAGTGATCGACAATGGCCTTCCAAGGTTGTAAAACTGATGCTCGTTGGTTGGTCTTTGAGTCAAGATGCCTGTGACGACTTTTCCGTGATTTGCCGACCCTTTGCCGTTAACGGAGCTTCCCTGCTTTGGTAGCTCCATCTTCAAACCTATAGTGCAACTTGTAGTATGAGGTAGAACCTCGCATCGCCAATCATTTCTCAAAGCAAATGGCTTCACCGAGAGCCCGTCTGCCTCGTGCAGGCAAGCTCGGGGTTTTGACACCGAGATCAAAGCCTCATGGTCTCTCAATATGCCCATTCTGCTGCATTACATCACGGCCGCGAATACGACCCCGTCGCGCTATCCTCGGAAAACGATTCTATACAGTGTCGACGAATCCTCGTGCCGAGCTTGAACAGCATCTTCTCGATATTCAGAAACTCGCACCGTCTTTAGTGAATCTTTCAAGATTGCAATTGGCACTACAGGGACTGCGACAAATACCGGGCCAGGAAGCTGTGAAGGTTGCGATCTTGGGACTGGCGCCTGGTTCAAAAGCGGGACAGACTGCGAAAAATGTTCTGAGGGTTTTAGTAACAGATCCGCTGCAGGATGAGCAAGAATGGGAGCGCCAATTGAAGGATCATGATCCGAAGAACCCTCTCATTGTTCGAATTCGGTCCACCGCGGAGCAGCAGAGTACTTTAACAGTCACCAAAACGAGTCTTTTGAGTGAGGTCAACGTATCCTCGGCGGAATGGAATAACCTCAACTTGGAGCTACTGTTCATGGAGACACATCTTCCCGAGTTCGCCAGAGATGAGCAAACCCGGGCTATCGAGGTCGAAGAAGCCGTTCTGGTTCCCAAGGTCGGCATTCCATCGGCGGAGGATCGAGTAACACCAGTTACTACACCTGTACACAGGGCCATTCTTGTTGGTGATGGGTTTGAAGGAGCTGTCAATGTCACATCGGTACCAATTGCTAAGGAGGAGGAGTCTGTGCTAAAAGTGGTTGATCTGAGAGGTGTTGACTCAACGCAGCTCGATGCACCGTTTGCGCTTGTTGATACAACACTTGCCGAGAGGGGAGTGTCACTCTTTCGTCAGAGCTCTAGCAATGCCATCGAGTATGAGCGGCTTTGGTTCAACAGTAACTTTCCTGCCTTGACGACATGGCTCAAGTCAGGAATCAGCTCTTCCGATGGCACCACGAAACCTGCAGTGCGAGGGCTCATTACTTCTTTGTTGAACAATATTTTGGCAAGATGCGAGGAGGAAAACCGTCGCGAAGTCAGGGAGACTTACCAGGCTACTCCTACCCTTAACGGTCAGGAGCCAGACCTCTCCCCTGTTCTGATTCAAGCAGCAGGCGCATGGTCACAGCAAGCTCATGCAGAGTTACAAGACGAGCTTGACTTGGCGTTCACAGGCCGAAGATGGCGAAAGTTAGGATGGTGGCAACTATTCTGGAGGGTTGATGACGTTGCCATGCTCACAAACGATATGCTCAACCAGCGATTCTTACCAACGGCAGAGCGAGAGCTTGTCTACCTAGCTGGAAAGATCGCCCAGGCTGCAAATGCTGACCAGCAATATCCTCAACCACACTCTGTGAACGATAACGACACAAAGCTCGAGCTGAAGCGACTTGGTCCAGGAGAGCTTGAACCACTGGTACCAGTGAACAATCGACCAGCACTACCAAAATGGCCTGGTCATATTGCCTTCACCCGAAGGTATCTCCAAAATGAGACTGTCCCTGCACTACAAGCTCTCGCACAACGCTTGGTTGTGCAGTCCTTAGGGACTTCTGGACTTACAACATCCCTCGCCGCTCTTCTCTATATCTCCTCCTTCTCCTCAACAGTCTATGAAGCCGGTGCTGTGGCAGCACTAGGTATAGTGTGGAGTTGCAGCCGGTTACAGAAGAAATGGGATGCAGCGCGAACATTCTGGGAAGGCGAAGTTCGAGAAGAAGGGCGCAAGGCTCTCCGAGGTGTTGAGGACAGTGTTGCAGAGGTTCTCAGCCACGAGAAGCAACAGGAAAAGCCAGTTGTAGACCATAAAGGTGATGAGATTAACGAGGTTCGCGAGTTGGTGGCCAAGGCCCATGAAGCTCTTGGACGAATAAAATAAAGGGGGAACCTGTACATTATGAAGTGAAAAGCATTGGACTTAGAAGGTGACGAGATACCAGGCGTAAGAGACGCCTTCATTTTTGTAATCTAGTCAATCTCAAAAACCCACCCTCTACTGTGAGGTCTTGCAAGCCTCACAGTGCATATCCCCCTTCTAGACTGATATCAACCTAAGCCTGTTCCACTCATTTTCCCAAAATCGAGGCATGCCCATAGCAAAAATCCAAGCCCGAACGCCAAAAACTCGCATATTTCTATTATGTCTTGTCTATCGTCCTCCTCGTCCACCTGCGCGCGCTCGGCTGACTGTCGCGCGACCTCTGGCAAGACCGACACCACGACCACGGACGTTTCGGCTGCGGAACATGGGGGCGTTGCGAAGCATGTCAGGAACGATGAAGAAGCGTACGTGTGAGCCGCGGATGTAAACTTGGTCGAGATGGGAAACGCGGCCGTCGCGAGCGGTGACGGTAATGTCCTTCAGTTGAACGTTCATGTTGTCCTCAGCTGCGATATGTCAGCGGAAATCCAACATTTCAAGACAATTGAAAAGGAATAACAAGGGAGGAGGCGTACCGTCGAGAAGCTTGCCACGGTAAGTTTGGCCAGAAGTGATCTCGAGGGTCACAATATGGCCCTACAAGACAAAGTTAGCTTGATAGCTCAATCAGGAGTGCGATATAAAGGAGTACGGACCTGCGCCTCATTCAGGAGCTTAATAGGAATACCGATTGTGGAAGTCATGGTTGCGGTTGGGTGTGGTTTTCGTGTTGTCGCGTGTACACAAGGCCGAGGCTGAGCTGGAGCTTGGTATATCGTGAAAATTGGCGAGGCTTGGTGGTGAGGGCCGTCGTAGAGGTGGAGAAGGGTTGATCCGGGCCCGGAAGAGCTTGATTGACACTGTGTAAAATATCTCAGTACGGCGGAGAATGCACAGTGCATGTATTTCACAGTTTCGGAGAGTATCATGTGCTTCATCCAAACAATTAAGAATCGACATGATGTTGAAACATACTATTCCCTTAATTGACGCCATAAACCTGAAAATACCATCCAAATAATCTGGGAATGCCACACGGAATTATAGAGTGTCTAACCACTTGTTCACTTTCGCCTTATTGCTGACTTGCTTTCTCTTATCAACATCCAACTTCTTCCCATGTTTCTTCTTCTCCTTCTGTTTTTTCGATGTAGTTGATTTCCGCTTCAGTGCATTGGAGCTCGATATCACTACGACAGTTTCTGTAGTGTCTCCTTCTGGTTGCAGCGCTCCACTCATCAACATGCTATCCTCGGTTGTCTTTGTTGAAACAACGAGTTGATCATTCTGCTGGCCGCATACTTCTTGTGTAGAGATTGGAGGATCACTGGTTGTTGGTGTCGTCACGGTAGAGCATGTTGACAACTCCGGAGCTTGACTGGATCCTTGGCTGGTCGCCTCATTGACACCCATGGATTGGTAATGAATGTATCCGCCTTGAACATTCGGCACAATCGAATTTCTTCCAGTTGGCGGTATTGATGAGATGTCCTCAAATGAGATATATCGAGCTCGATAGTAGTACAGTCCCGAGTTGTGGAGAGCCCATTCCGACCACCGAGATCGCCCAGGCAATGACCCAATGGCCTTCGATGCAGGAGTTGAGGGTTGGGGCTCATGCGCAGTGTGTATGTTGTTCACCATATTCGTGATGCGGCGGTCGCTTAGCACTCCAGAACGGAAATAAAGGCACAAGAACACGGGTACGTTGAAGAGATATAATCCAGGGATATCCCTCCAAGCAAAAGACAGTTGCGCCGGGCCGCAAACTCGAGGTTCGCAGATTATCCTAACGCATTTCCTCACCCGACAGCCTCACTCTTCTCGCTGGGTGCCGAAAGGAAGCCTGCATGCAGGAGACACAAAAAGCGACCTCTCGTGTTTCCAGGAACCCGTGGGTCGTCGAAGTATGGTCAAGGAGTCCCTGATTGGGTAAAAGATGAGCAGATTGTTCATATAGTTGGCTGAGAATCGTAAAGGCGTGTTTTGTGAAAGCTATGAGCGTTGGACAGGTGTCACTGCATCTGCCAATTGAACAGCTGCACTTTGACTAATCCTGCGAGGTACCTGATCTGGCAAGTCGACCATGGATGGCCTCAGTAAAGTCCGCCTTGTCAGCTGCCTGTCGCGTGCGGCGGAATTTCGAACCAGAATGGACGCATGAAGTAAGAATATGGTCTTTGCGAATAGGCGTTTTGTAATTGAGGTGACGAACATCACAATGATAACAATCACAATGCTGACTGAAGGCATAGCCATCGATTGGACAGTAGCAAATTTGTTCGGAGATATTGATATGTTGAACTTACAACCGCTTATCAGCGATTCTGTTATTATTGCTTCTCTGCAGTCTCCTCGACCACTCCCTCTTTCTGGGTATCATTCTCTTGCTTCTGCTTCTTCTTTGCTGCCAGCTTTTCCCGTGTTTGTTGCTTGCGAGCCTGCCTGTTGAGGCTCCCAATCACTCCACCCTCTTTTCCGCATGGCCACTTTGCCTCAGCTGCTGCTTCATCCTCCTCAGTCCACTCTCGAGGCAGAACAGCGAAGGTGAGATATGACGTGTGAGTCTTGAGATCGTTCTCAGGTCTATGGTAGAGATTGCCATGCATCCATGGTTTGCTATCTTCAGCAGCCTTTCCATTAGCGTCGGTCTTGGGTGAATTTGAGGCAGGAGTATCGACATCCATTGCTGATGAGTCGTCATCGCCGTTCGTCGACTTGAAATGCACCTTATGGAATTCTTTCGTCTTTCGATTAATCTCCTTGAGCCTTTGCATGGCCTCCTTCACATTGGCTGGTGTTTGGACGTTGCCCCTTTCCGCAGGAAGATTTGCTCCGACTCGCTCACGAATAGTGTTGATTCGTCGAGCTGAGATTTCCACCATGTCAATGTCCTTCCAGCCAAGAAGCCGGAGCTCCTCAATTGTTCGTGTAACTTGCTCAATACAAGGAGAGAAGGTACAAATATGGACACTTCTTTTGGGGTCCAGAGGTGAGACCCATTCAGGGGTGTCAGCACCCTCATTCTCCTTCTTTGGCTTATCGGGCTTCTGTCTTGAAAGGTGATGAAGCGCTTCCCAAGGCGCAGGGAGATCGAGAAAGACTGATGTTGCTTGGGGAGACTTTCCGTCCACGTTGAATCCTTCCCCATAAACATCACGATGTGTCAATTGCACGACACCATCCAGCTTATGCTCGTGAATCTCTTCTTGCATCTTAATATATCGGGGCTCGTGGTATTCGAAACTGAAAACCTTTCCCTTCTTATCGTTCTCGTCCTTGGGGTAGCCATTATATACAGCACGCGCAGAGGCGTGTGTAAAGCTTCCACTTCCGGCTCCAGCTTCGATGATTCGTGTACCAGGAACTGCTCGTATTCTTTGAAGGATATAGCTATAATCGGGAGTATACACGACTTGAGTTCGGTGAGGCAGACTGCTTGTCCAGAGCTCGGGAGTCGGTCTAAGGATATGGATAAAACCACTTGCAGCTGCGACAGCTTTTTTGGCAGGCTTAGACGTCAGATCTGCAACATCATCGTCTGGACCAGTCGTTGTCGGTGTATCATCATCTGTCGCTTCGCGGCGGCGCTTTCGCCCTCTTGAGCCAGTGTCGACATTTGATGCACGGACTTGAGATCCCCAAGGAATCCCAAGAAGTGTCGAGTGAGGAAAAGATCCGAATCGCGTGTTCAAAGTTGCACCTTCGAGGTATCCATCGACTGCGCCAGTCGACTGTTCCAGTGTAACGGGTTGAAGGTTATCTCTGGAGAGAAGAACAATTGCCAAGTCGCCAGTGGAAGTTGTAGTTCCTGGTTCCAGGAAAGGCGATGGTTGAACCATTGATGCGACTGCACGCACGGGCGTGTCTTGAAGGATCGAGTTGGTATAAGGTAGGTAAAGATTAGACTAGATTTGCAAAGACGAGGCAGAAAAATATTTCCAAGATACGCGCGAGGCTGAACGATTAGCGTTGTCCCCACTGAAAGCCTTAGTGAGGGGCACTCAATGTGACACTAAAAATGATCATGGACCAGGTTATTGGACAGACTTTGCGGGGACCTCAGGTGCTGGTCCCCTGTAGCTCCCCTGTAGCTCAGGGCAGGTCTCGAGTGACTCAAAAAGTGATCTATGGCGTCTTTCTCTCCCTTTGACTCGTCTGTGACTCAGGCCTCTCGTTGTAGTAGACATTTGTCTTGTTCTAAGGTCCAGTACCTTACCTTGCATATACACCTCCTTTTCTCCCCTACGATACCCTCCCTCTCCTCTTCTTTTTCTCATTTTCCCCATTCGTCTTGGCTTTTGGTGTCTGTATGAATCTCTTTCGACAACGTCTTATTCGATCCAAAATCCCCACTCCGTTCTCAACACCTCGACTGCGACCCCTCCATCGATTGTATTCGTCTCTATCCAGCTCCAACACGAGCACAATGGAGTCGCTAAAGCTCTATAACTCGCTCAAGCCTGGCGCTCCAGTGCCATTTGTTCCTATTGAGAAGGGCAAAGTTTCTTGGTATGCTTGCGGTCCTACTGTGTACGACAAGAGTCACTTGGGCCATGCTCGCAACTATGTCTCTACAGACATTATTCGTCGCATTCTGATGCATTACTTTGGCTTTGATGTCAAGTTTGTCATGAATATTACCGACATCGACGACAAGGTATGAAGTATAGCATGCTGGACACTATGCGACTTGTCTAAATCTCGACAGATCATCATCAAGGCACGACGACAACGATTGCTCGAGCTCGAGAAGAACAAAAACTACACAACGGACGAACTTCGAGACTTGGCGCTTGCTGCTTTCCGAGCATATGCTAAGAACAGCTTGCCTTTGCTGCTCAAGGATGGAGAGGACATCGATGCGACCAACTATGCTCAGCGAAGAGAAGCAGGATATGGACACGTGCTTGCGGGCGGTACCATTTCTGGTGAGGGAAAGCCTGGCGACGATGAGGCTAAGGTCAAGATGCACCTCAGCAACATGACTGCTGCTGCTGAAGCTATCGCGTCTGGTGAGATCTTCCCCGGCACCGACGAGATTCTATTGCCCTACCTCGATTCGCTTTACAAGGAAACCATCGACACGAGGGATCAGACCATGTTCACAGATCTGACTCAGAGCATGGAGAAGCTATTTATGGACGACATGGATGCGCTCAACGTACTACGACCTGACGTTGTCACTCGAGTTACTGAGTACGTTCCCCAAATCGCCGATTTCGTCAAAAAAATTGTCGACAAGGGATTCGCATACGAATCTGAGGGATCTGTATACTTTGATATCTCTGCCTTTGAGCAAGCTGGAAATACTTATGCGCGACTGCGTCCTGACAACCGAAATGACAAGTCTCTTCAGGAGGAGGGCGAGGGTTCTCTCTCAAAAAACCTTGGTGGGAAGAAGAATCCCGGCGACTTTGCTCTTTGGAAGAAGTCTAAGGCTGGTGAGCCCTTCTGGCCTAGCCCCTGGGGAGAAGGACGTCCTGGATGGCATATTGAGTAAGTCCGAATCAACCAAGCGCGACTTGGAAATGAGCTAACATGTGAATTCAAGGTGCTCGGTTATGTGCAGTGATGTTCTAGGAGCAACAATTGACATCCACTCTGGAGGTATCGACCTGGCATTCCCTCATCACGACAATGAGTTGGCACAGAGCGAGGCTTACTTCTGCGAGCATGGTAAGGGCGAGCACACTTGGGTAAACTACTTTATCCACATGGGTCACTTGTCCATCTCTGGATCCAAGATGTCCAAGTCTCTCAAGAACTTCCAAACTATCCAGGATGCATTGGCTACGAACTACTCTTCAAGAGGAATGCGAATCGTGTTTTTGATGGGCCGATGGAATGATGGTGTTGAAATTTCACCGGATATGCGATTGCAAGCTGACAACTGGGAGTCAACTGTCAGCGTGAGTATGACTCAGATCTTGATCGAACATGACTGACATATGACAGAACTTCTTCATCAACGTCAAGGCATTGCTCGCTGAGGCTGGTATTTCACATGATGTAAAGTCTTTGTCTCTTAGCGCAGATGGCAAGGTTAACGAGGGTCTCTTGGCTGAGCTCGAGCAAGCCAAGAAGGACTTTGAGGCTGCTTTAGTCAACTCAATCGACACACCTAAGGCTATGTCTGTTATCCTCAAGTTGGTCAACACTGCCAACGTTCACTTGAGAGACAACAAGGACGCTGATCTTGTGGCTCTTGAGTCTATTGCACGCTGGATCACCAAGATTGTGGGTATCTTTGGTCTCGATTCCAATGCTTCGCCCCCATATGAAGGTCTTGGGTGGGCCACAGTCATCGCCTCAGATGTTGAGCCAAAGACAGCTGTTCAGCCCTACACCGATGTCTTCGCCAAGGTCAAGTCAGATGTTTCTGGTCTGTCTCTGCAGAGCGCCGAGATTTCTTCATTGCTTGAGCAGAACCCCACTGCCGAGTTCGAGTCGATCGCTTCTGGTGGCTCTCGCGACCCTGAGCAATTGGCTTTGCCTTACCTTCGCGCCGTCTCTAAGCTTCGAGATGAGCTGCGTCGCATTGTTTCTAACCAAACACCTGATACCAAGAAGGCTATTCTTGCCTTGACTGATCGCATTCGCGACGAGGACCTCACAAACCTAGGCGTTTACTTGGACGACAGACCCGATGGTCAAGCTTCTCTAATCAAGTTCATCCCGGCTGCTGAACTGATTGCTGCGCGTGAGGAGAAAGCCGCTCAAGCTGCCGAAAAGGCGCGAAAGAAGGAAGAGGCTCGTCTTGCACGTGAGAAGGCCGATCAAGAAGCTCGTGAGAAGGCCAAGGTCAGACCCGAGGATCTCTTCAAGGGTGACGAGAGATATAGTGCTTGGGATGAGCAAGGGCTGCCCACTAAGATGAAAGATGGCAGTGATGTGCCCAAGAGCCAATTGAAGGGTTTGAAGAAGCAATGGGACCGACAGAAGAAGGTGCACGATGACCTCAAGGCTAAGGGACTGTTGTAGAGATAGGAAGTGGTGTTGATGTGGGTAACCTATCTAGTATCTAGAAGGAGGAGTTCGGGGGCGAAAACAAAAGAATTTCAAGGCTTGATTATTGCACATTGACAATTACACATGAATGACCACATCTGGCTGCATGTCGTTGTACGCTCCTGTGATAAGGAATGCAGCACGCCTTTGCTTGAGATGGGGGTTAAATGTCGTGATAGCATGGTGGCATTGAGCAAACAAATCCGGCACTTATACCCGGGATACTTGGCAGCGAAATATTGATGCCAGAAGCTCGTTAGGCGAAGTTCATACTGATGCCAGGGAAGCAGGATGCTTGTGTCTCTTGCGAGTATTTGGGCTAGTTGCAAGCCATTTCTGCAACAGCATACAAACAGCTAAGTCCATAAACATCTAGACTATTTAACAAGATGAAGACATGCACTCTAATATGACAGAATCTTTTAAACTGCAGCAATTGATGCATATCGATCAATAAATTCCCTTCGGAAATATAGGTTGCAAGGATAAGCTCGTTGGTCAATTGCGTGATGGGCACTATAGATGGCACAAAACTCCACTATCCCACATCACGCTCCTTGGTTCGGCGAACTCGAGATATCTTTACTTGTTAGGAATTGGCAATTGCTGGCTTTTACTGGTAAAGAGACAACAGTGGAGTTCAATGGCGATGAGAAAGATCGGGTTGTCGCGTGGGATGTCGCAGGAATAAAGAGGGCGATCGCCCGCGGATCTTGGCTCAAGTTCTCCAGCAATTACCTTCCAACTGTCTATCTAAGTTTAAGTTTTATCTTATACTCAGGTTTCAAAATGGAGAAGAACTTTGATGAGACAGTTGTTGGTAGCCAAGATGGTAGTTCCAGTGATCTGGAGCACATCGAGGTTGACTGGACTGAGGAAGAGGAAGCGAAACTCCTTCGCAAGTAAGAAACCACACAGAAACTAAGGGTTATGCTCCAATACTAACTTTGAATCTTCCCCTAGGGTCGACTTTACTATTATGCCACTCTTAGTCCTTGGCTTCTTCGCCCTTCAACTCGATCGAGGAAACATGTACGCTTATACCGACGCTCGACTATATACTCGACTAACATAACTCTAGTGGAAATGCTCTTACAGACTTTTTCCTAGCTGATGTTGGGATTACTCAAAGTCAGTTCAATGTTGGACAGCAGCTTTTATCTGCGGGTATTGTCTTGCTTGAGGTTTGTTTCCAGAGTATATGTGTTGATAAGTGTTGCTAACGATGGTTAGATCCCTAGCAACTTTATCCTTTACCGTGTTGGACCTTCAAAGTGGATTGGATCCCAGATCATTGCATGGTACAATCGCCCCAACGTCTCCTTTCTAACATTATCTAATGTCTTATAGGGGTCTCGTTGCCACATTTCAGGCCTTCCAGAAAGGTCTCGGCGCTTTCCTTTCCACTCGACTTCTTCTTGGGTATGTCCGTCCCTAGATATGTTTCAAATGTTTTCTAATACTTGGTTAGTCTTTGTGAAGCTGGCTTCATTCCTGCTGGACTGTATACAATTACTCGATGGTACAAACGCGACGAGACCAGCAAGCGATTCTCCATCTACTTCCTTGGTAACATGATTGCTTCTGGTGCATCAGGTCTCATCGCATATGGAATGTAAGCATGACTTTGACTGTAACCTTCTTTATTCCCTTGCTGATCAAGGCAGTCTTCACATGCGAGGTATTGGTGGACTTGGAGGTTGGCAATGGCTTTTCATCGTAAGTCAACGCATACCTGACCTATCATATCTAAACTAACAATACCAGCTTGAGGGTATCTTCACCATCCTCGTTGGAATTCTCTTCATTGTATTCTTCCCCGACAGTCCCTTCAACCCCATCTCAATCTTCAAGTTCGGTGTCTTTACTGAGCGGGAGAAAGAGATCCTCACAAAGAGAATTCTCAAGGATGATCCTTCCAAGATTCACGCAAAGCCAAACGTCACTAGAGAAGAGTTCCGCAATGTGGTATGTGTCTTCTCTTGAGTATTATATCGTAGTTTTCTGACGGTTGCAGATGACAAACTGGAGACTCATTCCTCATATTCTACTCACTATCAGTGCTCTCGCGCCCGCGACAACTATGGGCTCCTACTCGCCAAGCCTTGTAAAGTCATTCGGTTATGAAAGACTCAAGTCTAATGCACTTGTGTCAATTGGATCTTGGGCTCTTGTTGTAACTAATCTGCTATGGGGTTATCTTGGGTAGGAAACATCCTTATTCATCACTTAACACCTTGTGCTAACTCCACTCAGTGATAAACTTCAAATGCGTGGCCCTCTGGTTGCATTTGGAATCTTTATGTTCTGGGCATTCACAGTAAGTAGCTCTCTTCAACACTTATTCATGCATCGCTGACTCGTTAGATCGCTGATCGTGTCATGGTGTTTTCACCTGATGGGCATACACGGTTCGCTCTCTTGACATTAACACATGCTTTTGGATGGCAATGGCGTAAGTTGAACCACAAGGCCAACAAATGCCCGTTATACTGATATTCTCATAGATCCCCTGAATGGTTCTTGGATGTCTCTCAACGCTGGTTCTGCTGGAGAGAGATCCATCACCATGGCCATCCTCATCATGTCAGCCAACACATCTGGCATTATTGGAAGTCAACTCTTCCAAGAGCACGATGCTCCTCTTTACAAGACAGGCTGGACCGCTATCATGGCTCTAGCCTCTGTTGGTCTTGTCATGGCTATTATTGCGAACTTGCAGTACTACTTCCTCAATGGTCGACGGATAGGTCGCAAGGGACTGAAGTATAGTCCTTAAGTGCATGAGAGAATATCCATTTGTTCGTCAGATCATAGCTTTGGTTCACAGTGGAAATATTGTAACTTGGCTGTCTGAACTTTTGATCAATTATTAGACTATCATTAGGGAATCATGAACTAAAGTACAATTCTGTGCCTTTACTGGGTCTCCTTCTTGGCGTCCTTCTTAGCCTCACCAGCAATCTCTTGAGCCTTCTCAGACTTCTTCTCCAAAACCTGTCGCAGTTCCTCAATAGTCTCCTTGAACAACTTCTCGCCCTGCTCCTTGTGCTTGTCCGCAACCTCGCTCAACTGCTGCAGCTTCTCCACGACCTCGCCACCGTTGGGGATCTCCTTGATGTACTTCTCAATGTCGACCCAACCGCCAGTGAGCTCGTTACCCTTGGACTTGACCTTCTCAGTCGCATCCTTGACGTACTTATCCAGATCGCCTAAGTCGCCAGATTCGACGGCGGACTTGGCGCGCTTGAACAGCTCGGTAGTGTCACCCTGCTTCAGAGCGTCGGCGTTCTTCTCGATAAGCTCTTTGACCTTGGGATTCTTGTCAAGGTAGGGCTTAGCCTCCTCAAGACCCTTCTTCCAGGCCTCGTCGCCGAGCTTCTTGATCTGCTCCACCTTCTCCTCGATGAGCTTGCGGGCCTTGCTTATGCTGGCGGCGCTGAAACCTCCAGCAAAGATGTCCTTGACCTGCTTCCAAGTCTCGTCGACCTGCTTCTTAGCCTCGGGGCCATACTTGTCACCGAGCTCCTTGAGCTGATCGACATTGCCGCCAAGCTTCTCCTTGACCTGAGGGTGGTTGTCGATGATGTCGCTGATGGCATCACCAGCGAGATTAGCGACCTTCTTGGCGAGATCGGCGAGGACGTCGTAGGCCTTGGAGGCAGTCTCGAGGCTCAGGCCAGACTTGGAAAGATCTTGGAATTGCTTGTAAGCATCGTTGACGAGCTTGTCGGCCTCGTCCTTGTTGTTCTCTCGGACCTTCTCCCAGTCGTTGAAGGCAGCATCAACGTAGGCGCGACCACCGGGGATCCAACCGACATAGGAGTAAGCAAACTCCTTGATGTAATTCACAGCCTGATCGGCGTCGGGAGTGTTCTTCTGGAGCTTCTTTGCGGCAGCCTCATATTTTTGCTGGGCCTCCTTGGCAGCCTTGTTGATACCTGAAGCAGCGCGGCCAGCGGGTGTGTAAGAGTAGATGCCGTAGAAGATAGCTGAGCCGACAAAACCACCAGCAATACCGGAGGCGAGATGAGCACTGCTCGATGAAGATGAGGTTGTAGATTGGAATCGAACTTGGCGAGAAGCACGAGAAGCACGTGCGGCACGAGGCACGGTTGATCGAATGAGAGGGCGAGCAGGAAGCATTGTGTTGGATTAGTTGTTGTGAGATGGAGAATGAAGAATCAGATTGTGATGAAGAGGGGAAAGATGTGAGTATGAGGGGAGGAAAAGGTCAAAGATGGCACTTCGAAATTAAGTAAATAACTTTTTACAATTTACCTAAGGAATGACGTATCTATACGATCACGACGCAAACAAACCACAAGCTCATTGCGTCAGGACCAAAGCTCCGGAAACGTGACGTCAATGACGCTCATATGCGGACATTGCGGGGTGAGTTTGGCGTTCCCCATGTGAGACCAAGACAGTCCAATTGGCCAATTGGGTTCCATGTCTCAAAACTCAATGGGTGCTCAAGATCGAGATCCTTGTGCAGTTCCTGGTTTGATCCTCGGGTCTAGAGCTGAAGATGATCAGGGGCGCTTTCGTAGGTGTTGATTTGACGGGGCCGGGATGGGCCGCGAATGTTACGTCACGACTACCTAAGACAACAGCTACAGTACACTAACAACCAAGCTCACCAAGCTCAGCTTGTCTAGGTCTACCAAGGTTAACATCGGGAGATCGGCTATACGACAATCAGCCGCTTATTCAGGACTAATGAGGTCGAGACTCTTTAAGGGTTTGTCGCTCGACGGATTCTGCCTATATTGTAAGTCCGTGGTTGGTCAATTCGACTTTACTTCATTGTCGTTTAGGTTACCCTGGAGATCTTTGCCCGGCATCTTGCAAATTAATAGACCATCGCTGAGTTCAAGACGCTTTTGGCTGACATTGACTTTCTGAATTGATGGCTTTAACAGTATACATTCTTATCAATTAGATACAGCTAATACTCCTATGATAGTAATGCGGGCCTTACTAAAACACGAGCCAGGTTCCCGCGAAGGATGTGCACTAACATTGAGCTTAATTGTGATCTGGAGTCGACTGGTAGTGTGCAGAATCCTGTGCCGACGTGGCATTACTGTCTGCTTCACTCGCAGCCCGGTTTCCGTTACCAGTGGAGGAGGCATCAGGAACTCTTCCACCCCTGAACTGCTTAAGATTCCATCGATTGACAAGCCCGGCATACATCTTTTTCAGATCGTTGTTATTGAGGTCGTGAAAATCTGAGCGTATTACATCTTCAACAGTTAGTGATAGAAACTCCTCGTACTAGAGAGCAATAACTTACACAGTGTTTGAGGACGCACGGGATTGGAGTCATGGTACAAGGAATCAAAGGTGTACCGAAATCTGTATGCCTCGGCTAGAGGGCTGTCGCCAGGTTCGATTCGCCTCCCGTGGTCTCTCTCAGACCTCAGAAACCATAGATAAATGCCATAGAAATCAGCATCATGGGCCCATTTCGCGGGGTCTGTGGCGAACGACCTGGGGTTGTTGTGGTCTTCCGGGCTTTGTCTCTCCATGACTAAGTTAATCGCATCGTGCAAGTCGTGAAGCCTTCTGCCGAATATCGCGACATGGCCCGAAAGCTTGTCGTAATGGGACGCGAGGAGTTTCGTTTGTCGAGCAAGCTGGTCAGGACAAGTTAGTGGATGACTGCATATAAAGACGACAGGATGTCTTACATCACCCAGGGTGAGATCGGATTGACCGCCACGATCGGATACACCCTCCTGCGAGAGAGAAGCAGGAAGGCCGTCCTGGGATTCTTCATAGCCCCTGTTTTGGGAATTTATAATTGGAGTCTCAGTCCCCGGATAGGATGTACTATTAGGAGCTGAGAGACTGTTGGCGACTACAGGAGGTCTTGAGCCCATGGATTTGACAGAGCTTGAAGAAGAACCCTGATTGGGGTGACCATCAAGAGATTGGCTCATGTTGATGAATCTTTTGCCTGAAGATGTGGAGATATTGTGGTCACTTGAAGAGAACTGATGATAACATGGAAATTGTCTATCCAAAAAGAAGAAAGGGAAGAGTTTGTTGATGGTGAATGAATAATGTGGAGGATATTTATAGTGGAAAGGGCAAAGAAGCATGAATAGAGAAGGTACATGGGAAGATTGGATTTTCTATTAGGCATGACCAGAAAACCCCGTATTTTGCTACCTGTATCAGCTTCTTCAAGCCCATTCCTAAGGCGTACAGTTTCTCTTACAGCAAGAACAGATTGGCTGGTATCAGGTCTTGCCTCTCTGCAGTAGAGAATGGTCGTAGAGACTGGCCGGGTCTTTCTTACGTGGTTCATAGAGCAGCAGAGGCTAAAGGGTAACCTACGACGAGCAAGTGAAGTGTCACCCTAAACGTTAATTGATATGTAGCTCATGCTTTGTGATTTTGGTATTCATTGGTTTGAGAATCTGTACACCGTAAATGAGGGTACACTGATGGCTTTGGGACGATACCCTTTTCTGATGTGATATATGTCCCTTAAGTTTTCGATTGATGTGTAAGTTGTGTCTAAAACTGAATGCCGACCATCTCCCATGCCGCAAGGCTCTCAGAGCCATATCTAAATCCTAGTACATGCTGTTTCTGTTGGATGGAAACACAAATGCACTAATGAAGTTAGAACTATCTGAAAGCGATTTGTACCAAGTATGTCTAGTGGTACTTTAGAATAGCTTTAGCCTTGGTAAAATCTCTTATCGTTGAGGAGATATAGTGAGGGGGTGTCAAGCTTGATTGTTACATGGCTGTACCGAGTGTGGTTCTATGCGTTGATTGTAGACTCTGAGGATATGAGGATAAGAGGGGGCTTTGAATTTGATCCAATCGCTAACCGGGGTATCTCTGGCGGCATAGGAATCCGAGGACTCTATTCCATACAAAGTGCATTGGGATGCGTTGGTATTGAGAAGAATCTGGTCCCATGTCAAAGCCTGGCTAGCTAGCTAATTTTAGAAATCCCTTCTGGGAGTTATTTCCGGTACTCCTTGTGTAAATTTTCGATAAAGTCTATCTGCATATTGAACTAACAATATAGCCCGATTTCAATCATGAATTTATTCAAGGAGTAATAAGCTGAAGTTATTAGGAGTGTCATCTTCAGAAAGACGTTGCCAACTCAGTCTAGTTTCTGACGTCACTGCAAGTGGATATTATTACATGGCTATTTTACTTTACTGGCTGCAGGCTTTCAGCTGGAGTCATAAAGAACTATTCAAGGATTTATAATGTAAAATTAGTCTAAAAGGTTCCGATAGAATAAACATGGCAAAGACAATGACTTTGTGGAATTGATACAAGATATCGTGGTGAGAAAGAAAAGGCCTTCTCGGTGTTTCTAAACCGGGGTCTCCACACAAGATGAAGGTCCAACCGAACCACCTACGTAGTGGCATATATCTTCCACTCTTCGATTGCCGACTGAACAAATTTCTATTCCATTCACAAATCAATAACCATCAGCATCAACCAACAATCAGAAAATTATCAAAGTATTGCAATGGCACCCAAAGCCTTGACCCGAGAGACCTCAACTCGCGCTGCGCTGGAGAAGGTCCAGGGAGCCATCCAGAGCCCAACGACAGCGGTGATTCCCAAGCCGCCTTCTGACGTAAGTGTATTTGGATAGAAGATGAACGCCCATTATACTGATAGAATTACAGCTTGAGGAACTCAAGGCTGATTGCGACTCATTCACTTTCACATCATTCACCACAGAGGATGCTTTTGTGTTGGGCAACCTTCTCTACGCCCGTCTTTACCCATATGCTGTCAAAGGCAAGCCGACGGTGATCTCAATTGCCCTTGCAAACACCTCCCAGGTTGTCTTCCAAACTGTTACCGGACCTGGCACAGCTCCCGACAACGAGCAATGGGTTCGCCGTAAGAGGAACACTGTTCTCCGATTCGGTAATAGCACGTGGTTCATGCACAACAAGTTCAAGGGGGATGAGGTTGCTTTTGCCGCGAAGTATGCCATTGCAGATTCAAACAAGGGTGACTACGCAATCCACGGTGGAGCCATCCCGATTCGTGTCCAGGGAGTTGAAGGGATCGTTGCTGTTGTCGTGGTGAGCGGGCTCAAGCAAGACGAGGACCATGGAGTTATTGCCGATGTTATCAAGAGTAACTGGAGCTGTTAGATAATTTCATAGGGTAGACAGACACGAATCTGTCAAGGATGCTCAAGGTATCCCTGACACAGCGGCCGACCGGATTTCCTACTACGGAGTGTCCGTTCCCGCTAAATATGCACCAAAACAAATAAAGTTTATGCAGCTAATGAAACCGAAATCCACACTAGCGTGCCGAGACAAACTAAGTTAATTACTCCATGCATGCCGAGCATTGAATTCCATAGTCTATCATATCTTTATCAAACAACTAGGCACAAGTTGACGGCCACCATGAACACGACAAAATGGAGGATTTCAAAGGCTTGTCAAGAATGTCGCGCCAAGAAGATCAAGTGCAATGGGGAGACCCCCTGTCAAAATTGCAGCATGAGAAATCTCAGTTGCGTCTATCGCGAAAAGGCCCGTAATCGGACGCGCAAGGTCAAACCGCGAACTGCAGCTTATGAGACTATAATGTCTCATGATGCCATGGAGAGCACGTCTTTGGAGCCCTCCGATGAAGGAACTGTGCCGCCTACGCCAAATGCCGACGATACGGCATCTGTCGGACCTACAGGATCAGTAATGGACAGCGAACGCAGTTTGACACATAATAGCGTTGCTGCGACACATCGCGCATCACCATCTTGTTTTCTCCAACTTTACTATGGTCCCTCATCGAATTTCGCCTTACTCAACTCGATCTACCACCAAATAGCAGGAACATGTCCAAATGATCCTCCATCACGCTCCGGAATCGTCGAAGAAGTTGGTCCGGGTCTAGACCTATTCAGCCATCGGAGACTATTCTTCGGAGATTTGGCTGACAACCAACGACCAACATCAGTACCAGACGACTGCTCAGCAATGTTGATTGACCCGGATACTGCTCATCGGTTACTCGAGAGATATCTTCTGACCTACTGGCACGGCCTTCCCATCATGAGTAAAGACCATTACCGCCGTCGCTTAAGTGCTCTATATCAACCACCTGGTATCTTTGATTATGATGCACCCGAAACCATCATTATAATGCTGGCTGTAGGACTGGGGGCTTCCATGACGGGTGAAGAGGCCATTGCGGACTTTCTTTTTCAGAAAACCAAACAAGGTGTCGCCAAGTTGGATGAGGTAGTGAACATGCAGATGGTTCAGATACATCTCTTAATGATAAGTCATACCTCCTGAACTCTGCTCTCATATAAGCTTACACACCCTCACGGTCACTTCCAATCTGAAAGAGCAAGACCAAATTCAGGCTTCTTACATGTCGGAACTGCATGCAGAAAAGCAGTAGCCGCTGGTCTACATAAGGATGGATGCACACGCCCAGGATATACCGAAGATGATACAAATCAGCGAAGAATAACATTCTGGAGTTTATTCTTCTGGGAAACGTACGTTTATTGGTTATCAAATTTGATCACTGCTGACATGGTACAGATGGCAATGTTTTGTCCTTGGCCGACCTAGCTCGCTTCCTGATCCTGGCCCAATCATACCACTACCGAAAGGTCAAAAACTGCTAAAATCTTTGATCACCCTATCACGTATCATGGACAAGTGCGTCAAAAAGATATATAGTCCACGGCATGACTCCCTGTTACCTGTCTGGAATGCAGCAATCGAGATCCGCCGTGAACTACATCAGTTTGCGGAGCAACAACTCAAGGATATGAAGTTTGGCCTTGTTGGAGACCCTAGTACAGGAGAGCTCGGCGTCTGTCAAGCCATGGTGTCAACAAGTAAGCCAACACAATTCATTTCATGAATCACACTAACCGAGATAGTGTACCACCATACACTTCTATTGACTTTTCGCCCCTTTCTCATTTTGCGAGCAAAATTGAATCACGATCGTGCAGCAGCTACTTCTGCAGAGAATCTACAAATGCCTCCACCTTGGCTCGATAGCGCTTGCGAGTATTGCTTGGAAGCAGCGAGGAATTCTGTTGGATTCTTAACGGGCTCTTGTGCCACCAACATTCTTTGTCGTGTACGCTCATCTCCCTTGACTCGGAGTCGGAAAATCGGCTAACAGCAAGCAGGATATCAAGTACCATGGCTTCTTCATGGAAGGAGCATGCTATGCCTTGGCTTTTGATATGCTTCAAGAAAAGAAGACAGCTCACCGCAATCTGCCATGGATTCACTCTGGCCTCAGATGTCTCCGTTCCATGATGGGATCAGCAGGAGTAAACGCCGGCCAACTGCCAATAACAATCGCCTCAATCGAGCAGATGGTTCGATCTGCTGGGTTTGAACTGAAAGATCCAGTAGATTCGAATCAGCAGAATCAGACTTCGCAGTCCACGCTTCCCGGATCACCAGCACCTGTCTCTGTTGCAGGCGGCACGAGGAGCGAGCCTGCGTTCACCTTTCCTTCTATGCCATTTGGGTTTGATGTCACTGGCCAGATGAATGGAAGTTCGAGCTCTCCTGCTGGAGCTGCATCGGAAGATATGGCAGATTTCACAGCTGCTGATGTTGGATGGGATATTGATTTTGGAACTATGAATATGGAGGCATTTTTGTCTCTCGACTCGGCGGAGGCTTTCAATTTTGCGCCATGAGTACATATGCCACTGCATTTCTGTACTTTATCTAATTGGGCTGATTTTTTGCTGATGTCAGTCCTGGGGGCGTTTTTAGACGCATTGACGCCGTTAAACGAGCTGGAAGGTGAAATTGCATTGGGATGGTCGGGACCACTACATAGATGGATAATGACGAGGCTACCGATTGGAAGGATGGTGGACATGGAGAGGAGCAATGAATTTCTTCAGATATACCACCAGCTATGATATACCCCTGACTCATGAGAAAGGGCGTTGATTCTTGACAATATCACTCGCATAAGACTATCAAGCTGTCCCACTATTCTTCCCCGTCAAGTTGTTACTCGTTCTGAAGAGCCAAAATAGCAGACAACCCTCCAGTGAAGGCCAGAAGCCCCCGAACAATATTCATCCATCTCCATTTCTTCAACAAATCCACAACCTCATCACGACCGACCTTCTCCTGCTCAACGCTACTAGCAGCAATATCATTGAGTCGATTATTCGTGGCCATCATCCCAAGCACCGTCCAGGGCAACTGAGACACTGCAGCCACAGCAGCAACTACCCAGAGTGTACGTTGAGCAGGGACAAGATAAGCAACTATTCCAGAAGATGCACCTGAGAATAGCGCAAGTGGAACAAGAGTTACCGCCCCACGGGTGTAAAAATCCTTGAAGAAGGGAGTATTGATGGAAGTAGGCTGGCTGTAGAGAAGAGGGACAGTGAGGTGCGAAGAGCCGAGGTTTATTCCTGCAAGGACAAGGCTCGAGGTAAGGCCAAAGACCTGAAAGGTTCGTACTGTAGAGTCCATTTTGATTTTCTACTATGAGTTGTTTAGACAGATGAGTCTTATCTCTGAAGCTGAAGTGAGCAGATATCAAGGTTCGTTGGCTAGTATGATATGTCAGACTGGCCTCGTTAGGTGCATGTGGCTTGCTGCAATATCCGTCATAGACTTAGAGACAATGTCTCAGGACTACTACATCGATATATCCGTGATAATGCCATCTATTATACGATAGCCGGCTTCGTCGGAAAGTTTGGCTTCGACTGAAATGAGGTTTCAGTGTAACCATATAATTATGATGAGAACTCAAATTCCTCGTATTCGTTTTATCATGAATTTGAAGGTTAACATGATTGATGAACAAATCTATGTAGACAGGCCCAAAGCTGAGACAACCAGAGCCAAGCAGATAGTATCACCTTAAACCAATTACAACAAAATTCAAGACCAATGCTTGATGTCTCATACTGACCTATTAGACAACTCCAAACCCGAGATCGAGTTTGAGGATGCTGATCCCGTCTAGCGCTTATACAGTGACGCTAAGAAGTCGACTTAGTCGGGATATTCCACTCCATGCAACCAATCACGTAAACTCTTAATCCCCTAATTTCAGTCAAGCGAACATATGTCAGCCTCCTGAACATTCTTAAACAGAGAGCTTCCCCTCAGTGAATCTGTACGAGTTTGTTGTTGAGGCAATGGAGCTGTCTTCGCTTTATCAGTCCGCTTCGGCGGCGGTTGGCTCTTTGCCTGTGGCCTATAAACTCTTATGTGCTGTCTTGGTGGTTTTTACCTTGAATAAAGCATTTCATGGGGCTGAGAGGAAGGGGTATAATAAGAAGAATCTTCCGAGATATGCTCCCATTGAACTTGCAATTGCGAGTTATATTCTTAGCGGAAATGGTCTAGGTCGACGAATCTTGTACTATGCATTCTCTTCAGTTCAGTATTAGGACTTGGCTAATTGTATTATAGTTCAGCTTTAAGCCGCTATGGAGGGTCTCTATTCGGTCTAACATCAGGACATCAAATCTTTGTCGACTTGCCCGGCGTGGAACGCCTCTTAGCTCAGTCTCATCACACTTTCAACTCCGATCCAGCACAGTACTCACTCTGTACTCTTGTCTTCGGCAGCACTGATACTCCAGAGCTGAGAGCCAAGTTTGATACATCATTGAAAGATCTTGTTCCTCCTCTTGAGCGAACTTTTCTGAATGACGCCGCTTCTACAGCCAATGTTGAAAAGTCTCGTGTTGCGGAACGAGGTGCTTCACTTGTCACATTCTCTTCTAACCCTAGGGATATGGCGCGATGGGAGCTTTCCGCAGGTATTAAAGTAATTCAACCTGAACAGCCAGGTTGTCCGGGAAAAGTCGAAGCGAATCTACAAAGCTTGACTCGAGACTTTGGAGCTTGCATGTCTGTTCCTCTCATCTACGGCCAAGACATACTCGATCGGAATCCTCGGCTGCTAGATGACTTCTGGACATTCGATAATGACCTATTTCCACTGCTTATGGTCGGTGTTCCTAAGTGGGCTCCATTCAGAATGATGCAAGACGGTCTCAAGGCCAGAGCCAGAATCATCGATAGTCTGGAGGCAGTCTACAGACGAGTCGACCAATATGAGAAAGGAGAGCCTGTTGATTTCGGTGCCGATATGTCAGATGTCAGTATGATGCTACGAGAACGAAACAAGATCTACAACAGAGACGGATGGACATTTCCTGAACGTGCTGCAGCGGATCTTGGTACTTTCTGGGGTCTCAACGCCAACGCTCAGCCTGTGTTGTTCTGGTTCCTGCTTTACGTTTATTCAACTCCTGGCTTGCTTGAACGAATCAGAGATGAGATCTCCCCCTATATGACTTTATCAGATGGTGACAAACCCGAGATTAAGTCTATGGATTTTCCAAGTTTGTTCCGGAAGTGTCAGCTCTTCAAGGCTTGCATCTTTGAGACGTATCGCCTGGTGAACGAGCCAACATCGATCCGCTATGTCACTCAACCCGTCAGCCTGAACGATGGCAATCACAAACATGAACTTAACGAAGGAACATACATCAGCGTTCCTCTCGCGTTGAAGAACAAGAACCCTTCGATATATGAGGATCCTGACACTTTCATCCCCGATCGTTTCCTCGAAACAGACCCTGAGACAGGAAAGGCGACGGCACGATACGGAAAGTTGAAGCCCTGGGGTCTTGGAGCTGCTATGTGCAAAGGACGAACATTTGCAGAGAAAGAGATCATTTCTCTTGGATCAGCTGTTGTTAGTCTCTGGGATATAAGTCCTGCTGAGGGAGAGTGGAAATTGCCTGCTATGATCCCTGGAACTGGAGTTAAGAGGCCAGTCAATGACATACGTGTGGTTATCACCCGTAAAAGAGTCTTCAAGCCATTCGAGTAAGCATGAAGCCTAGAATATCTTTTAGGGTATTTGGTTGAATCATGTGAAATAGATATTGAACCTAACGAACTACGAGATAAACAGAAGTTTTTCTTTTTGGCAAGCTCTATGTGTTTTGGATATAAGATCAAGATTTCATACCAAAGTTTGGAGGGACAGCTTTCAATAGAGATGAGTACAATACTGTAAAAGAACATCATATGCGTAGTAGTATATCAAAGAGCCTGAGTAACTAAACTTTCATCATTCATTATTATTATTCATTGCTGTCATAATGATATATAAAACTCCCACGAAAGAAAATAAATTATGCACCTTAAACGCCGTATTCCATTACTCTTCGTCATCGTCTTCTTCATCTTCATCCTCATCATCTTCCAAGGTAAACCACGCCACCTCCCTGGAGAGGAGCAGCTTTTCAACCTTCTTGAAGATAACCACTCTCTTTTTCTCAAACTTCTTGCAGGCTTCTTGCATTTTTTGCTGCTCAAGTGCCCAAATTTCCATGCGTGGCATGGAAGTCTCGTAGGCAACCATGCTGAGTTCTTGTTCGAGGTGTTTTTTGCAGTCCGCAAGCTTTTGGATTTGAGCTTCGGCAGAACTTCGAATCTTATGGATCATGCTCAGAGCTTTTGGTACATGAAGGCAAATGCAGAAGTTGACGGCATGACTCATCAGCAAGGACAAGTGGTCCGTCGTGATAGGTTGTCGGTGAACCGCAATATGGCGAATTTGCTTGGCTGAGTAGAGAAAAGAGGTGAGGACGAGGCCACTTGCTTGACAACGACTGAGATGCTGGAGAGTCTCCCAGCGCTTCTTAAAGTAGAATGCCCAAGCATTCAGTTCTCCTGCTTCTGGGCATGACCATTGCGTCTCTTCAAGGATGTCTGGCATAGCCTCTTGGGCGAAACGAAAGCAGGCATGTTCCAAGATGGCCTGGATTCGTGTGAGGATGAGTGTCTGTGTGCGAATGGGAACATAGACGTGAAGTCCAGGAGCTTTGACAGGGAGAACGTTTGAGATTGACATGTCTGACCCTGACATGTCTGAAGTCGAAGAGACACTGGATGCATCATCCCCACTCTCAAAGGTAGCACAACCAGATGACCCAGAAGCTGGAAGCGTGTTTACGCGGTGATATAGCGTGATAAAATCGTTCCATGATATTTCATTCTCGCGAGCTCGGAGCCTCAAAAACCCATACTCTCCCTTGCGGGTATTGTTGAGAGGGCTTTGGGTGCGGTTCATCTTGGCTGATTTGAGGGTGGGAGTAGTGGATGAAATGAAATAAAATATTTGAGAGAAGATTTGGTCTTAAAAGAAGTATAGTGATAAGTTGGTATGTATTGATGCCGTATGAAATGTAGTTTGTGTCGGTGTCTTGTCGTGACTTGACGAAATCGTGAGTGAAACTTTGATGAATGCCGTAAGAAGAAGTATAATGAGAATATGAAGGGGAGAAGTTGACTTGAGAGAAAAGACGAAGGGGTCGTCTCTTTTATAGACAGAATATCTCATTATACTTTCCATGAGGGTATACACACGTGTCTCCTGTTTGCCCTGCACACGAACTCTTCAGTCTGGAACCATACGACCCTACAAAGGTAAGTTTCTAAGTTTCTGTGAACACACCGTTAAGAAACTCTTGGATGGTCATGCTCTTATAGACCTTTCAGTTCTTTCTGTCGACGCATGGCTCAAGGGGAGGATACTTCTTCTCCTATTTTGGCCAACCCCTTATTTATGCTACCATGATGCTAGGTCAATACATTCCCTCTTCTTACAGGCGAAGAGATGAAACACCCCTAGTATCTTCAGATACATCATAAAGGTCTCTCATCTTTGCTAGTTCTTGGTGGAACCCAGTTATGAAGTCATTGCTGGGCTCTGGGTGGACGAAAGCAATTTGAGTCACATCTGATAGAGGGTTCAAACTCAACTCACGTATTTAAATATTTCCCGTGTCACTGACCAATCTATGAACTTCGACCCGAATATAAACTTTATTAACAGAACTTATAACATCATCAAAAACATCTGGTCTAGATTCACGAACCACCTGTTAGACTTTCTCAGCTTCTTCCAAAAGACATGCAGATCACGAGACAGTTACCAAAGTTAGAATCTTCGCATGCAAACACATCATTCTCAACATGTTCAGTATTATTGGGTATAATCATTGATCATTGCAGGTCTATCATGCTTCTCGTTTATACTTCTTCGTTGCCCTATACACCGCATCACAAAGATGCAGCACACTGCGCGTCAAACTCCAAATAACCTTCTGTCTATTCCACTCTAGTTGGTCTTCTCACTGTAGACAAAAGCATCAAGCTCCTGGTACGTCTTCTCCAAATCATCGTTGACGAGAATCTTGTCAAACTCGGCATTCTTCGCCCACGCAAGCTCATCCTGCGCACGTGTCAAGCGCTGCTGGATGCTCTCCTCGGTCTCGGTGCCACGGCCGCGCAGTCGCTTCTCGAGCTCTTCGGTATCAGGGGGCGAGACGAATACGTAGCGTGCATTGATGGAAGAGGCCTTGACTTGCTTGACGCCCTCCATTTCGATGTCCAGAACAACAACCTTGCCCTTGGCTGTCTGCTCCTCGATGGTCGCCTTGCTCGTTCCGTAGAGGTTACTTCCGAATTGAGCACTGTAGGTAATATGTATTAGTACAGGTGCTGGTTGTTGATGCGCTTGACTTACTGCTCGACGAAGCCATCCTTGGCGATCAAATCCCGAAACGCATCCTTGGTGACAAAGTGATACTCAACGCCATCGGTCTCGCCCTCACGAGGGTTACGGGTAGTATGCGACACAGAAAGGGTGAAGGTATCAGGGTGACGGCTGAAGAGCATCTTGATCAGCGTGCCCTTTCCGACACCGCTAGGTCCCGAGATGACGAGTGGTCGGCGGTCTGAAGGAGAAGCCATTGCGAAGGAGCGTCTTGGGCCAACTATTAAAAAAACGAAAAGTGAAGAGGTGAGTTGGAGGTGCTTACTTTGGGACTTGAGAAAAGGGTTTTGTACTGGGGATTAACAAGTTTGAGTTGCGCTTCGCATAACCTAGAAACCACCGCATCGTGCCCTGGGAAAATGCTAACGAATGGGGTGCTAATGCAGGAGAGCTACCAGGCACTGTGGGGGAACTCGTCCAATCACGTGCGGCGTTAGGTGGCTTACATCTTCACGGTGAGAGTCATCCTAGAACTTTGAGTATAAGAATGAGTAATTTACAAAGTACGCAGGCACTGACAGTCAAGATCACTCATCTAAAGGTGGACGACTAGGTAGCGCCAAAGCCTCAGGCGCTGCCATGAAACCCAAGTAAAAAACGATGTGATCTATTTATGTTTCCGATGTGGTCTATCATTACGACTATTGCCATTAAGCCCTTTCGTTACACATTACTTTATCCATATCTATATCAATGTTGTCCATCCACCTCATGCAAGTCATGTCATCAGCTCAATTATAGTACCTTCAATCAACCCGTTGCTTATTCTGGGAAGGTCCCCTTTCAAGCTCAGGAGTCTGCATCTGACGACTCCGTTCTTCTTCGGCATCAAGTGCTTCAACAGTTGTATCCCTACGAATACGGAACCGTCTTCCTCGCCAGTTAACGGTATTCCCGAAGACAACTGCGTAGGCCCAGATTGGAAGAGCTAAAGCTTCACGGACAATCCAGGCAGCTAGGAACTCTAAGAATTTGCGAGTTTTGATTCCATCTCGATTCATGAACCCTCTGGCGAAACGAGGTGTCTCCTCATCAACCTCCATAGTAACGCCAGAGTGCAAACGTCTGTAGCCGAAAAAGTCGACAAGCATCCAGACAGTGATTGTTGTAAGCCATGCAATCACCCTAGCAGCCCAGGTCGGAGGAATGCCACATATCCGCAGTGTGGTGATTGCAAAAGTAAAATATGTGGCAAACACGAAAGACTCGGTGAAAGGCTCAATGAGTGTGGCTGGGAGAACCGTGAACTTTCTCGCTCTGAGCCAGCGAGAGCGTCGTGCCGCATATGCTTTCACAGACATGCCCGACATCGGCTGAACAGCGATGTCACCCCAGACTAACCCATGGTTCCTGTGGCCGGGAAATTCAGTATTCCAAAGGATATCGCCGATCATATGATCTTCGCAGATATTGTGCGAAAAGTAATCCACGCCCGTTGGGAGGTTCTTGTCCTGAGGTATCCTAGGATTCAGTACAGCGTTGGTCGCGTGATCGAGGTGAGATTTGCGGAACATGTTGCTCTTGCCCACTGCGCAAGGCGCTGCACGAGAAGTGTTGATAGCACTGTAGAATTTGGCATGCGATGTTGCCATGAACATTTCGTCGAGTCGCCCGCCACCTTGAGCCCAAACCTTGGGATTATCATGAGAACCCCCTTCGCCCGAGTGATCTGACGCATCGTCTTCTACAGGGGAAGCAGCTAACAGGGGCTGACCGTCTGCTGCAACCGGTGTGGAATAGTCGATCAAGTCAACAACAATGGGTAGTTGGTGGACAAACTTGTAGGGAACGTTACCACCGTCACCATTGCATCCCTCAAGCTTATCAACCATGCGCCCCAAGACTCCCTTGGCCATCCAGACGTTGCAATCCACAATCCACACAATATCCCCTGTGGCCTCTCGGTATGCTCGGCTGAGATTACGAATTTTGGGATTCGGCCCCATATTCGGCGTCGTGCCTAACGCAAGGTCGTCTACCTCAAGCATGATACGCGCATCGATACCGGGGAAGTCCTCAAGGACCCTCTGTAGGATCGGGTACGCCGGATCTTTGTCATTTTCGAGACAGAGACGGATCGAGATCTTGTTTTGGGGGTAGTTCTGGCGAAACGATGCGGCAATGCAATCGTAGAGTCGAGGCTCGACGCCTTTGATCGGTCGAATTATGGTGACATGAGGAGTATTTTCGCCAAGGTTGGGGGAAACTGGATGAGCTGGACGGCTGGCAAAGTTACGAAAGCTTGTGGGCGTTAGGGAGAGCTTGCGGTTAGTGGTTTGGTGGGAGAAACTTACAGAGCCCACACGCCAATAGCGATAACGAGAACAATAAGGCCAGCAAGAAACAAGAAGGCGGAAGCGATGAGCTCTTTCAACGACCACATGATGAAATAGACTGAATGCTTGTTTGTTTGTTTGTTTGTTTGTTTGTTTGTTGATGATGTCTTTGGACAACTGAATGTTGTGTAAGGAAGCAAGACGGTGCAGTGGTGACTTTGCAGCTCGATTTCTTGTTCTTCGGCGGGCCTGGAAGTGAAAGGCGAGACGGATGATTGAAAGGGTTGAAGAAGGCTGTACCGGAGCCAGCTGCTGAGTGAGACTTTCCGGCTGCAATTAAGACAGCTAAATCATGGTGATGGCTTGAGTTCTGAGGTCATATATAATAGGGGCGTCTTTGGACAGCTCTCTTGTGCCGTGCCAGAGGAGGGTGGTAATCTAATAAAAAAGTGAGATCCAATTCATCAATGTAATGCCGGATGGTGGACAGGGAAGACCCGCTAGCGAATACTGACTAAGACCATTGAGACATTTGAACAGGTCTAAGTTAAAGTCTGAAATGAGGATCATGATCATAAGTCTTGATAATAACAGTATTCAATGGAATCACGGCGTTCGTTAGTTGGACTCGCATTTATTTTTCGGAAACTTTCTTCCATGCTGAAATTCTGGAAGACTACTGATTCGGGTTGGCAGACATTCTTGTGGAAACTGACGTAACCCTCAACAATCAGTTTCAGAAATCAGAAACCCTGTAATTGTCAGCAAGGACGATAAATTACCATAGATCTTCTGAACAGAGGATATAAATTGGATTGTGATTAGTCCCTTCAGAGCAGACTCTTCTAACTTACATACTTTTAAACCATGTGTAAAAAAAACATGCCCGAGTTCTCGTCCGGATATTTTATCCTTCGCAGATTTATAAGAGAACCCAAGGCAACTTTCCACACCCGACGGCGTCTTGCATGTCTTGATAGCTCCCGTTTTCTTCTTTCTGAAATCCGTTCTTTTCCACCGTGACCGATGGTAAGCACTCGACAATAAAAAACACCTACTGTCTTCCAGTTTGGCTTTCGCACTCGATAATGATGCAATCTCCGAACCAAGGTCTTGAAGTGATGTCCCTTACGGGTAAGTCCGCGAGCATCAATTCACGGTAGTCCCAAGATTTGTAGTGTGGGAGCAGCACACAAACATCCATGTTAAACCGGGGGTCTCCTACGAACGTTCATGGCCCGTAGAGCTATCCAAAACTGTGTGTAATGACATCCCCGAAGCCCATGCCATGCTTATAGAGCTACAAGACGATCTATGAACGATAAACAGACCTATTTTTAGATACGATTAAGTCACACCTGAACTATGGGAGTTCAGAACCGGCAGCGCAGTGAATCAAGCTTTGATAGGCAAGTGAATAAGGCGTGAAACAGTACTTCGGCATCATGTTGACGGGTTCAACAAATATATAGCAGTAGGACACAAAAGTTGTAACCAGGAGAAACGGAAATGACATTGCAGTCAGCCATATCTCAAAATCATTCAATTCTGGTGAGTAAGCTAAGGGATACCCTCAATATCCGAAGGCTGGTGCATCCCAATAACCTGCGCCGCACCATCTATGGGCTTAGACCAAGCAGCTCGTCTCTCAATAAACTGTTCAACCTGCGGTTTCAATTTCGTATCTGCAAGAGCAAGATCATCAACAGTGCCGGTCCTCAGAATCGTCAAGCCTGGAAAGCGAGCACCACGGCGATACATGAGAGTACCGCATGTCTTGCAGAAGTAATTGGTCATGGTCGCGTTGGCGCGAATGGTCTTTTCCTCACTGAAGGTTGATAGATTGTCCTCGCCACGGATGTGCTTGAGGTATGTGTCGTCTACTGTGATGTTGGATTGGTAGAAGGCTGAGCCGATTTTGCGACAGTCGATGCAATGGCAGACATGGCGGTTGAGCAAACCGGGCTTTTTCAGTGGCTATTAAGTATCGTGTTAGGACCTGAAAGTTTCTGTTTCGTTTCGAGATCAGGGACACTTACAAGTACTAGCTGCACAGCTCCGCAGAAGCAGGTGGCAGTTGCTTCGTCCTCAGTTGACCAGCCATCGCTCGAAAGGTGAACTACAGGGAAGCCGTGATCATCGAAAGAAGTCATCTTTGAGATAGAGCGATGTAAATGAACTTGAATTCGCTGAGATTCCTCTTGGATAAATGGGAGATTGGGGCTTATATATAGAAGCCGATGTGCTGTGATATCGTGAGCGGTGTTTACTGGCCTAGATCAAAGTCGTTTAGATCTCGAAGCTTGTTCTTATATGTTATAGAAACCCCAACATCCTTTATCCTCTCGCTGAGCTATCCTGGCGCAGTTGCATTGTATTACAAAAGTGATGCATTTCACCATGTGTAAGATTATGGAGGTAACGTTAGATGATTACTATTGTCTTAGCTCTATAACCCTATTTGTTCGGCATTGGGGGATGCTGACAACCCAATCAAAGCTGATGAACGATAAAACGGAATAGCTGTTAGGTCGCGTTATGTCATCGTCACCAGTTTATTTACGCTGTGTTCCGAATAATAAGCATTCCAAATCTTAATCTAATAGCTGATTCATGTTATGCTTTCTCAGCAAAGCATTTATAATAGGCAGTCGAAGACTTTGGAAGGTTTGCGTGGTGAAAAGATGTGTCCCCAAGGCTTCTTCACAGGCAATCAACTTACGTCCCCAGTACTAATCCGAATATGACTGAGACCGAGTACTTCCAAAGAAAGATCCATCTCTCCTCTAACTCCAAACCATCCGGAGTCGTGTTCCCAGCCATACTGGCGTATAGGACCTTCGGTTCACCCACCATCTAACTTGCTGTCCTACTTCCTTCAGCCTTCCTGGGTTCTCTTGAAACCACCAGCCCATCCCTTCTGGCGAGGGCTGCAGTCTTACCAGCTGAGACTTTATAATATTTGCAAGACTCTTTTGCAGCGGAGAGTCTTCATCACCGTCCAATTAGCCGGCTCGCTTCGATGGCCCTAGATTCCCCAAGATGAGTTATGGGGACAACATTAACCTTCAGTATGCTCTATGGACCGAGGAGCAAGATCTCTTCAAGCTCTTCGCGTATATCGGATACAGCATGGGTGGTCAACAAACATATTACATGGCCAGCATGTACCTGATTTCGTGGATCATATAGTCGGGGTCTTAACGAGCTTGCTTATGAGCTGGAGTAACCGAGTGTCGTTGGCGGACCACGGCATGCTCCTGCTATGGCACATGATTTCCACAATGGCCACTATGAGGATCCGGCATAAGACAGCTTCGAGGCTTTCACGAGAGTCCAGCTAACCCGAGCACTCAGCAGCGATTGGTTTCGTCAAGAACCTTGGAAGCAGGCGGGATTTGCCAGGCTTGATGGATATCCGGAATCGTTCTGGACATGATGCAAACGATCTTCTCGCCATGCTGTGGACATGGCAGCACGGTGATATTACTGTGCTCTACCGTAAAGATGAGGAAGATGTAGGTAACACATTGGGAAGAATTAAGGCGAGATGCTTGATTCCTCCCTGCGCTACCGATGTATTCTTCCCGTAGGAGGATAATGAGCAGGAGGTCACGTATCTAGCAAACGGGGAACTGGCCGTCCAGGATAGGTATGGAGACATCTCGCTGGCGGTGGGTTTGGACCCAAGGAAAGCGTGACATTTGTGAACAGTCACATCAAGAGGTTTCTGGGCATTTAGAATGAGATGCCGCACAGGAAGCGATAATAGAAAACGGCAGTTTGTCACCTCACATATTGTGCTTTACTTCCAAACCTCGTACGCCAACATCCAATTGAAGTGGAGATGTTTGTCAAATCTCCGGAGCGGAGCCTGTGAGTGAATTGGCCTTGCGCACAAGGCATCAAAGTGGGGAGCTCTAATTCCAAGAAAAAGCTCGACTTTTCAGCCCCCGTCAACTTTTTCCCGTCATCATCCTCACAAAAACCACAACAAGAAAATCTCTCAAAGCTCGTGGAAGCTTAAGGACCTCGGTCGGGCTTCACACTTGAGCAATTGACATTGTTCAACTCGTCGAGGTTGAGCAGTGTGTTGCTGTGGATGGCCACGAGGTTAAATACCCAGCCAGCATCGTGCCTGGGTCACGTCCTAGACAGGTAGGTTTCTTTCTTTTTCCTTCATTATGCTTCGTCTTTCGGAATCAATTGCGTTGCAGCTTCTGTGCGCTTCAATTCCCCGGAGCAGCGGAGCTTCATGTTGCGGTGATGACACCATATCAAAATGCTTAGAGAATCCATTCATTTGGTCTCCCATGAAGCTCTGATATTATAGACTACAACGGTATCTGAGCAACACATAACTCGATTCTTTCATTCGTCATTATCCTTTCGAAATTGTTACTGACATATGTCAAGACCAAGATGACACCGGCGAGAAATGGCTGAGATTCAATCATCAAACACAGTCTCCGTTGGTACCCCGCCTACCACGGATTCCGCCGACAAACGGCAATCCCAGCAGCGAGGGCCTCCATTGCATCAGATCTACGCCCTTCCGGCACCGATCCGCACATTCCCTTTGCCGGCCTTTTATCCGAACAACCCCATATCCTTCTTCCATGTCGCGTATGCGTGGTTAGGCCAACTGTGGTCTCCGCCTAAAGCGGAACCTTTGGTTGTGCATAATGGTGTATGGTCTGCTGCTACATCATCCGTCCACATCACGGATGATGTTTCTACCCGAGCTTTGTGGGAGCAAGGCTTCTACGGAAAGGGTAGTCTTAGTCGTAGTGAACCAGCTTGGTTGAAACGTGAACAAGTTCGTCAAGGACTAGCTGATGCACACGTCAGCGAGATTATGACTGTGCAGAGACGCGAAGAGCGCATGCGTGCCAAGTGGGAACGAGCACGTCTCGAGCAAGAGGCGATCCGAGAGACCCGCCGTAAGGAAGCGGAAGAAGCCAAAGCGAGAGAGATCAAGGCACGAGAAGCCAAAGTCTTTGAAGTTAAGGAACGAGAGCTACGCGCCAGAGAGTCGAAAGACATCGCAGCGCCCAGGTCCATTAAGCCGATTTCGCTGTCGGCTGCCCTTCCAACTTACGAGTCACCTGTCAGCCCTGCTGCACTTTTGGCTCTGCCAAATTCATTGGTAGATATTGTGAAGCCAACGCCTATCAAGCCTGCCAATCTTCCTGTGTCCACTCCGACACATGTTTCGCCGGTGTGCCCTGCAACAATTCTCGCGATGCCGAACTCTGCCGCAGCAATTGTCGAGGAGTCTGCCACCGAGAAAGCTGAAGAGATCGATGGCCTTGGAATCTCCGGTGTTCATCCAACAGCGATGGGTCTGTCTGTGGATACTTTCCTTGACGGCCATGTCATGGAACCGGTTGCGAACGGAGTGCTTCACCATGCTGCGAATGGCACTTCCGTGGTTGCATCTTCGTCAGATGAAGAAGACAACACCAAGCCCAAGAAGCGACGTAAGAGTGTACGATTCTCGCCCACAGTGGAATCAACCACTTTCCACTTTGGTGATCCCCCTAGCCCCAAACGTTCGACATCGAATGGCACGGCGAATGGGCTTGCCGATATTCGCACTGCATCACCCGTGGCTTTGAATGGACACAAGGAGGAGAACTCTTTGGAGCGTGCCAGCAAGCCAGCGCTGAAGAACATGGAACACCTCCAGCTGACGCCAGAGGAGGCTTTCTTCCTGAGCTTTGGTTTGGGTGCTCTGACGGTCACCGATCCTTCCTCAGGTGCTCAGCTGTCATCTTTGGACCTGTTGAGACTCTTCAGACAACATTCGTACTTCCCACCTCGAGTTGAACCTGCGGATGCCTCACTTCAGCCTGACGACAACTTCCTCGTTCACTATGCAGTGTATCATTATTTCAGATCGCTTGGTTGGGTGCCTCGTGCAGGCATCAAGTTTGGCGTGGATTGGCTGCTTTATGCTAAGGGCCCAGTCTTTGACCACGCCGAGTTCGGTTTGATCGTTGTTCCTTCATTCTCTGATGCCCTTTGGAAAGAGGCTGGAAAACAGGACCCTCAGAAGACATGGCAGTGGCTCCATGGTACGGTGCGCGTCCTGTCACACGTCACCAAGAGTCTTGTTCTAGTATACGTTGATGTACCACCACCTTCGAAATTTGAGAAAGCTTTGGAGCAGGGAGTCGCTGAGGCATTGAAGCTATACAAAGTCAGAGAAGTGATGGTGAAGAGATGGTCTGCAAACCGCAATAGAGGATGATTGTTGGACGCTTCACGACGAACTGATGATTTCACGGAAGTGTAATGGTATATGGGTGGATTTATGCTACTTGGCGTAGGAACAGGCTACCAGGCGTTTGCGATCTACTGTACACAATATGTATTATGCCATCAAATCAATATCATGTCCTCTTTGAGGCTTCACAACAGACAATATCTAGTACTTCATTCTCTGCTCGTATAGCGTAATATGTGAAAATGGCATCCTCGTTGGTGTCGCACTGCATCACCACATGAGGCCATTTTTGCTTCTGACTGAAGCCATCGCTGGGTCCAGCTCCAAACAACGCGGGGTTTAGAGCCGAGAAACCCCACATGAAGCAATGTCTCCCTTTTGGCCGAGGTACGAGGATGGCCGTCGTTGTATAGATATAGATCCTTGTTGAGCTTCAATCCTGACTTGTCAAATAGAGTTCTTTCATTTCTTGATTGTACGTTTTGTTTGTGTTAATAGAAGGCCATTGCGTTATCATGTTCTCCCGCAGGTTGACAGCTTACAGCTGCAGAGCCCTCCCTCGTGGGCTCTCATCAACTCGAGCAAGTGCTCAAAGAATCAGCCTCAAATCAACAAACTCACAATGTCTTACACATCGACGGACCCTCACAACAAAGAACTTTGGGATCCCACCGCTGTTTGAACCAACAACAACCCTCTCGGCCAAAGAAAGCAACCTCACCATCTCCAGCGGAGACCGCTTCATCCAAATCCAAGATGAGAAGCATGGCGGCTGGACACGTCTCGATGCCACTATTCTTCGCGACAGCTGTACGTGCACGACATGCGTCGATCCAGCCTCGGGTCAAAAAAGCTTTGCAACGACAGCAATTCCGTCAGACATCGCCATTGACAGCATCCGTACGACTTCAACCGGCGTGGGCATCTCGTTCAAAAACGACATGTACAAAGATCACGAGATGATTCTTCCTTGGAGTTCTGTCGACAAAGCACTTGGCCATGCGCCAGTTGAGAGAATGCCCTATCCGAGACAAGACGCAGTGTATCCCAAGACAGGGCGTACGTTCTGGGACAAAGCGACTATTCAGCAACGTGTACGAAAGATTGACTATCATGAGTTCATGAAGGGCGACGATGCATTCTGGCATACTCTTCTCGATCTATCGAACCTCGGTCTTGTCTTTCTCAAGAACGTACCGCATGACGAGAACTCCATCGTCAATATTACAACACGCATCGCAAATATTAAAGAAACTTTCTACGGCCGCACTTTCGACGTTCGCGCTAAGCCAGACGCCGAGAATGTAGCGTACACAAGCGGATATCTCGGTCTTCATCAAGATTTACTATATCTTGAGAGTCCACCGGCGATCCAACTTCTTCACTGCATGGAAAACTCATGCAATGGAGGAGAGTCACTGTTCAGCGACGGTTTGTTCGCCGGAAAACTCCTCTGGCTACAAAATTCCCCGACGGTCAAAAGTCTCGCCCGCGTAAAGATCCCATATCACTATGAGAAGCACGGATACTTCTATCGTCAACAAAGATCGCTCTTCGATGTTGGACCAGACGGAAATCTCGCAGCTGTGTACTGGAGCCCACCGTTCCAGAACCAATTCCAGGTTGCAGCTATAGACGCACGAGCGTGGCTTGAACCAGCGCAGTTATTTGATGGATTGATCAATGATCCTGGTGCTATGTTCGAGATGAAGATGAAGCCCGGAGAGTGTGTACTTTTCGATAACATGAGGGTTATGCATGGACGGAATCAGTTTGATGTTGGTGGAGGATCGAGATGGTTGAGGGGAGCGTATATTGCACGAGAGGATCTTGTGAGTCGTGTGCTCCATGTTCCCGAAGCTCTGGCATCGGAGTACCGCGGCGGTAAAGAATGGAGTCGTGAGCTGGAAGATGAGGAGTTAAAGGCGTCGAAGTGGTTTGACAAGGTTGGAGGACAGGTTGAGAGCGTTGTTGATGGATTAAAGAGAAAAGGAGCAGCCGAGTTGGGAGAGAGAGATTATGAGGTGTTGAACTTGGGATAGCATATGGAAATGCACGGCATAGCGAAAATTACGAATTGGTTAAATTGATGGCCCAGACTGAGCTGCTTTCCCATTACCTTTCCGATACGCCGAAATAGTCCACCAAACACCATTGATCATGAATCATTGCTGAGTAGTCATAACTCAATATCCCCATACCTGGCTTTTAAACGATTTAAATTTACCACTTCTTAGCCTCGACACCCTCAGGAGGCACTGTCTCAACAGTCCTATTCTTGACGTCGTCCCAATCGGTGCTGAGACTTGTACCATTGCTCTCAGTGAAACTCTTCATCATGGCTCGTTGCTGCTCAGGAGTGGCGCCCTTGAAGAGTTTCTTGAAGAACACGTTGACGTCTTTCTCTTCATCAGAGTCAACATCGTCGCCGATGGTATCCCAGTTCTTGGGCCCCGTACGGGACGATGAGGGGTAAGCTGGCTTGGAAGAGTCTTGCGTGGCGGGGGCTTTGTCTTTCGCCTTGATAGATTCTGCAGGGTTCTCTTGAGAAGGTGCCTCTGCCGCGGCGTCGTCCATGGCCTTCTTTCGGGCATCTTTGAGCACCTTGAGCTTTCTTGAGTGAAGTTAGTAGGATGTGTGGATTGGGGATTTGCGAAACTTACTCTGCCTCCTCAGCAGCCGCAGCATCAGGAGCAGAATCGTCCGCCTCCCCCTTGAGCTGCGCCCACTTTCCAGGTGTCTTCTTCTTAAGGGCCAACTCAACCTTGTTGGGTGTAACCCTGTATGTTGATGTCTCTGTGTCAATCTCACCCCACAGATCAAGTGTGAACGGCTTCTCATCGCCGCTGGGCCAAATGACTGAGTCAAGGTGAGCTGATTTGGGACTGAACTGAACCTGGAGCTTTTCCTTGTTGACGCCCTTGGAGAAGATGGACACTGTCATAGTGGTGTCGTTCTGGAATTCCTGCAGTCGCAGTGGGGTATCGGCGGGCACAACAGGCTTGGGGGCAGTTTGTGTGGCAGCAGCTGGTTCCTTAGTCTCAACCTTCTTGCTTCCCACATCCGACAGCTCCTTCAACTCGGGCTTGTTGGCCGTGGTGAGCTTGCGTGCAGGGTCATCCTCTGGAAGCTTATCCATAGCGAACAAGATCTGCATACGCAAAGTGCTCGCAATGCGCCACTCCTTAGCATTAGCGACATCGTTACTTTGGGCCCCCAGTGCACCTTGAGCCCCTCCCTGTGACTTGTTGATATCATCGGTTTTTGACTCTTCCTGTGCATCCTTCAAGGTCATTTTATAGAATCCCTTCTCGTCCGTGTTCTTCTTCGCGGGATCTTCTTTTTCCACAGCCGGGAAGCCTTTAACTAGGCGCATAGCATAAACACAGCATGCATCGGCGTTGGCATATTGTCCAAGTCGGAAGTAGGCGACAGCACGACGGTAGTGGGCATCGATGAGGAGGGGTCGTTTGTTTCGTTGGTATGCGGTATGCCAAGCGAGGTTGGCGTCGTCGAGGGCCTCTTGGAAGCGCTTCTTGTTGATAAGAGCTTTCGATCGGGCGACGAGCCATGCAGGGTTCTGAGAGGTCTTCAAAGCGGTTGACAGCTTCTCGATAGCTTCATCCCAGTTGCGCGCTTCGGCGGCGGCGAGGCCTTGTTGGGCCAGCGTGATGTGCGACATGGTGGGCTGCTATGTATGGGTTGAAGAAAGAAAAATATGTAAGTAAATAGCAAAATGCAGCGTGACGATGAGGTGATATATTTATATTGACAAGAGTTGGTTTGAAGGTGGCAGTGGAAAGTTTGTTGAAGTTGGGTGCGAGGAATGGTTGGTTCTGGAAGCTTTGGTGGGGCATGATGCAGGCAGCTCATGTTAGCCCCCGCGCTGTGTAAGTGGAAGCTTTGGTGCGTAAGTTAACGTTACCTACCCTGAGGCCTCTGGTGCAAAATGAGTAGTCTAGGGAAGGCAAGAAAACTTAAGACGTCTATTGTAAATGACAAAAATAGGGTAAGTTTAGTGTAGGTTTAGTGGACTTTAGACTGGTAGTTATCTTTTGCCCCTTGCCTCTAAGTCAGAAGCTGTCTTGCCCCCTGAGGGTAATATAAACCTCAGAATATGTTGATTAATATTTACCTTTAAAGACAGTCCTCTTGTGGTCCTTGGAGCGAATCATTTCAGTGGGCGTCACAGTCTAACAATGAACTGTAAGTTACTGTAGAGTTTAAGCTCTGCCCAGTTGATATGGCCGAGAAGCTATACACGTATTTCCCGTAATTTGAATACAAAACCCCCGAACATCCTGTTTCGTTGCCTATAGGAAACGCCCCTAGTGAGTCACTTAGTGTTAAGCTTGGTTAAGATTTCTCGTTGTTTTGTTTTTGGTGATCAAACCCAAGCCTACCGCAACTTTCATCAACTTGAGTACTAGGTACTAAATTGAGCATAAGTCACTTAAGTATCATGTAGCTTGGTATTGAGGTTTCTCTTCTATTTTGTTTGAGATGAGACCTAGGATTGCCGTCTTGGGGCTATGCCTAATTCACCAATAAGCCAGACATTCTGTGTGTGTTTTGATGCTCGCCATACTCCAGCCAACTTTTCTTCAATGGCCTCATGTTCGGCTTCAATGACAACGGCCCACTCTGTATCATTCCTGTTGTCCTGCAGTTGCGAGTGAACAGATCTCCTGCTGCGTATGGGACGAGTTACCTTCGGGTTTCTCTATCAACTCTTCGTTTCTCCTGGCTTGTGGGGAAATGGTACAATGCATACGGTATGTGGTGTTTCTTTGTTGCCAATATGCTGCGTGAGTTTGGGTTTGCCATTTCCCAATCTTTTTCAACGCTACGCCAGAGTTGCAAATTTGTGGGCAGTTACATTCTTTTCTTCCAGTTAGGCGGGAAAGTATGACAGAACCGTAGATTCTAGATGGAAGGAAGTTTTCCAAAGACCAGCCAACACTATTCAGGAATTATCAGGGCATCTGGACTAGCAGAATCAGCCTTGTTGAAACATCCAGAAAATCGATATCCACCTCAAGCTATTTCTTAATCTTCTGTATTGGATACAATGCAACAGAAGCCCCTGGAGGTGGCATCCCGTCTCGAATAACAAGAGGCAATAATTTGAGAAGACTCGATCGCTGTCCGTTACCCACTGCTTGCCTCATTTGAGATCTGGTATTGCTGTCAAGCCTCACTTGAGCCTTGACAACTGGAAGGCCAGAGGTGCCTTGTCATGATGAGATTTCAGCAATCAGTGTTCCTGCCATACTACCATGCAACCCCTCTCAGCATCAGCCAATCTTCCCAAGAGTTTTTAGATGGCCATTCTTGCCTCGTTGCGCTCATGCCGTCGGAGTGAATAGCCATTCATTCGTTTCTGGGGAAGGAGTTGCTGTATAGTGCCAAGGTACAAAAATATGCCATCTCATCCAGGACTGTATGTTCTCTTCTTTTCTTCTTCATGCTGCTGCGTTTCTCGCCCGCAGCTGGATATTGGCTATCCTGTGTGTTGCTCGTGACCCTGGCGACCAACAGTCAATTACCCGTACTGATGTTCAAGGTATCGGAGTGGAAGGGCACAAATTTTGGAATCTCAGTATGCCTCTGGCGTGCAAACTCTTTCGTTGCATTCATCGGCTGGCCCGGTGGTGTGAAGAAGAAGCTGTCAATATCTGTGTAGATTCATTGGGGGAAGTCTTGTCATTCGGCGTGGGAATGCTCCCATACTCCAAAGACGAAGCGATGGAGAGTGCGGCCAAATCTCATGCTTGTGGCATCCTTGATGTGCTCAGGCGGTGTGCCGTGTGTTGGTTGTTACGCCACAAAGTCTGATGGTCAGGGGTTCAGACATGTTTGCTATACCTTCAATCCTTAATCCCGGGCTTCGGTTTTCTGTACATGTTTCCTTCGAGTATGGTGACAGATAACGGAAAAAATTTGGCAGTGCAGGTGAGGGATACAAGTTTGTGGGAAGCTAGACGTTTAGGGGTGTATGTTGGATACAAGGGTGGATTCGATACGCACTGGATGGAGGCTGGTGGAATGACGAGTGTGGAAAGACAATAATGAATGGAGATAGGCGAGACGGGAAATTGTCATGAATGCACTTGGTATGAGACCGAGAATGGGGGGGGGTGAGAACCTATGAGAATGACGATGAAGTTTGAGGGCAGAGGGACGGTCTATAAAAGTTGGACTTGAACTTATCTACAAGTCAAAAGGAAGGCCAGACAGTAGGCAGCCTGATACTTGCATATACTTAAGATATTCGTGATTAAAATTACTTGCGATGGCTTAACTTACAGTCGCCTTCTCATTGTATCCTTCCTTATTATTCATGCATCATATGTGTCCAACCCTCTAGTTTTTAGATACCCTTGCCCTTGACTCCATTGATCTTCACTCCATTTGGCTTTGCGCCATTCACCTTTACCTCTACTGCCTTGACACCATTTGTCTTCACTCCAGTCGATCCATTCTGCGCCACAGCCCAGCTTGGTACCAGCTTTTCCTCAGGAAACCTTTTCGCAAACATGCCCAGGGCCTTGATGGTAAAGGTGAACTTGTAGTTAGGGTACGAGATCATGCATGACTTATTGAAGACACCCTCGATGGCCTCCTGCAACCACTCTCCGTTGGGCTTCTGGCGGTCCATGATGAACTGGATGCCTCTTCTCAGAGGTTCCACGTGAGGATACTCAGCTTCCATCAGTCCGATGAGAGCCCAGGCTGTTTGGACAACAAGGGAGCCTGAAGGGTGTTCGACGTATTCCATCGTTTCGCAGGCCTGTGCTTGTTAGTAAGGATCTGTAAGTAAAGTCTGTGTAACGTACCTTGTAGCTTTCTGACCATCCACCATCAGCTCTCTGCTTGGAGATGAAGAAATCGCAACCACGTCTAGAGTTTTCGCCTGTTGCGTATGTCTGGCCGATGTGCTTCATGCTTTCGAGCGCAAACATACCAGCGTACGTAAAGCAGATACCCCAACTTCCGTACCAGCCACCATCAGGTCGTTGGTTGGACTTGATCCATTCGGCGGCGGTTCGGATGAGTGTCCTGACCTCGTCTGTTCGGTAGTCTGGCCAGTGCTTGTTGAACATGGATAGAGCTGTCACGCAAGCTGTTGTGCATTCAGGGTAATCGTATTCGATCATGATACGGCCAAAGACCTCAGCGGCATTGAGCATCTCCAACCACTCGCCTCCTCGTCGCTGCTCGTATGATGACATGCCGCCACTGTCGTTCTGGTACAGAAGCAGAGTATCAACAGCGTCGAAAAGTCGTCGGTCTTCGAGAACCTCAGGAAGGCCACCCACTTTCTGTAGAAGGATAATAGCCTTGAGTGCTTCCGAAATGCAATCACTGACACCGTAGCCCTGATCCTTGTTGCTAAAAGGCCAGCCACCCTTTCGGGGTTGACGATAGCATACTTCCTGATCGACACAGTCCTCTCGAATCTGCTGACGTTCTAAATAGTGCAGCGACTTCATGAGCATCGGGCGGTACTTTTCGTTCTTGTGAAGGCCAGCCTCAAAAACTGCCTGAATCAAGAATGCCGTGTCCCAGCATTGTACGCCATTAGTGCCGTTGACCAGCATGCCCTCGTCCTTGACCCATAGATACTCTTCAAGGCGCTCAATGTGCTTTTTGACACCATAATTGTCTGGACCGTCGCGAGCATAGCACATAACGGTGTTCATGGCAGCGTTGACCGGTGCTAAGCAGGCATAGCCTGTGTTGGCATCCTCCATATCGACTTGCTTGCTAGCCCATGCTTCAGCTTTCTCTTTGAGAAAATTGGGTCGCAGATAGGGCATCCAGATATTGGCAAGCACCCAATTGGCTGTGTTGAGCAACCATGATTTGGGATGATAATTGTCTATTGCACCAATGCTGTTGCGATGGCTTGACCAGTTGATCTTGGCGTGATCCTCCAGGAATACTTCTTTCTTCAGTGATCGAATGACATCGGTCTCTTCGCAGCTCCATCGTTTCGAGTACAGCCAGCCCATTGGCAGGAACACCATTCGAATGTGAATCCACCATCTCCATGGTGCAAATGGGACCCAGTCAGGGAGCAGCCAGAACTCTGGTGGCACAGGATTGACGATATCCCAGTTCATGACTCCCAAAATAGCCATCCAGAACTTGGCCCAGTGAGGTGCATACAATGCTCCTCCCATCTTGTGTAGAGTTCCTCTAGCCCTGACCAGGATTGGATCATCGGGGTCGACACCGACAAGCCGAAGGGCCACATAATTCAGCAGTGTTCCGAAGACGCTGCTCTCGCCTTCGATATGTAGCCCCCAGCCACCATCCTCTGGATGCGCTCGTGCGGAGAGGTAGTTATAGATCGCGGTCGCTTTCGCAGAGGATATTGGCGTCCTGGTGACATACCACGTAAAGACGATACCAGGGAGGAGGAACATGGGACCGCCATATTCGCAACCCCAATGACCGCTGGGAAGTTGCAGCTTTTCGAAAAAGTCGAGACCGTTCTCGGCGGCTGCCAATGGGTTATCGGGGGTAGGAAGATCAGGGAGGTCCTGTATCCAGCATGTTAGTTGCGATTGATAGGGACACAGACAAAGAGCATACCAGAGGCAAATTCAGGTACCATTTCTCAGCATAACTCTGTGGCCACTCCTTCGCATCATCGGCATCCTCAAGGTAGTGCCACGTGTGGCGGCTGTCGTCGTCCTTGAGCCTCCATTTTGTCTTGTCCAACTGTGAACCGATGCGAGGCTGCTTAGGGAACGGCTGACCCTGTTTCAACAGCGGTTCCAACTCGGAGTCAGCAGCGCGCTTACGCGACTTTAACGCGCTACCGTCACGTCCACTAGAATTTGCGACCATGTTTGGGGGAGTTTGATGGTCTCAATGGCAACTTTCGAGGGGTCAATTGACAGAATAGCAGTGGAGTGATCTTGAATAGAATCCCAGTCAAAAGTTGATGAGCAGCACATGCTTTAAAACTAAACTATAACACGGGGCCGGATTGAATAACCAGCCCGCCAAACGCCCCGACCTACGGGAGGGCCCGCAGGCTCTTGGTGGCACCTGCAGCGCATGCCATGTCTCCCCATGTTTAGCGGTCAAGCCCCTGAAAATCAATTGACGCCTGGGATTGGACAATCTGTGAAACCTCAACAGAACAACATCTCGCATTGCGACTCTACTGCGTATTCGGACAAAATCTTGAACTTTACTTACGAAAATTCTCAAAGTTCTAAGCTTGTTTTAACAAATGCCAAGAAAACATGGACGAAGAGGCAGAAATTGCTCCATCAATTGCTATACCAGAACTAACTCGGGGCCCCCAAGCTAATCACCCATCATCAGTGCCAGTGAACGAGAATACTGATACGAATACGATAATCAGTAACCCCAATGCTGGGACGGTTGTCACTCGCATTGAAGGCATTCTTGCGCAAATCATCAACGCTTTAGCTGCGGGTCAAGAGCTATCAATTCCCTTTTCTGCACGAAGGTCAACGCGTCGTGCCGCGAATGTACAGCCAGAGCAGGTTCATTTTCCTGGTCGTAACCAGCAGGAAGCAGTCAAGTTTGGTCAGATATCGGCAGACTTGTTTCTGTTCGTTTGACTAACAGATCGCAGCACGCATACTTCTCATTCTTCAATTGTCACATGATGCTCTTGTATCTGGCACCGTCCTGACCAAGCGGTTAGTGCATTGGCCTCAGATGCAAGAGATGTACTAATGGGCTCATATGCAGCCACATATTCTACCAACACCAAGATCTTTTTGAGAAGCAAGGCCAAGTGGATGACCTTGTTGACGACATTGCTTTCACTCTTGGTATCAGTCGTGGGGACTTGAACATTGTGCGCGTTGTCACAAGAGTCCACGGTACTTCAACTAACTGGAACAGGTTGCAGCATCAAAGGGTGTCCTGGCTGGACCGTTAATAATACGCCTCCACGATGGGAGTATGCTGAACGCTTGCTCGGGAGATTTAGTAAGCTCTTTAGATGCGATGCTCTGTGTGATTCTGAACGGTATAGGGAGTTGCTATCCCGACTATCCAGTCAATCTCAAGCGTCGACGGTCAGAACGTCAAATGGATTCTGGTTGTAGAGAAAGATGTAAGCCTCACAAACTCTTCGTCGCAGAAAAGCTGACTCTTGTAGGCTGTTTTTCGATCGCTTTGTTCGTCCCAATTTTGGAGAACCTGCATATTCGGTCCTGGAGTGCTTGTTACAGTATGGGTTGCGTGAACTCCGTGATTCGTGAAGCATGAGCTGACTTAAACAGGCCAAAGGATATCCTGACTTAACCACGCGCTCTTTCCTGAACTTTGTTCATACACAGTATCCTCAACTGCCACTTCTTGGACTGTTTGACTACGATCCCGATGGCGTTAAGATCTTGCGATGCTACCGATACGGATCCGAAAGACTGAGCCATGAAGCTGATCTCAGTATACAAGCATTGCGGTGGCTCGGTATCACATCAGCGCATCTTTCCCGAGGTCACGCTGGCACCTCACTCGGCAACTACGGGCCACGAAGCCAAGTGTCTATCACATCAATCCAGTGCCGTGATCCTGTCACCTATCTAAATGGCAGAGAGCGGGCTACAGCTATCTCAATCCTCAAGAAGATCAGCCAGCACTCTTCAAATGAGCTAGAAGCCTCGGAACTGCGACGCGAGTTGCAGTTGATGATAATGCTTGGTGTCAAAGCAGAGATTGAGTGGCTCGATGAATCTGGAAACTTGTGTTCCTGGCTTGATGGTGAAATCGGAGAAGCACTCATTAGCGAGAGAGTCTGGCTTGCATGAACAATTTGAGAGGAACATCTGCTATGATCTCTAATGAAGGAGTCAATGTTCAAGAAAAAAAGAGGGAAATGACCTACCTATCATAGCATGTAGCCGGTAGCTTTCCTCATCGTTTAAAATCGAAAATGAAAATCGAACTTGACTACCCTGCAGCGAGCTGTACCCCACACTGTGCGAAAATAGCGGGGTATCTAACCACACAGTCCCCTCATCTTCATAAAATTTTATATTCTTGACATGAAAACATCACCAATCGCATCATCATGGCACCCAAACTCACAGAAGAAGAGATCGATGATCTCATTTACTTTGCACGAGCAGGAGAGCAGGAGGATCTGACTGAGACTATCAAGAGCTTGGCGGAGCGAGAGAATGTCAGCCCTGCTGAGATTGTAGCGGCTGCTCAAGATGCTTCCAACAAGTCAACATGTTTGCACATGGCGACAGGAAATGGTCACCTAGGTATGCGACATGCCATGAAAAGATGAAGATTTGTGAGGCTTGAGAACTGAGACTTCCAAATATTCATCTGAACGTTAAACAATATCAGACTGACATCTTGTAGAAATCGTTAGACAACTCATCCAATACTTCGATACCCAACCAAAGGAGCAGAAGCAAGCCTTCTTAGACGAGGCAAACGAAGCTGGAAACACAGGTCTTCACTGGGCAGCACTAGGCGGTCACCTCGATGTCATCAAGTTGCTCCTCGAGCAAGGCGCTTCTCCCGCGCTAGCAAACGAGCAGAACTACGTTCCCCTCGATCTGGCTTACTTCAACCACAAGAACGATGTTGCTGAGTACTTCTTGTCAACTGCTAAGAAGCTTGAGGAAAAGAACCAAGAAGAGGGTGGTTTGAGCGCTGCTGTTGGATCAGTTGAGATCGAGGAGGAAGATGATAAGGCCGAGGAGAAGAAAGAGACTTCATAGAGGGCGGGATAGGGTTGGAAAACGGATTGGAAGGAATGGATAAGATAGAGGGACCTCGTGAGGCTTAGAGCTTCGGAAAAGGATAGGGAGTTTAGGACTATATGAGAATAACGAAGATACTTTTCAAACAACAGGTGGAATACGTAGTAGATTTGGTCCAAGTTGGACTCACGACTTTAAAGAATGTGACAGTAAGGAGTCGCCTCAATAATCTGAGACAGATCATCTGGGATGATATATGTGCTTGAAAGCTTTTGTAGGTGACTACTATAAACTTCATTATGTCTATTAGGTATTAGGTATCCATCTATAAGTGCTCTGTAACAACTAAACGAGTAAGACGAGAAGATTATTAAGTTACTTGTAAATATATACTAGGGAAATTAATATAAGTGTGTCGATAAACGAAAGGGTTTTATTGCATGGAAGAAATATATATGTAGAGTATAAGAAACACCAGCCCTCCTCTCAGTCTTTGTTCCTGATCTGTATATATATAAATATGAAATTCCTAGCCCAAGCTCTTGGTCGACCCGCACGTGTCTCCTATTAATAGAATGATCATTCTTTTCTGTTGACAGCACTCCCCATTTGCGACGCTAACATGTGATGGCGTATCATACTTTCGACCCGGCGTATGATGTAAGGAATCTTAGGTGGGTTATTTAGAGCTCATTCTGGCCGAGAGCTGAAGTTTATCGAACGATGATGTGGATAGGAAAGACATGTCCCCTTAATGCGGTGGCTAGACTGACCTTGCTGGGATATCATAGGCTTATCAAACAGCCCAGTAGCTTTCAACGAAGGGCAGAAATAGCCAACTCAATCTGATCGTGATGCCTCTTGCAGAAGATTGTATCTTGATCCTTGATTTGAAGCCCACATCCAATTCTACTGCAAGTATGTAAAGGGCAGTATGTAGAGTATTGGGGGCCATTCCATGTAGTAGAAACATCTAAAAGGCAATCAACATCCTGGGCAGCGCAGGTATGTTTCATACAGAACATTCCTTTACGGCCATCATGAGAAACATGAACTTGATTCTGGCAGAACCCTGAAGAACATGTCTCTTTCGGCCGATATTCGCGTCTAACATGACTAACCTTGCGCCTCCTGTTCCTGGCAGAAATCTCGCCACAACGCATGACCAAGGCGTTGAGATCCCTTTCCGTTCTGTCAACTACAGAAGCCATTTTAACAAAGAACTTATCCTCCTCTTCAATCTTCCTCGCCTTTTTATTGGCGCACCTTTCGCAGTCACCTCCAATCCACATAATAGCATACTCCCTTTCGATAGTGGAGCTTGGGGGAGTCGTGTCTGATCCTGGCTTCATAGCTAAAACATTTTCTATGAAACAGCCGAGCCTATCATTGCAAGGGAAGAATGCACCTTGGGTGTCCTCCATGTAATGGGGTTTGCCATTGCTAGAGCAAGCATATTGGAGCCTGAGAATACGACACATTTTGAAACGTAATTCGAGCGGATCTTTCCTTTTCTCTCCTTTTTCCCTGTTTTTTCTTTTTTTCTTTTTGTGATTTTGTTGTTGCAACTGGTGGAGCAGGAGGAGAAGGGGATGGGGGGATAAGAATATTGAATAGATTTGTTATTGTAACTGAATGATAACAAAGCTTTTGAGGGGGAGGGGTTGCATTATATATGAATTTGAAAATGTACTTGACCAACTAACAGCAAGACCGAGTTGTTCAATATCAATCTGTTACCAGGTGTTCTTTCAGGAAGATATACCCCTGAACGTCGGATGCTTCGAACAAAGACAGAGTAGTACAAACAAATGCAGAAGACAATCCTGATATGTATGTTCAGTATATGCTCTTTTACTGGTCCAATATCTGAACTCGGTGCTTGAAATTTTGGAACTCGTGAACACAACGGAGGTTCTCGCCTTCCCAATAATGTTACAATAACCTTCCAAGTCTTACATGCTAGTCTTTGATATAACTCTGGGGACCATTGACTCAGAAACCGTTTGGAACATCTTCTGACTAGAAAATAGAACCTTGTATTCCTAGATTCTCTAAGTTATTATAACTACACATACCCGTACAACACATCAAAACCAGGCTCTTGTTTACTTGTTCAATTCCTAAACCTGTTTCTCCAGTGATCCTGCCACTAGCGACAATGTTTCTCCAACGACATGTACAATCTCATAGACCTGTATGCCTTTACAAGTTTCTGCCCAAAGTTTCACTGCTGCAATGGCCAGACGTCTTATCCTGCCAGGAAAATCGGACTTTGGGCCCAGCGATGCCTCTAGATGAGTCTCTTCGACTAGACGGTCGACCATAGATAGCAGACGCTTCTCCTCCTCTCTGAGAGCTGATGCACCATCCGAGAGAACTAGCTGATAAATATTCTCAAGCCAATGGGTAAGTAGAAGAGCGCACCCAAAGTGACTGATAGCATGTTGGACACTCCAATGACCTGTACGACCACGTGCCACGAATGCAATACCGACCCTCACAGGTATCCTCAAAGCGTAGATAGCATGAAGAACAGCTTGGTCGAGGTGCGGAGCACGAAGGGGTAAAGGATTCCGATGCGGTTCGAACACCTGAGCTTTTACTGTAGGGTCTCGGGATAGCAACTCGCATTGACTATAGAGGCCAAAACCAAGATGAATATGAGCTAGTCGGAGCATCGCAGTTGAGTTGAAAGGTAGAGGCGAATTCCTAGATGAAGGATCGGGTGCAGATTCGATAGCTGAGTCCCAGCAAGATTGCCAGGCACCGAGAGCAGCAGCATAAGTTGCAATGGTACTCTCCGACAGACTTGGTGATGGAGACAACAGGGCAGATGACACTTGACGCTCAAAGTAGATTTGTATCAGCAAACTCTGGATAAGCATATAATTGCCAAACTCAGTTGCCGAGACCTCCTTGGCTAGCGGCTCTCCAGACAATAATTGCTTAAAACATGACTGAAAGTTGAGCTTGTGTGGATCGACCTTTCGCCGTAAACTATTCCATGTTTCCGAGTCCGGTGCGTTGAACTCAGCTTCGGAGCAAGGAAGTTCGAAGCTAAACTCTGTGGCTGTCATCTGAGGCGGCACGTTGAAACAGATAGTTTGGATGTTTAATGTGAAATATGCCGAGAGAAGAGTGCGACGTCTCTCTTCATCGCGGCCCCAGTCCTCCCATGTATCATTGGCATGTTCCTCTGGTAGACGTTTCAGGATGTCGCGGGTGAGTGCAGTCAGTTGGCTACTCATAGCAAGTGCCTCCTCAGCGAGTGGCCCATCTAGCCATGACATAGTCATCACAGCAATCAACAAGGATTGTAATAGTTCAATATCGAATTTGGTTAAAGCAGCAGGGTGATTTGGTGGCGGATCAAAGACTTCTGTAGAGCTTGTAGGGAGCGCTGCAAAACGAGGGAAACCGTTGAGAATGTGGCGGTTTGACGCACGACGTCTTTCCTCCAGCTCATGGTTGATCATAGCTTTGGCCACAAAGTACATGGCATACCCCTGAGGGTGTTCAAATCCATAGAATGACCCTGTAGCTGCCAGCGTTAAGAGAAGCACAGGTGACATGGATTCCAGATTCGTAGTTGGAAGGTGGACGAATGGTAAATGTGGATGATAACCTCGTATCCAGCTTGCGATATATCGAGATAACGCATGTCTGCTGGGAAGTGTAAATGACTGGGGTATATCTGAGCTGTGCTTCGAGAACTCTCTGGAAAGTCTTTCATGAGCAGCAGCGGATACAGCCCAGGGGTTTGTTGCCACAATATCTTCTGTAGTATCTAACAGCCGTTCAGCCCTGTTTCGAACTGGAGTTGGTTGGACTTGTTGTCTCTGGCAGAAAAGTAGTGTCGACTTTGGTGTGTTGCTCAATTCTATATGACCAGGTGCCTCTAGCTGCAAATGGCTTGAGGGAGCAGGCGCAGGAACTGGCCCGGGAACAAACGATTGAGTAAAGAAGTTTGCTGTATCCGGTGTGAATCCTTGATGTGAGTCTTCAGGGGGAAGAACTCCCCCCAGGTAACTGTTGATCATGTCCATCTCGTCTGGGAACATATCCGCGTTAAATGATTCAAATTGCATGAAATCGAGACTGCCCAAAGTGCCCGCTGGGGTCGCACTGCTGTTGTGAATGGGATCTTTCGGCTGCTCAAAGATGTGGCTAGGGGTCTGCTGTTGGTAATCCAGTGGTTGATCATGAATTGAAAACCGGTTCATCATCTCTTGCTGAGAATATATTGTGTGAGGAGAGACTGATGTGTTCATTATACCAGAAGGGCTTCCTTGGAGTTGAAGCTGGGGATTGCGATGATTGATCTCATCGCTAGCTTGTGAGATAGAGGGAGAAGTTGTCACAGCCCCGTTGGGCGATATCGCTAGGTTTGATTCTACTTGTTTCCCTGAGCCGTGAGTAGAACATTGAGAAAGTCGACGATGGCGATTTAGTAGATCTCTAAGATCTGATCAGCTCTGTCAACGGAATAAGCGAATTTTGATATGTCAACTCACTGTCTTGTAAATGTTCGGCCGCATGGACACCCATATGGTCTTTCGCGTGTATCTGGAGAATGATCAGCACCACTTCAACAGCAACCCCTAGTAGAGTGACTCACGTGTACGAATATGCCTTTCAAGATGCTCCTGTCTCTTGAACTCCTTATTGCAGAACCTGCAAAGAGGCACTGGGAGCCGAGGTCTGCCTTTCATAGTGTAAAGTGGGACGTTTGGTCCGTGATATCATCGGTGCTGTATGTTGAGCTGCATCATTGAATACAGAAATGGGGACTTGTGCTAAGTCTGGTAGGGAAGAATATAAACATCGGCCAACTGCAGCATCTTCATACTCATCAATGCCAGACGGGGAGTGTTCGCGGAGTGTAGTTGATAACTGACAGAAGAACTGGGGTAGGCCCCAGGGCTCTTCAAGACCGGCCCGGTCGAGTGGAACCACGTGACGGTATCACCGCTGAACCGGTAACTACGACCGCTAACATCCAGTGACCTACCTTCCAGCGCTATTCCTGATCATCAGATAAAGGCACCTTAGTCGAAGTTTAATTTCAAGATTACTCAACCTCCTTACACGAAACGAGAATTTGATATTTATTCTTCTTCCAATTGCTTTCTCCATTTAGTGTACACTATGATTTACTCCTGTCTTCTCCGAGCCTTTACAACGACCGTTCCCGGACTTACAACACTTCCCGGTGGTTGAGCAATCTTGACAACTTCAGCTCCAACCTGATCTTCACCAACAACCAAATTGATCTCCATCTTCATGGCTTCAAGAACCGCTACAGTCTGTCCTGTCTCCAAAATATCACCAGGCTTGACCAGTACCTTCCAGACATTCGCGTTTACAGGCGACTCAACAACAGTAATCTCGTCCGAGTCAATGTCGCCATCTTCATCCGCACCACCATCAGATTGTTTTGAGATAGTCCATTCATCGAACAGCTTCTGCTCAAGTGCAGCTAACTCATCAGCTGCTTTTGATTGGCGCTCTCGCCACGCTTTATACTCTGGGTCCTTCTTTGCTGAATCAAATTTGGCGATGTACTGATCCATATCGATGGCTGTCTCGCTAATGTCAAAGGAATACTGACCAGCCTCGAAATCCCGCTCCATCTTATCGTACTCTTGTTCTGTCACCTCATAAAAACTGACAAGATCCAGATGATTGAACAGCCAAGGCTTTTTGGGAGAGAAGCCAGGCCGGTTACCTGTAGAATCCCAGCCACCAAGTGTTCGGCCCATGAGTTGGTATCCTCCAGGTGCAGCAACAGGATAGATGGCGACTGTTGATCCTCCCAACCCTACCGAGCCGCTGGGCGTATAGCCTCGACTAGGGTTATACTTCTGACCTGTCAACACCCGCCATGGGTCGAGAGGGAATAAGATAGGTGTTCCGACGAAGAAACCGACGGCAACAGTCAACCATGGTGTTTTGAGAAGAGAGTCCAATACGTCTCGGCGCGTTGCAAGAGCGTTGTTCTTGCGAAGATATTCGACATTGTCAGGGAGATATGCAGCTGTCGGTCTGATGTTCTCCATATACCGTTGCGCTGACTCCTCGAGTGAAGAGTGGTCAAGGCAGACAGGCAGCCTTATCTGTCGAGCAGGGATCTTCACGCCGCTAGTATCGCCAATATTTGTATCAAAGGTCAGAAGTTGTTGGAGAAGCTTAGAACGGTCTATATGGGCCGGATCAAAGCGCACAGTGAGAGTGGCAATGTTGGGATCACCCCGCACACTGGGCAGTTTCGCAGCTGCCAGCTGCTGAGTGAGCAGTTGGACACAGACTGTGTTTCGCAAGTCCGAAGTCTGGTTGCCATACTGAACGATTATGCTGGTATCACCTCCTTGACGGTATATCACCTGGGGATGTACGCCCCTTGCGGGTGACTGATGGAGGATGGAGGATGGGGTCCTCGCGGCGAAGGCCGTATTGAGAGCCCTTACATCTCCAGCCTTGCCATTAGCGAAGGCGGCCAGAGCTTCAAGGTAAGCGTTTTTCTCATGAGTGATCTTCAAAGCATCCTCGTACGAAACGGATTGCAGTCGAACGGTGTCACCAGGTTTGAGTTGACCAAGCTTCCACATCTCCCCAGAGCAGATTGTGGTTGGGCAGACAAAACCACCAAGGTCCGGTCGGTCATTAGCAAAGATGATGGGAGACTCTCCAGTAAAGTTGACACCGCCATTGGGATACCCGTACTCGAACACATTGGACGGATGTGATCCTCCCCCTCCTCCAGATGTTCGAGCCCACTTCAATCGCGGTCCTTGCAAGCGTATACCACTTCGGCCACTGTTGTGACTGACACTCCATTCACCTTCATACAACGTTTTCGATCCCTCCTCTGTCAGGATATCGCCTGAACCGTACGGCCCATCGATACAATAGATGGTGGTGCTTCCAAATTTGGGAACGTGATGGGATGGAAGGCTGAATATTGTCGCTTCAGCTGCCCACGCTTTGGAATCGGGAGATAATGGGAGTATATCGTGTGTCTGAAGCTTTCGACCTTGGTAACCACCGAACCCAAGCTCTGGGGCGGTTGACTTGGAGCCGAGGAACCCTGGGACGTCGGGAAAGCCGCCTCTAACAGCGAGATATGCCCGCGCACCACTTCCAGTGATTTTACCAAGACTCAAAGTCTGTCCCTGTTTGACCACAAGTCTGGACCACAGCGGCTGCGGGCTACCATCGACCGTGATGGGAAGCTCGGCACCACAAACACTGACAATCGCAGCCTCATGAAACATCAACTTAGGCCCGGATAGAGTCACCTCCAATAACTCAACTCCTTCGTCGTTACCAACAAGAATGTTTGCCATCCGAGCACTAAGATCATCCATGGGTCCTCCGGGGGGCACGCCGTGCCCAACAGAGACGCGCCCTGGGTAATCCTGGATCGTGGTGGATACACCAGGTTCAAGGACTTGCATTGAGCAACTCTTAAACTCGAAAGTTGATAGCGAATTGGTCAGGGTGTTCCCACTTGCAAATAACTCCGAGTCAAGAATTGCCGAGAGGTACTCCAAGTTGGACTGAGTCCCCTGAAGTGCTGTATCCGCCAATGCTGCAAGCATCTTGCGTCGCGCAGCTTCTCGACCATCGGGGCTATGGACCATGATCTTACCGATTAAGGGGTCGTAAAGAGGAGTGATGCGCTGGCCGCTTCGGACCCAGGTGTCAACTCGCACACCATCGCCTCGTGGCCAATGGACGTGTTGGAGAACACCAGGACTGGGTGCGAAGTTGCAGAGCGGTATCTCAGCATACACACGAACTTCGATCGCTGAACCAACGGGCTGTGGTCTACCAAGGCCCTTGAGAGCATCAGAGGGAATGCCAAGTTGGTCTTGAAGTTCGTAGTCCGCTTGTCTTAACATCAACTCGACCAAGTCAACTCCGTGGCACAACTCAGAGATACCATGCTCCACTTGTAGTCGAGTGTTCATTTCCAAAAAGAAGAACTGGGCAGTATCGTCATCAACAAGGAACTCGACTGTACCGACGCTCTTGTACTTCAGCTGCAGTGCGTAATTGACGGCCGCGTCAAGCATTCTTTCGCGTAGTCCGGCATGGCGCTCCAAGAATGGGCTCGGTGACTCCTCGACCACTTTCTGATGGCGCCGTTGTAGCGAGCACTCGCGTTCTCCAAAAGCGACAACAATCTCACCGTTGCCTGCAACTTGAACTTCGATGTGGCGAGAACGAGGGTAGTACTTCTCCAAGAAGACTCCCTTGTTCTTGAAGAGCGTGCCAGCGCGACTCTCGACCATAGCAAAAGTCTTCGCAATCTCATCTGCGGAATTACAGATCTGAAGACCCATACCGCCACCGCCACCAGTAGCTTTAAGCATGACTGGGAAGCCCAACTCTGTTGCGGCTTTGGTAGCTTCTTCAGCAGACGCTAAGAGTTGAGTCCCAGGGATGACTGGCACATTGGCAGTTTGTGCGATGCCTCTAGCCTCGTGTTTTAAGCCCATGGCTCTTATTGAAGCTGTTGAAGGGCCGGCGAAGACGATGCCGGCAGAGGAAATTGTATCAGCGAACTCTGCGTTTTCACTAAGGAATCCATATCCGGGAAATACGACATTTGCGCCTGTGCGCTTGCAGATATCCAATATGGCATCGCTATAAGTCGTAAGTGTTTAGACACGGTAACTTGGTAGGATAAAACGTCGATACTTACCCATCTGTATACGCCGAGCTATCCTCTCCTGGTAAAAGGATTGCTTCGTCTGCCAACTTTACATGCAGGGAAGTTGCATCTGCATTGGTGAACACTGAGACAGCATGAAGTCCAAGTTTCCGACAGGCATTTATGCAACGGACAGCAATTTCGCCGCGATTCGCTATCAGGACCTTGCGGATATGTTGTAGTGGGTGTAAGTCAAGTGAACCCATGACTGCGACGGAGGCAAACGGGACAGTTCACTACAAGACGAAAGATATGATAAGACAGATATGAGAAAAAAATTAGCTTTTGGGTAAATGTCTGAAAGATCAGACTTATTATGAACTGATCAGAAACATGGAATGAACGTATGAGTTGATGACCAGCAGCTTGGAGGTGTTATCAAAACTGGGGATAGCCTCTCCACCTCCAGGTTAAGATGCACTATCTCGATAGCTTATCTACCCCAACGCGGGGTGATCAAAAGAGGTAAGAATTCGGGCACCCGGAATTTGTGTTCCTATTATGGTAAGCAATTGGGGTAGGGATCCCCATGTCAGTGAGATTGAGACCACAAGGGATGCAGATGGTACAGTCTTGTTGTGATGTGAGGTACAAGTGCTTATGGTGAGATTTGGTAGGTAGCAGGCTATTGGAAGCTGCAGTTGAAGCATGGCAATGCGAAAGAGCTTACTGCAAGGTACGAAACAGAGTGGACATTGAGAGCATCATGGCTGTAATTACACGGAGCTTTCAGTAGTTAGCTGTCGGCACATACTGCATTCAACGATTGCGGTCTGAATGTGTAAGAACTTAATTAAGAACGCAACAGTTTGATTCAGATTGTCCACAAACAAGTGACCTCTTGGCCGGATGACTCTAATTCTCTGCTTTCCCACCACTGAAGCTCTAAAGCCCGAGCGAAGCAAGATCAGTGAGCAGTCGCGCCGTAATGCTCAATGAGGTTCCAATAAGAGTGTGCAGTCCAACGTCTCAAAGGTTTGCCAACGTAGATCATCATGATAGCAGTGCACCAGACAGCTTCTCCCAACACGGAAATGAGGATGAATGCATTGCGAAGTCCAAGGTTCTCGATCATTGGAACCACCGCGTACCCAAACGCGAAACCTGGATAGCGTTAGTATTGAAGACCTAGTGATTGAGGTGTGTACATACCCATCATGTTGCGAATCAGGATGGTCGATACAAGACCTTCTCCGGCGACCTCCTTGTAAGTGTCGAGGATATAAGTGAAGGCAAGGTTGGACCCCATTGGAAGAGTGACGCAGATCAGGCCAAGACCAAACACAACCCCGAACCAATGGATGTGATATGAAGCGCCAACGCCGTAGAGCAAACAACCTGCAGGATGCATGACGAGGGCGACAAGACAAGTCCAGAGACGCTGCTCGGGTTCCATGACACCTCCATTTCGACGGGCAAGGAACAAAGCCAGGGCATCTGACATCCAGCCTGACAGGAAGCACCCAACAGTTACACCGACAACTGACGCCAGATACGTGAGTCCAATGTTGTTGGCACTAAAGTTGTATGGTGGGTTACCCAGAATCAGTGCCAATGAGCCTCCAACAACATTGTACCAGGCAAGGATTCCACCGACGAGAAGACCACCGAAACCAATACCGGGGAAAGCGAAGAGCAGTCGAATGGGGAGGAAGAAGAGCTTGAAGGTGCTGGGCTGTCGAGAGTCGTGATAACCCCAGACCTTGAGCTTCCCCAGATATGTCTTTTCGCTTTCACCTGGTGTATACGCCACTGCCTCCATTGATCGTGATGTGGACTTCTCGTCTTGGACTGAGGGGTCTTGTTTTTCTGACTGAGTTTCGATATCCTTTCCGACTGTCGCAGAGGCTTTGATAGTAGTTGGGTCGAGTGCAGCTGTATCAGACAAGTTTCCGACGTCATGGTGGCGGTAGAACATGGTCTCTTCGAACAAGAAGAATGTGATGATTGCAACACTTCCTCCGATTATGGTGAGGATATACTGGATCCATCGCCAGCCGAGTTCTTGGGCAACATAGCCTGATGCCACAGGTGCAAGGAACGCGCCGCACCACAAGGTCCAACTGTAAGCACCCATGTAAAAGCCTCGGTCGTGAGCGAAGAAGATGTCCCCAATGATGACTTCGATAAGTGTTTCTTGGGGCGAAGCACAGATACCAAGCAGAACTCGGTTGGTGAAGAACTCTCCTCTCGACTTAATAAAGGCTGTCCAAAGAGTAATGCCCGTGGTGAGAATGACAGAAACAATAAGAGTCAGGCGCCGACCATATGCAAGAGCAACGCATTGAGTAATCATCGTTCCCCAACCAAGAAAGAGGAAGAGAATACCATTACCAGTACTCAGGTCTGCGATGGAGATACCGGTGTCTTCCTCGATCAAGATATAAGCTGGTGACAAGCCAGAAATCATGGCAGCAACAAAGAAGCACCATACCATGGCGCAGATGATATTTCTTGTTTTTCGAGGGATACTCCAGCGTAGAGGATCATCGGGGTCGTCACTGGGCTGCGGAACGAGGACGATGTCGCGTGATTGCTGGCCATGTTTCACGTTGAAGATGCCTTGGACATCAACTAGCTGGACAGTTCCAGGAATGGCGACTTCAGAAGTCATTGCACCTGTAGTTGATCACGAAACAAATATCAGGAAGAACAAAAGGGACGGCAATGAGAATTCTGTGAATTTTGCGAGGCAAAGTACTTAAAAACTGCACCTTGTCATAAAACATCACAACAATGCAAATCATCGCGACATCTATATGATTTATACTACCTTATTATCATTTACTAGACGAAGTGGCTTGCGATAGGCAATCTAGACAACTTATTTCTACCCCAACCTTTCGACTCTTATCGCGCGTCCCTTGATATGATGGACAGGGGGGGCTAAGAAGCTAAGCTACCATCCCCGCATTGATGGCTCGTCATGTGTGACCAGGACCGGCATTGTTTGAGGGCAGTTCAAGGGGTCTGGACATCTGGCCATCTTATTACTTTCTTAGCGAGGAACGATTCGAGTTCTCGCTTGGAGGCGTCGGGCAACCATTGTGTCGATACGGCTGCCATTCTTGCTGGGTGGGCATCACGCAGTAACAAATCCACGTATCAATGTCAAGTATCTCGATAGTGACCCTTATATCGATGATTTAGATGTTTAGAAAGTATGGGATCAGGTCCGAAATCGGTTTCCAATTTCTATGTACATCCTCAAACCAAATTAACTGGGTGTGAAGCAATTCTACAATCTATGGCCGTTTGTATTCTGCGAATGAAATTTGTTTCGGTTTGCTTCATCCACTGCCTTTCGAACCAACCTCGCATTCTCCAGCACAGTCGGTGAATCAGAATGCAGACATATGCTAAACGGCTTCCCCTTAAATCCAAAGTTGAATGGATCTCCGTTGATATCCTTCCCTGTATCTTTCATAGCCGCACCAAAAGCCCGCTCATAACACAACTCCGGTGTTACAGGATGAGATTGCGCAAAAGGAACAAGTCTCCCTTCTGGTGAGTAGTCGATATCGACGTAGACCTCTCCTTGGAACGGAACGCCCATCTCATTGCACATAGCCTCCTGTTCTGGGTTCTGGCAGGCGTATACTGGAACTTTGAAAGTTGCACAAGCTTCAAGTACAGCTCTCATTATGCCCTTGTCTCTTTGCATGTAGAAGAAGAGTTCTCCATGAGGTTTTATGTGAGAGAGCCCAACACCCTCTGCGTCAAGCATAGCTTTTAGAGCTCCGACTTGATACAGGACCATGGCGTACATGTCCTTAGGGTCGATTTCCATTTTTCGACGTCCAAAGCCAAAGAGGTCTTGTAAGCCAGGATGAGCACCAGCTTTGACACCATGTTGCTTGCAGAGACGGATTGTCTTTAACATGATGGATGGATCACCAGCGTGGAAACCACATGCAATATTTGCTGCGTCTATTAGAGGCATGAGTTCCTCATCTGGACCCTATTGAATCTTGATTAGTATTTGGTAAAAAAAAACACAGTCTGTCAGAGATCATACCATTTTCCATCGGCCGAAGCCCTCTCCCATATCAGCATTGATCTCATATCTTTGCGCTAAACCAGTCATGATGCAGGATTTCTGATAGACTGAAAAATGATTCGACTTCGAGATAGGTCAACACTCGTGCTCAAGTCATGATTCGATGAGGAATTTGTGTTCATTATCTCTCCAATACACGTGATACCTCTCCCCATTTAATTGCCTCGTAACAATATGACGTTGCTGATCGCTGAACCCTATGTAACATTGGAGAAGTAGTTAATCATGATTGAGGGACGATAGTCGGGGTAGAAGATGTCCGTTTTGGGAAGATTGGGGTAGTAAGTCTGATAAGCGGTTGGAGCTTATCACGTACCCCAGTCAATAGACAAGCGCCTTTATCCTTATCCTGATTGGATACCCTGGAGCACTTCATATTTGATATTGTACCAACTGGAGGGCGGGATCGATTACCGTGTTCTCGATAGGACTTTTGCAGGTCTTGATAATGTTCTTCAAAGGGAAAAGGGAAATCGATTCGACTGTAGAGCTGTAAGCCCTGCCTCTATTCCCATAGCTCCCACGTGTCATGATGTTGGGTATAGGCAGTCTTCCGTACAAAAAATTACTACGTTATGTTTTTCGACTACGATCGAGAATCGATTCACCAAAAGCCGAGGGCTCTTCATACAATATTACATTTAGATCAAAAAGCATATCACCAATAGCTGGGTCGAAACAATACTCATAGTTAACTGCTCAAAATTGGCGATTTTCACCGAGGCAATCAGGTTTATTATGACACTTCTAAGTTCTCAGTCTCTTGGCAATATACTGAGCGGCCATGACATTATGACCTTTCTAAAGGGAAAATAAGAATACAACAATATTATGCTATTTTGAGACTGTGACACTCGCTTAAGCTCGCCTCTCGTGATATGGACTTCTCTGTCGTGTGTTCTGACAGTCTGATGTAAGAAGCCATCAGGGTTCTCGCCTACCAACCCTTTTGGTGTCGCTAAACCAACATACCTAACTTTTTGCTCGCAAAATCTCATCTTCGACTATTTTGACCATCGTGAGACTCGAATTGAATATACTATATAGCTCAAAAACCCATTAATCAAACCTCTTGTCAGAATGGAGCACGACCCCGTGGAGGATATGCCCCATTGCCATCACCACCACCACCATCTGCAGTACCATACTCATCATCATCACCATGGTCCATCTCACGAAGTCCCAAGGTCAATGGGGGAGCAGAACAAGGCTCATTACAAGTACGACCCTTTCAACTTACTATGACCCTCGCAAGGACTAACTCGCGCCAGTAACGTTCCTCCAGCGCTATTTCGATGGCCTTGGATTATCGAGCTGTGCAACCAGATATCAAAAGAGCTGCGTTCGAATATAGACTGGATTGGTATCAAGCCACCGTCTTCAAGACCGACAAAACTGTTAGATTACGCCTGCGGTGATGGCGTGGCGTCTCGGGTAAGATCCAACGACCTTGACCGTTGAACTCTATCCTGACTTTATTAGGCACTTGCACCGTTCATGTCTACAGTCAGAGGCATGGACATAGCATCAGGAATGGTAGAGCAGTATAACCAAATGGCATTGAAAACAGGGTATACGCCAACCAAAATGCGAGCTATTCAGGGTGATCTTATCGATCCCGAGTTGACGCCATCACCGGATATCAACACGCCAGCATTCTTTGATTTTGATGTAGTCGTCATGTGTATGGCACTTCATCATATAGAAGACCCGGATGACATGATACTACAGCTTTCAAAACGACTGAGACCAGGAGGAATCCTACTTATCGTTGACTGGCTTGCAAACTCTGCGAGCAGTAGTGCTCAGACAGGAAATCGAACGCTAGGAATGCCCAGTGGAGCGATGAGTAGAATGGGATTTCAAGAGAATGAAGTCAAGAGTGCGTATGATAAAGCTGGACTTGAGGATTGGTCGTGGAAATTGACTTCGGCGCCGTCTCAAGTACCAAGAGAGATTGGAGGTGAACAGCAGTTGTTTCTTGCTCGAGGGAAGAAGCCAGTTACTTAGCACGTACTATAAACCTGATTTTAATTTGTCCAGTCACCCGATCGAGATATTGACAGTTGTCATTTTTCAACGACGACCTGTACTTCTTGAGGTGTAGTTGATATCATCCACAAGTTTCTTGAGCTGTCTCTGGAGATCGTACAGACACGTTGCTGTAAGGTTCGAGCGTCGGGTCATCTAATCTCTAAATTTAGCACAAAAAGGAAACTCCCGACTCTATCAAAGGCCAGATAGTCTTGAATTATCACCCCTGTCAGCACCCATCAGCCCTATGTGACATTCAAGAGGCTCTTGTTAAATGCTTGGTTGTTGGTGCAACATCAGCTTGCAAAGCCGTGACTGGCTGCCACGACAAAGACATCCACTTTGACCAATGGATCGATCTCCAAATTGACACTTTCCAGGTATTTGATCAAGTCATCGAGCCAGTCATGGCAACGATTGATAGCCTGTCGCATCCGCCAGGATTCGAGGCGCAGCAGATGATCCTTGTCGTCAGTCACACGATGACTCTTGAACTTGTCTCTTTTCAGGCTTGATGGGCAATAAAGTCGGTAATCTGGCTATTTCCTTGAGATTTGAGATTGATTCTCAATGAACACATATCAACTTTAGAACACCACAGTTCTACTGCATCTTATTTCGGGGCACATATTCTGAGCTCTCAGGTGGAGTGTCAAGCCAAATTAGCGGCCTGCATACGCCAGACCAAACATGATAGGCTATCAAGAAGCGCTTATTTCGCTAGAGTTAGCCTACCTTGCTGTTACAAGCGAGTTACTGAACTCATTGAATTCAACGATATGATCTTACGTATCGTGTCAGGGTGTCAGCTCATCCCCAGAAGCGAAGCTGTGCCTTTTCTTAGCTTCTTAGCTTGCGTCAGCACAACCATTCCTTTTAGGCATCCAAACCATTTAGAGAAGCGCCACGTTTCGCAATAGGTTAGGTGACAGGCTATATACCCGAGCTTTTTTCATTTTTCGTGTTCAGTCTCACCCTCTATTTTAACCTTATTTCTTCATTACCCATATTTTCCACCTACATATCAACTCAACCATTCAGATCACAAGAGGTAAGCATTTTCAATGCCTTTTCTGTTTTTTCTTTCTTTTTCTGACATCACCCTAGAGCCAATATGAAGCCCCAAGTACTTCTCGCGGCTGGTCTCGCTACCGTAGCCATGGCCGATCAGTGGCCCATGGCCAAGGAGAAATGCGGTCGTCTTGGACCCATGGAATGGGACCCCAATGACCTTCCTGCCGATGTGGATGTCATGCAAATTCGAATGTGCGCTGATCATCCTATGGGGGCTGGAAATTACTGGGGATGGGGCGAATATCTTCCCGACTGGTTTCCTCGCAACCCTTTTGCTGATATAGTCATCGATTGGCTTTGGTGGCCTTAGATTGGGGTGTGAGGTGATACGGGATGAGGATCTGGGAGATGAAGAATGCAATTATGAGTAGGAAGCGCTAACGTCAGTGAATATAACTTGTTCTTGCATGTCTCAATCAAAGGAGTTTTGTATCCTAACGAGGTTTTTCTCCTTTGCATTTCTCAAGACCTGATTTTCCAGACGTAACTGAACTATGATTTTCTATAAACTTCAGATAAGAGAAAGCTCACCAAGTTCGGCGCTTGCTGTCTGAAGGAGTATGTTCAAGACCCTCACAATGTTCTAATCAGTATCCAGTTGTAAGTTCTCTTTTAACAGCGTCCTCCAGAGTCTCCAGATCTTCATCCTTGAGTCCAATCCTCTCATTATCCGTCTTTTCATAAAGCGTTCCACCCTCAGACCAAATGCGTCGGAGTGTATAAGAAACAGCCTTGGGATTTCCAGCAGCCCATCCCTTCTTCTCTGCTTCCCTCAACTCATCGAGAGTGTAGCTTGAAATTTCCCAGGGTTCACCTCCTGTTTGCTTCTCAAGCTCCTTGAGAATCTGCTTGGAGTTGACAACGAAGGATTGAACGACGAGAGCGCGGTTGAAAGACTCTGCTGGGTGACGAAGAGCTGCGACTACAGCCTTTCCAACACTATGAAACATTAGTCACAGATTCATATAGTTTAATCACAAGATGGAACTTACTCAGGCATAGTAGTGAAGCCAATCTTGCCCTCCCCATTATCAATCAAGACCGCCTTCTTATTCTTATGGTCAAATCCTCCAGCCTCAATAACATCAGGTGAAAGCGTAAAGTACATATCGATATACGGCCCAGTAACGACAAAAGTATACTTCAGACCATTTGCGTTCTCTCGAATGTACTTTCGTACCTTGAGTTTCAGCTGATGAGGCTTCTCGCTGGCACTTTGGGGACCGTATTCGATATCCGTGCCGTATTCAGAAGGGAAAAACCACTTCACTGAGCCAGACTCAGCTGCAAGTCTAAAGAGCTCGATCTGTGTCTCGATGACATTGCGTCCCACTGCGCTGATGACGGTGTCGACCCCTTGGTAAGCTCTCTTTACGTCTTCAGGGTTGTTGACATCTCCTGTGATAATCTTGACGGCCTTTGATTTGAGCTCGCTGATCAATTCTGGTTTTTTGGTAACTGTGTCTTCTGAGGTGAAGATGGCCACATGATCGAATGTTGGCTGGGCATTGGCGATAGCATTCGTGATATATCGCCCGATGTTCCCGGTAGCTCCGAAAATGAGAATACTCTTAGGTTGAAAGTCTGCCATATTTGATTGAAGCTGACTCTCGATACCCGTAGGTCAATCCGTTGCGTTTATAGATAATTCTAAGTGGGATTTATAAGCTATGATCCGGTATCGTATTTATAAGCTATAGACTATTAGGGTTCTTGCCTTTGTCTAGATTGGAAAGTGAATGATGATCGGAGTTGAACTAATGTCAAAGCACGCCCTTTGTTATCACGCCCTACGGGAAGAACTTGATGATATAACTTGCTCAGTTCATGGCGGGCCGCGGCGGGGTTAAGCACGACATCAATGAATTGCCTAATGTGGTTGGTAAACCAAGTTTGTCAGCCTCGATAGTTGAGTCACTTCAATTGAATCAACTATCATGGGAATTGCAACACCCTTTATGTCAATATCATGACTTCTTTCAACTTCAACTGAACTTTTCCTCTGGAAGGCTTTCGACAGTACGGAAAGCCAGATGATTGGCCGTGCTTTGAATTATTTATTGATTCCTCTTATTTATTTAGACTTTGTGTGATACTCATGATTGAAGTTTATGGCACGGCTCAACTTAAGCTTTAATCGATCAAGAGACTGTAATTAATTAACTTTCATAGATTTTATAGATACATCTTTGAAAATGTTCACACTCTAGAGAAAGCCTTATCTTGATTCGATGCAGCACTGTTGAGATAAAGCCTTTTCCTTTACGTACCAAGCTTAAAGGCTGCAGGGTCGTTTACAGTTAGTCCAGTTATAGGTAGTAGCATGTTTTCGACTTGCACTGGACAAGTGAGGGCAGAATTTCAGGAGTCAAAGTTAAGACTATGTTGAGTTCGCTTCATAGATGGTAGCGAAGCAAAGATAAGAGGTACTTTTGAGGGCATCATTTTAAGCTTTCCTCTTCGTACAATAGTCAAGTTGCCCTTGTTCATATTGCCTAAGAACATTTGCAACAGCTTGCCTAAACCGAAAGTATTCTCGACCAGCGTGGTGTAAAAGTAACTCTGCACTTAATACATACATGTTCGTTCAATTGTCAAGGGCTGGAGTGGCGATACCTCGTGGTTCTCAATGAAGAAGGTTTTCATATTGAAGTTACTCTACAGCAATCCCAATTCTATCTGAACCATACTATGTTGAATTCTTCTATAAAAAGAATTCTCGTCTCCAATTTTGTCGTTCCCAACTTCATTACTTCTCACGCATTCACTTCGTCTTCAGACACTCTGACGTCTTCATAGACTCTCCCCATAATCACACATTTCGCCAGACTTTACACATTCGAAATGATTCAACCAGAAGACGTAGCCCGATTCTCCCGCACTTCCCTGTACAGGGACATCGAACTCGGTCTTCACAATCTCCTCATCAAGAGGAGGAATGTCCTTGCTCCACCTCACTCCTCGACCGCCCAACGCTACTATGCCGTTGGCGAATTCTTCAGCCGGCCACCCAACAGTTGCTGGTGTGACAACAGCGAGCCATGTACTGATGGACGGTACTGCTGGGAAACTCCTTGTCCTATCCTCGGCAAGGACATGAATTTCAAGATCTGCGACCGCGATCACTTCGATGGCAAAGGGTGTACAGATAGGTTTTGTTTCAATCCCAACGCCAGCGCGAGGAAGTACATGTTGGGCTTCATTGCAAAGCGCGCAAGGCAAACACCATTTGAAGAGAGGCTGAACCCCGTGGCTCATGGCCTGGTTAGGAAGTACAGTGCCAAGATCGCCTCAAGAGGCATGGAGAAGTTCTCGCAATAGTGCATATGCTATTCGAGGATCTTCGTTACCCGATTTCTCTGAACTGGGATCCCTGAGGTTCACGGGGTTTTAGGTTGGAAGAAGAAGCCCATTGATAAATGCGTTGCTAAATTGGTATTTGAGATCCATGGGGTTAAATGGAAGAGGGATATGCGGGAATACTGGTAGAAGCAGGTGAGGATATTGCTTCAACTCTTTGGTGATACGCATTTTGTCTGACCGGGGAATACAGTTTTTTGGACCATAGAAGAGGTCTGGAATGTCTTTTTGTTCAAAAGTTTGTTCCAGAACTGGAACCTGGTTAAAGTTCTTCGTCATTATATTTTACACTATTCATATCGGCGAGTAGCTTATGGATATTTACGGTTGCTTCAACGGCGCAATAAGAGTTATGTCTATTCAGAATTCTTTAATGATATATCTTAAACCTTCAATACCCAACACCTTACAATGAATGACCCTCGACCCTCAAAACAGTCCTCAAATGTGTAAACGCCAACTTCGCTCCCTTATGACAAGCCAAAAGATTCGCCGTCTTGAGCACATTCTTGATCTGTCGACCATTCAGCTCTAGACCAGCCAGAGCCTTGATCTCTTCCTCTGAAATCTCATGCGCAGAGTCGCCCTCAACCTTTGCATCTACGCTAATAGCACGACTCAAGAAACCTCGCCAAACAGACTCTCGAGCGGTGTTGTCGAGGGGAGGATACTCGAGCGACATGTGGATTCGGCTTTGGAAGGCTTGATCCATGTCTTTGACGCGATTGGTGGTGAGGAAGAGAATACCTTCATAGTATTCGAGCATGCGAAGGAAGATTGAAACAATGCGATTGCGTTCGATGTCATGTGCGGATCGAGCCTCGAGGAAGACGTCACATTCGTCGAGAAGGAGGACAGCGTTCCAGTTGGCCACCATTTCGAGAATACGTTGAAGATTTTCCTCAATATCGTAGGCGTCGCTGCCGAGGTCACCAGCGCTCATGATGTAGAGGGGAACCTTCATTTCCTCAGCCACCGACTCAGCAGTCAGTGTCTTACCAATACCAGGACCACCCGACAGGAGCATGATAATACCCTTACCCTTGCCAGAGATGATATCATCAAAGACGTTCTTAAACTTGACCTGACTTTGGGCGAAAGCGAGAATAAGTTCCTTTTGGTCGGCAGGAAGAACAAGAGAGTCGAAAGCTTTCTCATTGAACTTGACCTCTGTTACATCATCAATGAAGAACTCCATCCATCGCTTGTTTTTGAGAGCGTAGCCGCGGACCAGAGGACTTGTCATGATAAGTTGCTCTTCAGTGAGAGGAGCGCGCTGGTCATCGTCAAAGTCGGGCTTCTTGTCACCCGAGTCGCTTGAACAGTCGCTGTAAGAATCGCCGTCGTCGCCATCGCCAGCATCACTATCCCGATCACTGTTGGCGACAGGACCGTCACCGGTCAGATAGTTAAGCCAAACGGTATGGTCGGGGTTCTGCTTCTCCCAATTCGCCCCATCGATGACAATGCGTGAGTTGACAGTCTCTTTACGAGACTTGTTCGCATTGACCCACCAGATGGCAGTGCCGCTGTATGCCTTGTAGTAATAGCCCGCGAGACTCTCAAACTTGCGTCCACGCTCAAGGAGCATCTTGTGGGCTGCGTCATGATTTGGGTGGTACTTAAGAGGATAGCATGAGAGGCTGGAGAAGGGAGCAGTGCCAGGGAAGTCGTTGATCTGCATAGTGATATCGCACCATCCCATACTTCTTCCATCCCAATCAATGCCTTTGCAGTTCATCATGTAGGCAAGGCCGCCGCAAGGTGTCTTTGCGAGGTATCCAGAGTCGAAGCGAACAGCAACGGGTCTTCCCTTAACAGAGCCCCAAACTGTGCAGCCAGGAGGGAAGAGAGTCCAAACATGCTCGAAGGCAACAGCGCGGTTCTTGAAGTAATCCTCCCGAAGCTGAATAATCTCGCCCAACTCATCCCTCATGATTTTATGCAACAGCGAAACATGCTCGCGGGTGATTGGGTCATAGTTAGGATCATCCTTCGCAGCAGTGAATTGATCCCAGCGATGAACAAAGCACTCAAAGGGAGCAAAGAACTTGAGACGTGAAACATCAGTAACGATACCAGGGTATCCATCAAAGACCTTTCCGAGAACGCGCTTGAGGTAGGGAGATTGAATGACGAGGGAGTCTATGTCGAGAGGCTTGTTGGAGTCAGCCTCCTTTGGCTTTCTCTTGCGAATGATGACGGCGTATTTTTGTGTCTCTTCATTTTCTGCTGCTTCTTCAAGATCATCGGGATATTTGTCTGTCCATGATCGGTCTCCGTTCTTATCGAACTTGGCGTACAGATCTTTGCTTTCTGTGACGAGACCGACCATGACCTTCTCCTTCTTCTCTTCGTCTTCTTTTGGTGTTTCTTCTGTCTTTTGTTCTGTCTTGGTCTCTGTAGTCTCCTCCTTAGGATCTGTGTCTGCTGGTGTCAAGATAATGGCCGACTCGTCGCCGCTGCTCTTGTTTGAGTCCATAGTGTCGGTAGTCATGATGTGTGTATTGGTGTTGATGGGATATTATGTGAGGGAGGGTTGATGGTTCTTGTAAATCTTAGAGAACTGGAATGAATAGTCTTAAAGGATATTATTGATGATGATAGTCAATTTACATCAGCATATTTCTTCCTCTTTATACAACATGGATTCACCCTCAAGCAAGGCTTCCATCTGTAGGCATGGCGGCATATTACTCACACGGCATTGCCTAGACCCGCAAAAAGGAATGCCAAGTCAAGCTGTGAATAGCTACGGGGCCGAAAATCAATAGTAAACAGCGGGTAAAATCCTCTCATAATCTTCTGATAGGCTGAATGATGTCGTCGGCGACCATTTGCAGCAATTGCTGACCATGCTGATCGCTGCACAGCCCGTCAATGGATCTAGATCCAGGCACCGGCCCATAAGGCTTAGGCTGCCTCTACCCTAAGCTTGGGTGCCAAAAATAACTAATCTAAAGGTCTGCAAAGTCTATACTAAGCTTACCCAAGTATTTCTATCATTTAGAAAAGAGGTCCAAAGTTTTCTTGCCTCCCCTTGGTCTGCCTGTAGGCATCCAGCACCAACACCGCCTCAAAACTGTAAAAACAGTTGTAATTGGTATAGTTGCGTTTTTTTCGAACCAAAGTCCCGTTTATAGGAAGTTGAACCTGGGATTGGATGGCCGAAAGAGTCATCGGCGGTGTTGTTTGAGGACTATCCAAGATCTGCATCGACACGAATGTTGAGCAACGTGAAATCACACATCATCACAGGCAACAAAGCTACACCGACGAATAATCAGAGATATCGCCAAAAAGCCTTCTTTGTACAACCGTGAATGTGTAACTACAAATTTCCACCGTCGAGGATACTCGCAGCAGCTTCTTTGATAGCAGCCTGCGCTAATAGAAACAGACTCGGTCCAACACTAATCCTCGCAACGCCAATCTCACCCAATTCCTTGGTCGACAGCGCATCTTTCGTTCTGTGCGCCAACTTGACCGCAACCCGTCCATCAAGCTCCTTCACCAATGCCTCGACCCATGCATTTCGTAGTCCACGTCCGGATCCGCCCCAGTAAAACACGGTTGTAGCACCAGCTTCGAGGTACGCTTTTCCACGTTTGATGGCTTCTTTCATCGCTTCAGCTTCCGATATGCCTGTATCAACGTGGAAGGTGTCGCATCGGGCGTTGATGACAAAATCAGGACAGCCTGCGTCAGAGGCGGCTTTAAGAGCTGTTCTAAGTCGCTGGACTTGTTCGTCGATGGGGTAGAATTCGCCTGTTTCAGAGCTCACGTCCTCGATGTTGGCGCCAACAACACCAAGCTCAACGGCTCGTTTGACAGTAGACTCAATCTGAGACCCGTATCCATCTTGTAAATCGGCAGACAGCGGGATTCCAGCCGCTTTGGCGAGCGGTGCAACCTTGCTAATCGCTTCCATGTTCTGCTCTAGGGTGAGCTCCTCATCTTGGATACCATATGTCGCTGCAACAGCCCAAGACGCTGTCGCTAGAGCCTTTACTGGCTTGGAGGTCCCATTGCTGAGTGAAGTAATGGTTTGGAACGAAGCGACGTCCCAGATATTCGGGAATACAACTGGTGATGATGGCTTGTGGAGAGCCTTGAGCTGTTTGGCGAGGTCGTTAGACATGGTCGATTAATGTTGATGATGTATAAGATATTGGTAGTTCTTTGTTTATATTTAAGTTACGATATTTCTCATGATCTTTATAAGCCAAGACAGAGGAGTCATATCTGCATGTCAATACTTAGTGTGTTGCTTTTGATGTGAAGGGCGCGGGGGACGGGGTAATTCGGCATAAGACGGGTTAGGTGAGTTATACCGACCGCATCAACGAGGCTTTTCAACACCAATAATTGCATTTTGGGCTATCATTTGATGAGTCTTACTAGATGCACGTCTCCTCATATACTCCAAGACATCATTTCCCTTCACATTCCGCAGTTGATCCTCAAACTCTCCCATCGAAATGGACAAGGGTGCCTCGCTAGGCTTCCCTCTTGGGACTCGCTTGTGGGGAGGTTCCATTGCGATTCAAGGCCAACGGACGGCCCAGCAGTGTTACAGTATTAATGAACCGTGTCACCACTTTGTCACAGGGTCATTTTCAGTGTTCCGTCTCATTCACTGAAATCACTCACTATCGCAAAATGCCTCTTCAACTGCGCCGTGCTGTCCCAGAGGACATCCCTGAGATGTGCCAGATCCAATACTCAGCCTTTGGTGACACCTTTGTCGGGAGCCGTATCTGGACAGCCAACATTGAAGCCTCGAATCGCTTCTTGCAAAAGAGCTTTACGGATGATATGGCAGACCCCTTGTGTGAATTACTCGTCGTCACGCACAAGACATCCCCAGACTCAAAGGACGAAGAGGTAGTCTCACTAGCAAAATGGAGTCTTCCCGGCGCCCCAATCCAAGATCCTCCACCAGCCGAAGCATGGCCAGCAAACGGTGAGCTCGCCGTTGAGTTCTTCGGCGCCATGGCAAGAGGCCACCGCAAGCTCATGGGCGATAGACCTCATTATTACCTCGAAGTCATCTGCACCCACGAAACCTGGCAACGCAAAGGAGCAGGCAGTTTACTTCTCCGCTGGGGCATCGAGCGTGCAGACACAGATGGTCTCCCATGCTTTCTTGAAGCTACACCCAAGGGAAAGCCAGTGTACGAGAAGCTCGGATTCAAGGTAAAAGCTGAGGATGAGTTTAAGTGGTTGTGCGGAACGTTTGTGGAGACGTACATGGAGCGTGATGCAAAGATCGAGGAGCGGACAATGACGCGGCCGGGATCCAAGGAATTTGCGTAGATCTTTGTGTCACTGAATAGAGATTTGCGCGGGTTACAAACACTGGCGGATTTCTGTCTCGCTCTGGTGGGTTCCTTGCATCTTCAACTCTACGAAATGATACACAATGTGCACCTGCGAATGGATACATTATGCCTGCGGGCACGAAGAAAAAGCTCGATATATCGACTGCACGACGAGAAAAGAAATCGCCAACAGCTCAGAATGCTCATGCGGGAGTGTTGACTTTACCGTTATTCGATCGCTACGACCCTGCGGAAAGGCCGGATGTGCATATAAAGAGTGCATGATGAAAGGATGGATTTGTTGCAGATGTGGAAAGGGACCTAATGAGGGTCATGTTTGCAAGCAGGATGTTAAGCCATGGCGATGGGATTACTTTGAGTGTGGGCATGACTTCTGTAAGGATTGCAGACCGTGGAGGGGAGAACAACGAACTGGACATCATGGAGGACATTCGAGAAGAGGATCGAAGGAGATGATTCGAAAGGGACTGCATGTTATCACTGGAAGAACAGAGAGGGTTTGACGATGTTACGATGCCTACGGTCTCTGAGGGAAAGCTCCAGCAGAAGCTGCATATTGAGTAACTGATACCATGGAAGCTATCACGGACGTTTAAACTCGGCCGAGAGACCGATGGACCTGACGATCATCCCCGTAAAGGCTGCAAGAAAACCCACGAAAATTCTCGAACAAGAATGCCAAGAAATAACGGAATCTCCGGACTTTTTCTGCCTCGGCTTGGGGGATCGTGGCGCTACGTGGCTATTACATCTTATCATGACGTCGTGGGCTCCCCAATCTTTTTTTTAGTTACAAAATTCTTGAAGATCTTGCGGGTAACTGTGCACAAGACACTTGCAGCTAATTCGGTCACCGAATGGGAATAGATCAATGCTTCCAAGCCTTTGCAGGTTTTTTGTCGCGTGACTTGCCCCTTGTTTTATGATGCTGACGATGATGCTGTGAAGCCTCTTTACTCCTTTTTTGATTATTTATGTTGTTTGCTTTCCCCCTTTTTTCTTGTCGAAATTGCTGGCTCTTTCAGCGAATAGTTTGTTCATTTTCTTGCATGTGAAAGAATTGCTGCACCCTTGTCATAGCGTCCCGTCCGTGTAAACGTCACCAAAGAGTTACAGCCACAATTAGATTATTTGCGTTGTACAAGCAATCCAATCGCCGACGGACTTTCGCTGTCTTTTTTTCTTCTAAGCACGAAATTTCCATCGCTATTGATTTTGCATAACAATTATTATTTCTTCATTCTCTTCATCCTTGATTGATACACGACACGCGACACTTCATTTCTGCGCGCAGTCGCATCAACTCTCATCATGAGCGCCTCCAAAATGTCCTACCTCTCGCGCCTAAGCCCCATTCCCGCATTCCCTGAATACACAGGGCCCTACAAGGTCGGCACTGTCGATGTCGAGACTCCTATCTCTGAACTTGAGGCGCCCAGCGCTGCCCCCGAGGGTGTCGATAAGATTCATACCGTCCAGTATCGCATGTTCTACCCAGCTGTTCCCGAATCGAACGAGAAGCGCATCAGCTGGTTGCCGAACCCTCAGCGACAGCATCTAGTTGCTTACACAAAGTTCCTTGGTATTGGGCCTATGTTGGCTGAGTTTCTTTCGTAAGTGCGCCGAATCCAAATGATTCGTAAGACTTGCGCTGACAATCTGCAGATTCCTGCCTCGACATCTTCACTATACCACAATCCCAGCCCACAAGAATGCGAAACTCCTCGAATCGTCGACCGAGAATAAGCGATGGCCAACAATGATCTTTTCCCATGGCCTGGGGGGATGCCGAAACTCCTACTCTTACATCGCAGGCTCCCTTGCCTCCCACGGTATTGTCGTCATTTGCCCCGAGCATCGTGATGGCAGCGCTGTTGCAAGCTTCATTCGAGTTCCCGAAAAGCAAAATGGAACAGTCACCTCCAACGGCCGAATCCACGTTCCCTACGAGAAGATCTCACACGACGTCAGCCCCGAAGTCTACCAGGCCCGCGAAGCTCAACTCCGAATTCGATGCTGGGAGCTCGGTATGATCCATCAAGCCATGCTCGCCGTTGACAATGGCACCCAATTGACAAACCTGAACCGCTCGACCCCAAGCCTCGATCAATTCATCGGCCGATGCAATATCCACGAGCCTGGCAGCATTATCTTCGCTGGCCACAGTTTTGGAGCAGCTACAGTGACACAATTCCTCAAGAGCACATACTACGCTGATGTCCCCGAGGTTGCTGCCATGGAGAATCCTATCTTTGTCCCGGCCGAGGGCAGTGATATCCGAAAGCAGGTCACCGAGAAGACTCTCGTCATGTTGCTCGACATGTGGTGCATGCCCTTGATGGCTCCCAACTCGGCGCCTCTATTCAATCTGCCGCTACCTGCATATGCCGACAAGGCCAGCGCTCCTGGTGGAAAGGCTATTCTAGCAGTTGAATCGGAGCACTTCTTCAAGTGGACCGACCATCTTCACATGAAGGCGCGTGTTTTGAGCCCCGATCCTACTGTCAAGGTCGTTACACCTCAGCTATTCGAGCGACCTAGTGGCTACAAGATGTCAGAACCAAACTTCTTCTACGTCGTCAACTCTGCGCATCTCAACCAGTCCGACTTTGGAATCCTGTTCCCATGGTTGACGCAGAAGATCTTCAAAGCTGAACAGCCCGAGCGAGCGCTTCGTCTGAACCTCCGCGCTCAGCTCCAGATGCTTCGCGAGAACAACATACCCGTAGGTCGTACATTCGCTGGAGACCTCGTTGACGGTACTTCGTTCGATAAGCTCGACAAGTTCAACGAAGCCAACGGCGATCCCTGCAAAGATGGCATCAACAGTGATCAAGCCATCTTTGACAAGAGCGGCAACAACCCTGTCGAGTTCTGGCGATGGATCGACATCATTGGTCTTGGAGACGCTGGGGGCAAGAAGACGACTGAGAAGAAGGTCGAGGAGGGCGAGGAGGAGATGAAGGGCGAACTTGACCCTAGTGAGGAGTTGCCCGGAGCACCACCTTCTATGACCGGAGCTGTCAGTGCTGCTGCGGCGTAAAAGGATGAACAAAATGATTATGAAAGCGATTTGATCTTTGGATGGGATTATTTTGGAGATACCTCTTTTGGCGCAAGGTTAGGAAAGGCATATTGGTTTTGTAAAGATATTGGGCGCGAATACCAGCTAGACTCTTTTGTAAAGTACGAATACATCTTGGTTTATTCTTGACTTGCGTATCCCATCTCAATGACCAAAGTTGACCCATCATTCTGCCATATTCCTCCAACACCACCAAACACACACTTCATCGATACGGGATTCCACATGTGTCCTGTTATTTCATCACTTTCAACGCTAACATTTCCTCTCGGCGCACACGCAACGGTTCGACACGTTCCTTCTGTTACAGATAGGCATTGACCAGCTGGGATGTTGACATGCTGTTCTGCATCGGTGAAGTTTGACCACGCGGCTATTGCGACCGGGCAGGCGAGTCGATCGGGACCGGGTTCCTGGTTATCGTTAGTGATGTTCAAATGTCTGAGGTTGGTGATCTTACCGTGGTGCAGGCGAGTGTCTCGGGTGTGTCGCTAGATGGGGGTTTGAGATATTGAAGCGGATCAAGACCTGTTTTGTTGAGGAAGGAAGACCATGAGAATTTGTCCATGACAGTCGTAGATTCTTCGTGACGCCTCTTAATAATTTCCCTTCCATGCGATAAGGATGCTAATAAGATAATAACTGTCTTGGTGAACATTGTGAAGAGTGCCATTTGCAGGTGATGATGCTGTGTCTCAGGCCAATATCAGCAATAGAGAATGAGGTAATGAGGGTGTTTTGGCCATCCCTTACTGATTACTCAACGTTTAAAGATCAATTGGCTTGGAAGACTGTTCAAAGGGTCGTTACTGCACCTTCTAGAGCTTTAGCCCGATGCTCTCACTCACCCTAATCGAGACTCATGCTTCTTATACCTACACACAAACGCGAATACTATGTCATTATTAGACTAGATCTTGGTAGCTATGGAAACACTGCTTCTTCGCCTATCCTTCTCCAGATGAAGCATGGCAGACGTCGTACGTGATGTCTTGATGCGCTTGGTTCCGGATGCAGAGGTGGGACGGACAGGCCGCAGTTTTGTGTTCTCGATCCGGTGCTTCGCGCTTAGATACAAGGATAATAACAGTATTGTTACTTCAAAGGGTCTTTGCTTGTGAACTAAATCTTTTTTGACACTTAGAAACTCTGGGGCAGTTGAGATGCGTGATGCAACTGGGCAAAATATGCTTGGATGTGGACTTCCCTAGAGAGTTTGGATGGCTTTGTTATCTGGCTTCACTGACGTACCCGTTGGCTCGAGCCGGGGGGGGGGCCAACTAAGCAAGCTTAGTTGGGCACAAAACCGTGAGACACGCACAAAAGGGTAAGACAGATGGATCATACCAAACTTTAGGTGGAAAAGTCACGTGAGAGGGAAAATTCCTCTTATTATAGTTATTATATAAGATCTAGCCTAATTAGTAATTAATATAAAAGTCCTAAATATTCTTTATAAAAATAACTATTTAAAGCTATTTTTTTCAAGTTTATAGGATTTTTTTATAATTAATTAATTTAATTTATAATATTTTCCTTAAGAATTTTATTTTTTAAATTATATATATATACTAAGTAATATACTTTATATTTAAAGCTTATATAAAGCTTATAGAATTTATATATATTATTATATAATATATTTATATCTTTAATACTTTAAATATAATTATTAAAAAATTCTAATTAATTTATTTAATAAGAAAAAGAGCTTTTAAATTAATATTTTAAAATATATAAAGCTTAATTTTATAGCTTATATTAGCTTTAAATATATACTTTAAGCTTTATTTATATTTTATTAATATATTTATAATATATTAAAATTCTTTAAAAATTCTAACTAACTTATAAGTATATTAAAATATTATTTATTATTTTTAATTAAAACCTTATTTTAAAATATATATAAAATTATCTTTAAGGTTATTAATTAAATTTTAAATATAATTAAATAAATAAATATAAAAAATATAATATTTAATTTATAAGATATTTCTTTAATTATTAAAGAATTATTAAAAATTACTTTTTTAATATTTAAAACTAATATTTAATAGCCTATATAAGCTAATAAAATTCTAAATTAAAATTCTAATTTTTCTATAAACTTTATATTATATTAATATAATTTTTAAATGTTTTTTAGGTATTTTATTTCCTTTTTTATAGTATTTTTTAAGTTTATTATCTCTTATCTTATCAGCTTCTCCTGTCTCACCCTTTTGTGCGTGTCTCACGGTTTTGTGCCCAACTAAGCTTGCTTAGTTGGCCCCCCCCCCGGCTCGAGCCAACGGGTAGACTTCGTTTTAGAAGCGTGAGGTCATGAATCCGACTCTATCCGCTGATTTGGCGTTCAATAGCCTATCTTTGCGTATAGACAAAGTGAGACGGCACACCCAATAACCCGTTTGTGTAACCTGCACACCCGCCGGGCCGATAATTTTGTTCATGGGAAGAAAAGCCACAGCAGATTCCGTAATAATTGACCGTTCAAACTCCCATTAACCCATTCACTCTAGTCTCGCTATTCTAGGGCAATTGTGAACCACGTCCTCTACTCCCCGCTATCTCTGCTGGAGGATCAGGCCAGGGCGGAAGCGGGGGCAGCTCTGGAACACCCTTGGCTCCCCCAAGAGGAAGAATGTTGACGCCGCTTGTCTCGCCTGCAAGAAACGCAAAGTGAGAGTAAGCATCTCAAAAGCTTCCCATTCAGCCTTGAGATGCCGGCTTTTTTGCGCAGCGAAAACAATCCTTATCTTAAATCTCATAGGTATGGGATGGTTAATGAGGATGCGTCGGCGGCAGGTGATCCAAATGCTGGGTTGAATGCTGTTAGAATAGGCGTTGAAGCTCAATATAGAGCTCCGTATCATGTTGCTAAGCTAATAGAGCCGCGCATTGATGCCCTGAGGCCCTCTCAATGGACGCAAGTTCCAGCAAGCGATAACTTGCTGCGAGAACTTCTCAAGATGTACTTCTTGCATGGGTATCCCACTTTCGCCTTTTTTCACAAAGACTAGTTCTTAGACGACGTGGCAGCTGGTCGCGAGAACTTCTGTTCATCATATCTCGTCAATGCGATCCTTGCTGGAGCATGCGTACGTTGCAGTAACTTGATGTACACATTAACTGACAGCCATAGCACGCACACACCAAAGCTGCACACCATACAGAGTTAAATCAATGAGTTATCAAATTCTAAAAAGTTTGAACCACCAGTAAATTACTGGCAATAATGTTACTTGTCCTTTGTCTGTCCCTGCTCCCAAATTCCCTTGAGCATCAGGCATCTCGGCTCAATGATGTTCGCGTCCACAACCTTCAAGGCGTTGTTTGGTTCCTTACCTGAGTCAGGTCTCACACCGCCTCCAAAGACACCGATCTTGGGAATTTGTTCCCATCCAGGTCCATCCTTGGGATCTCTGATGAACTTGCCCCAAGCCTTCTGCATCTCCCTACTCAACTTCTCCTGGAACTCAGTAGCACCTTTCTCAGGAAACGTTCCAAAGAGAGTTGGAATCTCAGAAGAATGATATGCTCCACTGCCTTTGAAGATCTCAGTGTTGGCAAAGCTCGCGTTGTAGATGTATCGCCAAGTTTTGATATCTGCCTCAGCGAAGTCCTCTGCGACATAGCGAATGGGACACTGCATGCCGATCTCGGTGGCCATCCTAGTAACTTGATCGAATTCGTTGTTGATACCGGGAGATCCAATAGGGTACAAGAATTTGAGTACCGAGACTTGAAAGTCACTTATCTCAGGGGCTAAGGTTTTAAGAGCATCCTTTACGGTAATGTTCATGAACTCCGGGAGTCTTGCCTCATCTGCTGTTATGCCCAACATGACAGGAACTCGAGCCATGAGCTTTGGGTTGTCTTTGGACTTTAGGCGGATGTCACGGGGATAGTTTGATAGTGTGACTCCGTCATCGCTGAGAGGTGCGAAGTTAAGCATACCCCTTTCGACAATATCATTGAGCTTAGCGGCTGGGACCTCGCGCATGCACTTGAGGACCTTATCAAAGTCGCCTTTGTCACAACCAGCTAGTTTGGTTGCATTCTTCCAAGAGCCAGTAGGTGTGACGTTTGTTGAAGCAGAACCCGACTGCAGAATAGCTGCGCGGAAAGGGAGGGGATCCAATGGAGCCGTGATAAGGTCATCGACACTTCCTGCGCCAGCACTTTCACCAAATATGGTGACTTTGTTGGGATCTCCTCCAAAAGCTGCGATATTGTCTTGGACCCAGGTCAGGGCTAGTCTTTGGTCAAGGAAGCTGTGGCACGTCAGTATGAAAGCACAGTTGAGATGATTGATCTTGCTTCCATTGTCCCTTCGGCAAATCGTAGGTTTCAGGGAATCCAAAGATATTGGTCCTGTAATTGACAGTAACAACAACGATGTCTTCATAACCCGCCATCTTCGATCCATCATAATAAGGCAAAGATCCAGATCCATGACTGAAACTTCCTCCATGAATCCAGAAAGCAACAGGCTTTGAACCGGCCTTTGCACCCGCAGGAGTATAGATATTCAAGTTCAAGCAATCTTCACTAGTACCTGCTGGCGGTCCAGGAGTAGCAAAAATCTCAATAGTTCGATTACGTCGTTCTTCGGGATAGTTGAACTTCATTATACAAGCGGGCTTGTAGACGGTGGCATTGTAGGGAGTGTCCCATGGTTTGGCTGGTTTTGGAGGACTGAAGCGGAGGGGCTTTTCGGCGAAGGGGATGCCGAGAAATTGATTGACCTTATTATTCGAGTCGGGGATGGAGGTTGAAGTGCTGATTACGACACCGTTGTCTATAGTGGTAGTTGGAATATTGGGACTTTGGGATTGTGGAAGTGCAAGTGTTGCTCCAGCGTAGAGAGCGGCTGTAAGAAGTGTGTAAGAAACCATGATTATTACTGATGATATCAAAGCATAATGAAGATTCAGGTAGAGTCAGAGCTATTTATACAGTAACCACCTCATCTTTGACCATGTCATCGCCATGTTAAGAAGCCAAGACATGGTGGACAGCCTTGTTTCCGCTCTCAAGATCTGCAAGCAATAAATATCTAAGCTTCGCCTATTTCCAGTGGCTCAGATACAAAAGACCAATAGACTACCAATAACAAGTCAAGACTTATACCGAAACTCTGACTTTGTCAAGGCGATATTGACCTTACTTGACTTGGTAACATGCTGCGCTTTGTCTGATTGGTTAGATCTTGAGATCTAGTTCTTGGCTCTGCAGGGGTATCGCAACATGAGGCCCAAAATGGTTTAGGACAGAGCCTCAGCTCATTCTCAAGATGGGGCTGTAAGTTCACAGCCTCTGACGAAATGAAAAGCTGAGGCTGAAAGGGTTGATCCATTCTTATGATGTCAATAATTCCGCTGTATTCCTTTGGTTAGAGGAAACCGTAATTCCCTGTCTAAGCAAAAAGCAATATCATCTAGCTATCTCCTCTAAGCGTCAAGTCTTTTTATCAAGTCGACTATGATATCTTTAGCTATATAAGACAAACATTTGTTCTATTACTCTCCATCATTTTCTTTATTCTTGCCCGCCGTTTGTAATTCTTAGGAATATCAAAATCAAATCTCCCAACCCGCTCATAGTATTGACCTGACTTCCGCAACAGAATCCCTTCAGATGATACTATAGTATCAGGATCAACAACAGTCGACTCTTCAAACTCGCTCGCATCGATATTTCCGCGCCGTTTATGAAGCACATGCAGTCCAAGAAAAAGTACTTCTAGAGTTTGAAATGACTCAGGCATTAGGCTTTCTGCATCGTATTCAAAATTCACGACGTATTTGTCTTCTTTGTGTTCTGTGAAGCTGATGTGACACGAAAACACGGGTCTTTGCACTGTTGAGATAATATTGCTTTCTTTGAACGGTCTCCCAAGGTCGATTTTTAGTAACGGAGCTTCGAATCGGAGAACGCGTTTCTCAGGCGTATCAAGATTTATGGGGCTCCGGTTCCCTGGGAAGACATAGGGCTCTAAGCCCATGGTTTCTAGACTATAGTGCACTGTTGCTCAAAAGCTACGGCAGGGATAACAACCTCCAGCAACTGAGTTCTCAAGTGCTTCGAAAGAGCCGTGGTGTGGGATAGCAGCTGAAGTCTGCCATTCTTCAAAGTTCCATGGTATGCGGCGGCAAACCTTGCATCTCCATTCGACAGAGGCTTCATCATCCATGGCTAGCCCCGCGCCGCCTGGCGAAATTTTGGTGCTTCTCGAAGATCTCAAGCATGCAATTGTTAAGCTAAGGAGCGATAAAGACTAGAGATGTGGCACATGATAGTCAGCAAGCCACCATGCAAGTCGATATCCTGACGAATCAACTGGTGCTACCAAGTCTTTACTAACAGAGCACTACACCTAGACAGGAAACAGTTTCTGATTTCAGATATATATCTAGTGAATAAATATGTACATTTTAATTATTATAAATGTATTCCTTGGAGGGGTCAAACGCCTTAGTTCTCGTCCATGAGATAGACATCGCGCTCGAGAGCACGAGTGTTGAGCTTGGATTTGTTAGCCAAACTGGTCTCTCTCATGAGGATTGACTAAACTTACCACCTTGGAAGGGATATTGCGAAGATCAGTGATGCCAATCTGAGCAGCGTCGGCAAGGATCTCAGTCTTGAGAATCTGGATAAGCTTCTTGGGACCCTCAACACCATAGACGTTGGAGTACATAAAACTTGAAGAGGATCAGCAAAAGTCTCAAGCAATTAATGAAAGGCAAACTTACGGACGACCGAGACCAACAGCTTTGACTCCAAGAGCCAACAGCTTGATAACATCACTTCCATAACGGACGCCGCTGTCAGCGATAACTTCAGTCTTTTTGAAAACCTCAGGGGCGTTGCGTCGAAGCTCATAGGCGATCTCAAGAGGAGAGGGAGAGTAGTCGACTTGACGACCACCGTGGTTAGACAGCCAGATACCATCAGCGCCAGCTTCAACAGCACGGAGGGCGTCCTCAGTGGTGGTGATACCCTTGAGAATAATTGGAAGCTTGGTGTGAGACTTGATCTCCTTGAAAAGATCCCAGCTCAACACAGACGTGGCACCGTTACTACTGTCGATTAGTCAAGTTTCATACATCACGAAGGGGTACATACGCATTGGTGGTATCGTAGCGAGCAGCACGGTGACGAGTAGATGTAGCAGGAGCATCGATAGTCCAGACAAAGGCCTTGACGCCCTGGTCCTCAGCACGCTTCATAGCATCCCAAGTAACAGAGAGGTTGGCGTTGGAGTAGATTTGCTGGAAGATAGTGTTTCCACGCTTCTTGCGCTGAGCACCAATCTCCTCAATGGTCTTAGTAGCATACAGAGCAGCTACATATAGAATATCCTCGTCAGCAGCTGCATCAACAAAGTTGAGTTCACCGCGGTCGGAGTCACCATAGCCAGCACGAGCGGCAGGTGAGATGAAGATAGGAGCACTAAAATTATGACCTAGGATAGTAACGCCAAGAGTCTCGTTGAGGCCCTTCACGCTGGCAAGTTGGTGAGGTCGAAGTCTAGCCTTTTCCCAGACCTTGAGGTTGTTGCGGTAGGCCCACTCTCCCGCAGCAGCAGTGCGGTAGAAAGCATATTGCTGATCAGTCAAGACTTGGCGGGCAGCAAAGTCAAAGTCTGGGACACCACGGATATCTTTGAGCAGAGGACGGCTGCCCTCGGTCCAGTTGGTGCTGGTGAGGTAAGTGTTAAGGCCAGTGTCAGGCTCGTTGAGCCAGGGCTCATAGGCGGAGACAGCAGCCGCCAGAGAGGCAATCATAGTTGAGGTACGCATAATGAATGAATTGACCTGCCGGAGGTTATAGTAAAGATCGACTGTAGCACCTAGGCTAAGAGAACAAAGACTGACTATGATGAGTGAAGAAAGAGACAAAACACAAGAACCAAAAGAAAGAAGAAACCCGTCTGGATAAATGGAAATACCTGGACCAAGGCGTCACCGGGGCTGTATTCCGTTATGGCATGTCCTTGACTTTGCTGGTGGAGCTTCATGCCCTGAGGTTAATGAAGAGTGGGCACTGCTATGCCTTCTCGGATCTAGCCTGTGGACTCTCGTGGGGGTTGATGCCTTGATCAGATTGATAAGATCCATCAAATCAAGGAGAGCAAGAGGAAAAATTCGCCGATAATGTAGTGTTTGTCCAGAATAAGCATTTCTACGCGTTACAATCGGGGTCAAGACAATACAGGTCTACCGTTGAATATTCTATCACTAGACCCTTTAGCTTTGTCTTTTCTTGCTTGACTGCTTCTATGTTTGACGTCTCTTTCTGATGGTATCATATGTCCCAGATTGTGTCAAATTCCCAAGCCTGCTGTCTAAATGCCCGATTGAGTGCGGCGAAGAGCCTCATTAATTCTATAGATGATACAATTCACTCTCCCATGTCCCGAAACAGCCCATACTCCACTATTCATCCCATCTCAACCGCGATGAAGTGGGATGCTGAATAACCCTCACTTTAGCCTCAACTCCACGATCCAACAGTTGTGGAGTTCATCCACTTTGACAACGGCCAAGGGTCTCTAAGAGGAAAGCAGAAACTTCTCCAAGACAAAGTGGATTCTGCCATCTTAGAAAAAGACTTGTACTACTTATTGCATAGGCAATGATCGGCATATTTCTGTCTTGAGCTGAATTGTAGACTCTAGCTTGCAACATGGTAATTTTTCCGTCCCGCAAGGCGAAACTTTAAAATATTAAACTGGCATGGACGATATCCACCGGTAGGTACACCAGCATGAAATATCTACTCCTTTGAGATTGTTTGGTCGAAGTGACATTCTTGGCGCATGAGCCGATCAGCCGGAACCTTTGCCTTGGTAATGGACCTACCAAGATGAGTCTTTGCTTCTTCTGGTCATGAAACACCAGAATCTATCGGCTATTTATGCACTATGGTTCATTCTTCCTATTGGTGTGGTTTGAAATGACCGGCGAATAATTTCCCATAGGCATGATAGTAACCTTATTCTTGGCTTGTATACTAGCCGAGCTTATAAATGCTCCGACCACAAAGGGATAAAACACGCCGACTTGAGGACTTCATAGAGAAATACCCCGGAAAAACAAACGGTAGCTCTAGGCTACTCTTGATCTTTAACTCTGCTGATAACCCCTCTAGATTCCCATGTGCTGGAGTTGCAGTTAAAGAACCCATTCTTGTTTCCTTGAATATTTTAAGACCCCAACAGATGTGTTATCTGCATTTTAGATATGTGGCTGAAAGCTTATGATCACCACACATTACTTAGAACCCCAACAACCTCTTTTTTATCCCGAAGTGCCTCACATTTACATACGATGCAACTCATATTGATCACGTTAAGCGGAAGCTGAGAGCTTTCATGAGCAGACAAGTCGATAACGAAGTCCGAGTTCTAATCAGGGAACTTCCCTTTAGATTACTATTGATTGTCTGATAAAGACTATGATAACTCATCGAGATATATAGAGTCGATAACGTCTTGCTCAGCCTTCTCGCGCCATAGTTGGTATTTTTCGAGCAACCTCGTATGCTGTTTCTTTAGAGTTCTGGGGTCTTGATTTTCAAAGGCCATGCTCCATATAGCTTGAGCCTCATCCTTTGTTGTCTTTCTTGCTGAATCGATTCCTAGAAAGTCATTAGCTAACTGCACTCAAGTTGATGGAAACCTTACCAATGTGCTGTGTCTGAACTGGGTACAAAGCATATCTATCAAGCCCATTACTCGAAGCAATCTCGTCGAGCATCAAGTCTATCTGCCCCTCCCTCCTGTCCCTCAGGCTATCCATCAACAAGGGGACTTGAGATCGTGGGAAAATCATAGCCTGTGAGCAACAACCAAAAGGTTCTTTGAACACTCCAGGCGATGGCGGAAATAATGATGCTTTGCCAGACTGATATAGTAGTATTATCAATCCGGGCACAAGTATAAAGGCCGTTACGGCGAGTGTCTCCATATCGAGATACTTTCGTGAAACTCGCCAGTGTCGACGTACGAGCCATACGGAGGCTGCGATTCCTATATCAATGCCTAAAATAATCAACAATTCGTTATTGCCGCCAATGTCTCGACTCGACCAGCCTGTTGATCTCTCCTGATTGAAAAGACGCATGAACAGCCAGCGGCCAGAGTCAGATATCTCTGCTAGTCCTTGTAGAACCTTGATGAACCATCCATCAGCAAGGATTATATCGTCCTCAAACATGCCAACGTATAATGCGCCGGTATTATAACATCGTTCGAGGGCACAAGTGTAGTCGAATACCCCTTTCTCGTGATATCGTCCGTTTTCTTCGAGGTCATTCAAGTGTTTCGTTTGTGTGTCGTTGAGATCATAGGTAAAGATATCATCGGCCGCATGGTTCAGCCATTGGTGGTTCCAGCCGGGATGGCGTCTTGGATCGGTTTCTGCTATCAAGATAGATATATGGAGGTCATCTCGTTCTTGTTTCGAAAGGCCGTGTAGCATACTTCCTATTGTCGTCTGTTATCCCAATGAGCTTGAGCACAGGTGTTTCTTCGGGGTGACACTTACAGGGAGATATTGTGTCTCACGCTTCACGGAGCTCAGTGCTACGCAGAGGAGTTTGTTTCCATCTCTTGCTTTGCCCAGAGCCGGCTTTTTCGGCCCCGGATACGAGTTTATTAGCTTCTCGACTTCGGCCTTGCGGTGTTCTGAGTACTGTGTCTCGTATGCTCGTGCCTTATCGAAGAAGACACTACCAGGGTCACGGTAGAAATGAGTCTGTCCATACCAAGTCAAGCATAATAATAAAGCGATGCATGTTGCCGATTTCACGAGTAGGCTGAGCATATTGGAGAAAATGATTACTCTACAAGTTACAGTAAACCATCCCGGGGATGATCACAACTTCTATGCTATTTAAAAGCCCCACAAGTTTCGCTCCTTTTCGGTAGTAATTACATGACCAACGCGTTTGATCAAGATGATCAAAGTCTAATATTGGGTAACTACTAACATTTCGAACGCCGCGGCCAATGACGCTTTTGGAAACTGCCGATTTTCGTATAATCCTACAACGCGAAGGATCTACACTTGTTTCGAAGGATGTTTAGTTTCATATTCCAACCAATCAGAACATTGGTAGCGTTCAAAAGAAGCGAAGCAACCAGTCAGACGCGCGTCAGTGAAGATCACAACTGATGACGTTGGTGTTTTATGGCGACTAGTGCTATTCTAATTGGCACGGTATTTAGTAAATTTCCGATTCAAGACCGAAGGATCAAATCGAAGCTTCTTTCTATTCAACTGTGACTTGGAGGGTATCGTAAGGCTAGCTAAGCCACAAGTCCAAGCGGGAGGATTTCGCTGAGACCCCGGGTCGGCACTGTTTATAACAGAAGGTGATACAGTGTGTTGGTGTATGTACGAAGACCCATATTATTGTGAGCTTTGCTCGCGCCCAGAGTAACTCACGTGAAAGATCACGAGTTCCATTGTTGATTCTGATAGTGAAATGCTCTTGTCTTCCACCAAAATCTGACAAGAAACGCACATTGAGACTCTATTGTGATTCGTAGCCAAGGAAATGTTCCTTAGCATATCAGGAAATCTATTATGACTCGGCAAGCCGTATCCTCCATTACCTTGTCGAAACATAAAGTCTCATGCCATTGAAGAAAGGTTGGTATAGATTGAAAGTGCGTGAAGGGTGATGAGCTGAGATGGCGCTTCTGTTAAGCAGCATTTTGACCAAGAAGCCTTTTCGACCGTTTAAAAACTGGATGATTTTACTTCTAGTTATGAAAGAAAACAGCTGTTCAGGTGCTTATAAACTTCTGGTCAGTGAAACAAGTCATTCCGATGAGTATTCTACTCAAATCGCTTAACCTAGACCCTCAACACAAAAAACTGGCTTAAGAAATCCAAGCAGGTAACAGAGGTGGACAAGAGGACGTCGAAGGGTTTAAAGAGAGGTAAACTAAGCCAACTACACAGGTTTATTGTTCGAGTTATGAAAAACCACATACTGTTATGTCTTTTGCATCAAGTCTTTGATATACAAAGACTGATCTGACACCTCTACATAAAGCAACTTCAAGCATCGTGGCATTCTTGTTATTTATCATGCTTTAAACTGATTTGCTATGCATCGGTATTCGGTTCATAGAGCTCGCTAGTACCTCAGCCAAGCACTGAGCCCTAACTTAGAGACACCTTGAATGCTTGACACCATTTTCTCCTCGGACTGACTCATAGAAAGCAGTCAAAGAGATAACGACAAGCCGTGTCTTTACCGCCCATTTTCGTCTTCCCCAGGACGGTGGGACGGCTGAGATGTCAAGGGTTGTGATTCGGCGCCCGCGGCATCTTTTACCAAGCAGGTATCACGAACCGAAGCGGCGACTCAGCCATACATAATCCAGTGGCTTGAAACCAGTGAAACACTTCCAATAACACCACGTGTAGTGTTTTCAAGATAGTTCAGTCTAGAAGCTTCGGATGTCTCGGGACATGGTTTTCTAGACTCGTTGTCTAAACGCCAGTGAAGATAGCTGGGATGTTTCGATCTTGCGTAGCCGACCTTGCTGCGCATCCAACCCTCTGTTTGGTCCAGAAAGTATCACAAGGGATGACTAGTCTCCGTCGCTAACAGAAGGCTCGAGCATAAACTTTAAGCCACGAGGATCAAATACCTAGCTCACAATTTAGACACTGCTCCATAATGCCTCAACGATAGTCTGGAACCATTACCCCAAATCACATCACCGTCGAATCACAACACCATGACCCCAATATCAAGCTATCTCTCACCACGGACTTGTAAATCCGCGCGTTTGAGAAAGTTGGAGTCATAGCGTCTCCAATGCACAGCTAACATCTGATCACAGCCCCATAACACAAGATTAACGAAGGATTCATCTCAGCTGTATCTTAAATCAGGTGATCTGAGGACCACATTCTGGGGAGTCTGCAGCTGTGGTATGACAGACATGGTTAACACCTGGAGAAAGATTCAGATTATGGGGTTGAGATTAAGATCTCGGACTTACGGAAACATCTGAGTATCTTTATGGGGAAGATCACTCAAAACAAACATCAAAACAGCTCATTACCTTTTTCATGATAACAACTTTTCACTATCATGATGCCATTCCTCAACATTCCGAAATGATCCGAATAAAAAGCATACATGCTTATCAAGGTATGAGCGGAAGCATTCCACGTATTGGCAGGGGTATGTTTGCCACAATTTGGAGAAAAAGGTTGCCAACGCGTGGAGAAGAGCTGTATGAGTTATAATTGGGAAATGTTCTCGAAAACGCTAGAGCTGCGGGCGCTTGAGATGATAGGAGATTTTCGTTCGTGTCTCCAGTCTTGATGCATCGTCGGGGTCTTGAACTGTAGCACTTTGGACTCTGTTACATTGTGCTCCCGGTATTTTCCATGTGTTTACGGCCCTTTGTGCAATGCAATGTAATCTCTCATTGTTGAGCAAGTGCAACAGCCCCAGATACCCCGGATCTCAGTGAGAAGTCAAGATTGCATTAACCTCGGGCATTCGAAACCCCAGCTAAGCAAGCTATCGTCCCCTCAGTGGAGGTTGGAGATGTCGTACGAGCCGCCACTAGAAAGTCCAGACCTTGGGGGTCAAGAACCAATCAGTGTGATGAAGAGTGCGTCGACTTTTCTAGCCAATTACTTTGTTCGGTTAATGCTAATCGGACGTTGTGACTAAAGAAGCAGATGCAGCCTAGCCCCGCGATTCAATCCCCAACTGAGGAGGGAATCCTTGCTCACTTGGGGGAAAGACGGAGGGAAGATTGACTCAGAAGACTTGACTCGTAAAGCTTTGACATTTGTGATGTTGTCTCTTATCTCAAGGTAAGTGTAATAGCCTCCCATAATGTTTGGCGAGAGCTTGGTTAATCTTTAGCGACAAACGTGCCAGAAGATAAACACTGGTCAACGATGGATGAAGTCGGCTACAATGCGACGGATTTCCTCATCGAGAACCCGTCTCGGCGCCAAGGCGATTATTTCCCGAGTCAGCCAAGACGCACTTAGTGAGGTCATCCCGTCGAAATGATAGCCAACCAAGAAAAACAGTCGGACTGCAAAAGTGACTGGCGAAAGAGAACCATGTTACAGAAGTGCCACGGCGATCAACTTCCAGAACAATCTTAACTGAGACAGATGATGCATGTAAGCATGGACCAACGAGGGATTAAAACAACTCATCATGGGTCATCGTTACACCTCAAGTGCACCCTCAGGCCCTGTAGACTGTAAATGTAACCAAGAAACGCCGATACTCTTCACCTCCAACGCCAAGGTCACTTATCGAGATGGAGACTCGGCATGTATCTCCCCCAATTCTGCCTCCACTTGTTTCTGTTTTCTCTGTAGTAAGTTACAGCGTAAGCGGGGGCTGTGAAAAGTTCTACCCTTGCCCTGCTAGCCTGCTGGTGGTTAGGTGCTAGTTATCTCTCCCCGCAGAGTCAGTGGGTGTGATAAGCCCCATATTTCACAGTGCAAGGTAAGCTTAACAAGGAGCCTTAAATGTTATGTCAAACCCTAACGTTAAAGTGGTATAAGCGTAAATTCCGGGGTGATCGGCAGTTACACTGAGAAGCGTAGCGGTGCCGTATTGCCGAATAAGTCTGGCTCGGCCACTCCGCATGTTTGGAGGTGCCCACCTTTCTATGTATGCTACGGGGTTGTCATTTTGGTGATTAATTCCATGTGACCAATTGTGTTTCATGGTATCCAACCTTCTTTTGGTGGGTGATGGAGTGATACAGCGTCATAGGATGTAGCGAGAGGAGATATGTCATATAACGAGACACCAAAAAGCAAGACAATACAGCAAAAAAGATTGACTACGTAGTATTATTCTTGTCACATATCTTGTCTGGACTCGTTCATTCGTATAACCTGCGGATCCGTTGTCATCCTCTTTCCCCCGCATGCTCCGTACACAAACTCTCAACCTTGATCCCAGTCAACAAACCAGAATCCTTCCTCCCTCCGTTCTCACCCGGTTCAACAAATGATAATCCCTTCTTCAACCCCATACTCCTTCGCTCTGCGGGGAACAGACAAGGCCAGGGTGGTCACCTCACTTTCTGTTCACGGGCATGATCCGCTAGACGAGTACCCCAACTTCGAGACCTCCCCACGTCTACTGTAACTCTATGGTTTTGTGTTGGTGCGACATGTTGGCTGTATGTTACCATTACAATGCATGGTATGGTAGGGGACTAGTGATGCTGTAATCGGAGATAACACATTAAGCTTGTTGCTGTGATCTGCGGTCGTGGCTGTCGTTGCGCAAAAGGATATATATTCCCCCTCTTCTCCTCGTAAACTCAATTCCCCCCAACCATCATCACCTCCTCACTTCCTTTCCCTTCAAGACCTGTATAAGCATCTTTACAATGGTCCAGCAACCATCTGCAGGCGAGCCCGCTGGCCCCGTGGTCAAGGGCGTCATTCCCACAGCTAAGCAAGCTCTCGCTGATCTCTTCATCTGGAAGCAGCGCGTCGTTATCACCAACGAGCATGGCGAAGAGACCACTGAATGGCGGGACCCAGATCCCATCAAGAACCCCATCAGTCTGATGGCTCAGCTATCTGGCAAGGACTGGATCTTCTTCCTTGTAGGCTTCTGCGCCTGGACTGCTGATGCTTTCGACTTCCACGCTCTGTCAATTCAGACCAAGAAGTTGTCTATCTACTATGACACCAGCAAGACCTCCATCACCACCGCCATCACCCTCACCCTTCTCCTCCGATCTGTCGGCGCAGCCATGTTTGGTCTCGCTGGTGACAAATGGGGACGCAAGTGGCCCATGGTCTTCAACATGATCATCCTCGGTGTCCTTCAGATAGCCACCATCTACAGCACAACTTTCCAGCAATTTCTCGCTGTACGAAGTCTCTTTGGTCTTTTCATGGGCGGAGTCTACGGCAATGCTATCGCCATGGCTCTCGAGTCATGTCCGTAAGTCAAACCTACCCCAATTGAACTTCATCATGCCAAGTTTGCCAAGTTTTGGAGAATGTTTTTATTTCCGTGCTAATATCGCTCTAGCTCCAACGCTCGAGGCTTGATGTCCGGTATTCTGCAGCAGGGTTACTCTTTCGGCTACGTCTTGGCTGCATGCGCCAACCTTGGCGTTGGAGGTAGCACTGAGAGTTGGAAGACAGTTTTCTGGATTGCTGGTAAGTTGTCATTGCCAAAGCCTATCATTTCATTTTTATTAACATTAATTAGCTGGTATCTCAATTGCCGTCGGTATCGTTCGTATCTTCTTCCCCGAGTCCCAACAATTCCTTGAAGCCCGCGCCAAGGGCAAGAAGTCTTCCACTCCCGGTGCTTTCTGGGCAGACTGCAAGAAGATGCTCGTCGCTGAGTGGAAGATGTGCGTTTACTGTTGTTTCCTCATGACCTGGTTCAACTACTACTCGCACACTTCTCAAGACTCCTACACTACCTTCATGTTGGAGCAGAAGGAACTTAACAACTCTGCTGCTTCTCGTGCCTCGATTCTCATGAAGACTGGTGCTTGTGTTGGTGGTACAATCATTGGATACCTCAGCCAGTTTGTTGGTCGTCGTCGTGCCATCATCGTGTCGGCTTTCATGTCTGCCCTCATGATCCCAGCCTGGATTCTTCCCACAACCGAGAGAGGATTGAGCGCCTCTGGCTTCTTCATCCAGTTCTTCGTGCAGGGAGCCTGGGGTGTTATTCCCATTCATCTCAACGAGCTGTCACCTCCTGCCTTCCGATCTTCATTCCCTGGTGTTACTTACCAGATTGGCAACATGATCTCGTCTCCCTCAGCCCAGATCGTCAACGCCATCGCCGAAAAGACATTCGTTACACTCAAGAATGGTGACAAGGTTGAGGCTTATGGTCCTGTGATGGGTGTCGCCACTGCTATCATTGCTCTCGGTATCATGTTCACCACTATGTTTGGTCCTGAGAAGCGTGGTCGTGCCTTTGAGCACGCTGTTGCTGGTGTCCACGACGAAGACCTTCCTCAGCACCAAAAGAAGGATATCGAGACTGCTAGTGTTGAACAGGTCGAGATGGATGAGAGAAACAAGAACAAGGAGGAGGCTTAAAATGCTGTGGCTGCCCCGGGAGCAGCTAGCTTAAACATAACACTTCAAGTTTGCAGCAACACAATCTCGATAACCTAAGAACACAATCATCAATGGCATGACATAATCGCTTAACTCCTCTTAATTATTATGGCCTTTTGTAATCTCTCAATATCCTAGCAATGACGTTGTGATGCTCAGCCTCTGCAAACTCTGCTGCGTTACGGCACCTTTCCTCAATTGTGTGAGGTTCTTCGTCGTTCTCCAACAGAAGATAGACCATATCAAGTCGTCCATGTTCTGCTGCTCCTTCAAGTGCTGTCCTTCCATCAACGTCTGCAGCTTTGGCGCCGACACGAGCCCCATTCTCGAGGAGGAAAACAGCCATCCTAAGATTACCATTGATCGCTGCATATTGTAGAGCAGTTGCCCCTCTTTTGGCCGCGGGTGCTGCATTGACTGCCGCTCCATTCTCAACAAGACAAGTAACAATTTGGTGATTTCCATGTCTTGCGGCGAGCTGAAGCATTGTGGCACCGCTGTAATGGCCTGGATTTGCATCGATGGACGCGCAGTTCTCGATGAGAAATATGGCTGCCTGAGTATGATTATTCGCAACTGCAAGCCCGAGAGCTGGTGGATTATAGTAAGAGCTAGCCCCTTCGTTGACCGAGGCTCCATGTTCGACAAGATACTTGACGATCTCAATGTTGCCATGCATTGCGGCGTACTGAAGATCTGTCGTGGGATGGTAGAACGGTTTTGCGTCGATATCGGCGCCTCCGTCAATGGGGCACTTTATCAATCCCAAGTTCTTGGCCGCTCTTTGAAGTGCAATATCCCCAATTGACGAACCATTAACATCAGAACCTTCGTCAAGAAAAGATTTCACTAGCTGCACGTTATTATTGGTAATAGCCAACTGGAGTAAACTGACTCCAGTCGAAGAAGCGCTCATATTGGCACCAGCTTCGACAAGAAGCTTTACCAGTTTTGTATTGTTGTTATGAACGGCCGCTTCAAGTGCAGTAATCCCGGTCTCTGAGGCATTGACATCAGCGCCTGCTTCAATAAGAAGCTTGGTCAGCTCCATTCTGTTACTGGCGACTGCTAGTTGAAGTGCAGTCCTTCCAGTTGAAGCATTCACGTCGGCTCCAGCTGTCAGAAGTAGTTGGCATCTCTGTAGAGCATCATGATGCCAAAAGGCTCCTCGTGCGACTTGTTTAAGTGGCGTCCCCCACTTTGAAAGCTTATTGACATCTGCGCCATAGTGTATAAGTGACTGGACCGTTGAGAGCGAGACATCTTGGTCAAGAGCAAGCCCAAGCGCAGTTCGTTCGTCAAAACGGCACACCGCATTTGGATCTGCTCATTTGGACAGAAGAAGCACAGCAGCGCTCTCATTTTTTCTTTCCAGGGAAAAGAGAAGCGGTGTTTGCGTACCATCGATCAAACGATGTATGTCTGCTCCTTCTTCAGTGAGTATTTCTATATAACTGCAGTCAAATCGATATATTGCCTGCTTCAATGGCATTTCGAATGTGATATCACAACAATAGCGATTGCGATATATAGCTAGTGATTTTTGGTTTGGATTGACGCCGGCATTGATTAAACGGTATGCAATGTAATGCTTGCCTTCGTGCAGTGCTGGCCAGAGAGGTGTTGGATATCCAGGCTGGGCACAGTAGAGATTGGGCTTGACAGAACGTTGCATTAACAAGTCGAATATTCTCTGATCTCCGCTCCAAATGCATTCGCAAATCATAGAGCTGACATCTTCTTGGGGTATGCTAGATAGACCAGGGTCGAGAAACTCAACAATGTGTGTCATGCCCTTCAGGATGGCGACTTTGACGGCTGACGGGATATATTCCTTAGGCCAATGTAGCCCGAGGCGATGCCAAGACATCAAAACTGTGTCTAGAAGTTGGACTTTACCTGTAGACACCGCTTCCACGATGTAATTCGTTCCATCAACGCAATGGACACTCCCACCATGACTCCCAAGTTCTCCGAAGACATAATCCACGAGCTCAACAGAGCCAGACTTTAGAGCGGCTTGAAAAAACTGTTATCCCATTTTTCTCCGACGCAGAGGCAAAGGGGTCGCCGCCTTTGCTCAACAAAAGCTTGAGAAGGCCATAATCCCCGGATTCAGCTGCAGCTTGCATTGCTGTCCTCCCTGCATGGTCCCCAGGAGGAGCATTTATGTCTGCTCCTCTACTCAACAAGACTTCGATCAATTCTGGCTTCTTTTGTTCTCTTGTCGGTAAGTGGCATGCCAGTTGCAATGCCGTTGCAGTGGTTGGATGTCGAAAGTCGATGGTTGAGCCTGCATCTAGCAAGATTTTGGTGATTTCGTCCCCGCTCTCTTGGATTGACATCTGTAGAGGAGTCAATATTCCAGAAAATGGCAGAGTTTGATCCATCTTCTTGAACATTTCTGGCTCGAAAAATTTGTCCAGGACTACGCCGCCCTTGATGAGGCGCTTGACAATGTCGACATTGCCTTCAAGTGCTGCGAACTGGAGGGGAGTAAGCATTCGGACCGCGAGATGGTACTTGAACTCAAATTTCAGAAATTCAAGATCCGTATCCTGAAGTTCCTCAATCAATAAGTCCGAGTTGACTCCCGCTTCGATCGACGTGTTGGCCAAGCTCAAATCGTGATGATATATTCCATAGTACATCACTGAAAGTCCTCCTGCTGGTAGCAGCTCTGGGTCTGCTCCGACCTCCAACAGTCGTCTCATGAGGGTAAAATCCCCTTCTCCGACAGCCAGGACAAGCGGTTTACCAGATCCGGAGTTTGCATCTGCCCCATAGTCGATTAACATCTTTGCGATTTCTCTATCGTGACATAAATCAAGGGCGCAAATTAGAGGGCTCTCGAGTGTGTCGTCTTTGGTGCCTTCAATCTTCGCATCTGGGTCCGCCCCAAGGGTAATAAGGAGCTGGACGGCATCCCTGTTCCCCAATCTCGCTGCTTGGTAGAGCGCAGAGCGTCTGTCATATGGATCAATGCTGTCAGGGCTGACTCCAGACTCAAGTAAGAAACGCAGGAATTCCATTCCTTTGCTTCCTTCAACTCTGAGCGCCACAAATAGAAGGTGTCTTGCAAATATTTCAACAATTGGCCCCCCTATAGTAAGTAGATGCTTTATCTTGATGAGAAAGCCACTCGAGATGGCAACCTGAAGAAGCCTGTAGGTTGTCTCTTCGGTTCCCGTCAAATTGTTGGAGCAAAGAAACACCAGCGAGTTGAAAATTTGCAACCATGGTGGTTCTTGGTGTCGGAAGCTTTTCAGAGAATTATCCAACTTTGGCACCAGTTCATGAAGTCTCTGTTGCGTCATGTCAAGGTTCTTCGAAACCAGATCGGAGACGGATTTGGGTGCCTCTTGCAGTGGCAGACTTCCTGTAGCTATTTGCCCATTGTCATGGACGCCCGATGGTTATGGGTCTGTCACCTCCCAAAAACCAAGTGACCCATCTTGTTGGTTTGGGCTGAATAGTGGGCGTCGACTATTAACTGCGTTGCATCAGTAGGATGATACAGGACGGCTGGGCTAATACGAAACTCACCTAGGTTATTGAAGCTTTCTCGGAAGTTCGACCACGGGAGATCATTGATTAGAACGATCTTGGTGTTCGATGATGGCGGTGTATAAGCCACCACACCAAAGGTATTATTACTCACGACTTGATAAACTAATGGATTAGCAGGTGTCTGTATCCAAGTACGTGGCACATACAATCCTCTTCGACTTGTGAAGCATGATATCTTCTCAACTCTTTCTTGCTCTTCTTCTCTGAGATGACTTTACCACCGATGCTGAGTTCCGTCAGCTTCCCCTCTGCCTGGCGCTTTGTAACTAAAGCGCTTGCATACTACCATTTCTCTGTGGTGTTGTTCTTTTGCAGCTTCCAGTTGACATTCACTTTGCGAATGTATTGGGGCTTTCTATCCTATTATTAGACAAATTCCAGTCAATCTGCATCAATCTAATTTACGTAGCATAGAAGCCAGATTCAGTCATGATCTGGATAACCTCGTCGAGAGTCTTGTCTTGATTGACGTACAGCTCAGCTATGCGAGCCCTTTGGGCTTCCCATATAGCGGGCAGAATTCTTGATGTTTGAGGCATGTTGGTTAGATTCAGTAGATGTCTGTTATAATAAGGACGTCTTGTGAATCGTAAGTGGTACGGGTATAGGAGGAAGTTAAGGAATGGATGGGAAGGTCCGACCTTTAGATACCAACGCGGGTAAGCAATTCACCACCGGCTTTTGAGTAGTCAAGGTGCATAGGCACTTACTCGAGGCTGGCGTCTGTCCAAAATTCGCGTTCGTAGCTAGATAAATTGGTTCCTGCCCCCATTCAATCATGAGCTTCTTGGTTTCCCATCCTTTTAATTGTCTATGAACTTCATTTGACATCCATCATTGTTATACAAGTCTCTCTTGCACTCTTCACATCGGGTCCAGGTAACTTGGCATACCCATTACCTTCGACTATAAGCCTATACTCTTGGAAGATGGCCGTATCCCAAGATGTTATCGTTGCCATTGTTGGCGTGTTAGTCAACGTCCCCACTTTTTGTCTCGTCTTCTGGCACTGCTTTCGCCGAAGAACACCACCTATTTCTGGTCGATTTCAGGGTTCATTTTCCTCTCCTCTCTATTTTCTGGTAATTTACTGACAATATTTTACAGAAGAAGCCCTCCCTCTTCAATCTCCAACCTTGCAGCCTCGACTCCTCACATTCGACACCCAATACGCAGTGGCCTTTCCATGCACGATGCCTCTCATCAACGTCTCAGCACCTCGTCTTTGACACAATACCACATTCCACATTCCACATTCCACATTCTTGATTGTACAACCAGACTATGATATATTACCAAAGACATTATGCTCAACGCAACGGTCGACGAGAACAGAAGCTATTTGGCGGACTTTAGTACAACTTATATAGACAGAATACACATGTTCAGTATAACTCTACTTGACCTTCTTCAATGCAGTCTTGAATCCCATCAACTCAACACCCCCTGCCCTTCCATCCTCAGTATTGAACACCATCTCATCCAGTCCCAAAAACTCATACGCTGCTCTGTCTATCATTGCCCAACTCATACAACTCGCATCCTCCCAAAACAACAAACCCTCCTGCATCCCAATCTGATTTGCCGTGCCAATTCTAAACACCGCTCTCCACTCTGTCTTATTCCCCGCTGTGAGATCTGTGGGATACAATCGCCCAGAAAGTGAGATCTTCGGTACGCTGGGGTTGAGCATGGAGAGATAATGAAGCCAATGTGTTGAGACGTCTGTTCCGCGGACTATCCACTTTGTGATGCTCAGACCTGGGCCATCGTCGTCGACGTCGAGAACAAGAGTCGAGTTTGTGCCCTCATTTATGTATGTCCCTGCAAATGTCTTCTTTGCTTGGTCTTTACCTGCTGCTTCGAGAGCTGGCACAAGTGCCTTTGTGATTAATGAGAAGAAAACCAGAGGAAGCCCTCCTGCAATCTCGGGGCCTCCCACTAGTACACTAATCACAATGCCATAGTCTGGAATCATTGCAAAGATAGAATGATAAGTGCCCAGATCACCTCCTTTGGTGTAGACATTGAGCACCCTTTCGTCGGATGTGAGCTTGTTAGATCGCACAATCTCCCATGGGGCTCCAATGAACTGTCCTCTTCCACTCGTAAAAGTCACAGGCTTGAGCCACTTGTTTGTCTCCGTAAGATCTAGGAACTCATGCTTGAGGATAGAAGACCCAAAAGCGAGGAGGTCCTTTGTCGATGAGTAGAACGAACCAGCCCTAAGCGCATAAGCAAAGACCTCAACGTTGTAAAGGGAACTTACGGACTAAGAATACCAATCGAAGTATTCCAGAATATATCATCTGGCCCAATTGCTCCCACGGAGTCATCAGGCTTCGCATAAGTCGTACTATTCATCCCCGCAACATCAAGCACATTCTTCTGCACAAAGTCTTCGAACGAATCTCCCGAGACTCTCTCTATGACCAAGCTCATTACGAAGAACGCGATGTTTGAGTACACCGGATTACCCCAAGGCGCAGAAGTCGGAGGCCGTTTGCCAAAGTTGTCCCAAAAGTCTAGTCACATAAGTCAAGTCCACAAGCATTGATGACCACTCACCTTGAACGTCACAGGGAGGAATTCCAACCAGACCAGCACATCCTAAAACATCATGCGCAGCAGGAAGACCAAGGTCGGTCCAATTCCTAAAGCTCGTCAAATCCGTAACTACTGCCACACGTAAGTATTTCTTCTCTCACATACCTAAGGACTTACAATCGGCGGGCATGCCACCCATATGCGACGCAAGGGCCTGCAGTGATACCTTGTCCCAATCAATAGTTGTAATTGCATTATTCTCACTCTGCTGCTTATTCAACTTCCTCAATTCAGGGACATATTTCGTCACCGGGTCATGCATGCCCACTCCCTTGAGTTTGAGCGCTGCAAGGGTAGTATACGCCTTCGAGATACTACCAATGCGATAAACTGAGTCGGCATCGATCTTGCTTACGCCTCGAGGATCCAAGTTCTCTGGTGTGTGATGAAGATCTAGCAAGGGGTTGTCTTCGTAAATTGACGTGACACCAACTGATACAGCTGAGCTATGCAAAAGACTCGAATAGGCCTTGATAGTCTCTGTAATAGCTTCAATGGCATTTTTCACATTTTGATGCGAGCTTGGGGTTGTTGGCGCAGGGAGGACTGGACCGATTGGAGGACAGTGGTAGTTCTTTGCAGCGAGTACGTTGCCGGTGAGTAAAAGTAAAAGAGGCAGAGGCTGCACTTGGATCTTCATCTTGTTAGTCTCAAAGACCGAAGGGATGATTACAGGACCAATTCGCTGTTAACGGATGAGGTGAGTGAGCCTTATATAAATAAGACGGCGTGTTATCCTACCGCATGACACATAATCCCCCGCATAAATCCTGGCTCAACTGCACTCCTCGTCATTCCTTGGCCTGGCGATCATGCTCTTTATCCCACTTACCCATTTAGGCATCATCCGGCGCCAAATGATGTTGAGAGCCGCTCAGCTACACGGCAAGTGGATGTTTTATAAACAGGATCAATGAGGTGATATACAGGCGAGAGGAGGTAAGGAATAGGACCTCGATACTAAGCGGCAAAACTTCCTGTTGATTTGTGAATAGCTTTAGAATTAGCTTGGGGAGCCTTTGGCTAGCTTCAGAAATCCTCTCAAGAAACGAGCATCGCCTCCTGGGTGAAGACCTAATTATTTTTGGCCCCCAAGTAGGTCCGCGATTTAGTTGCTTGCCAGGGACAGGCAACAATCAAGTGGTTCCAAGTAATTAAACCAAGCAATAAACAAGCAAGTCATCCGCATCGCTTTTGACTACTAAAACTGGTGTTTCATGTGGTAGTGTAACTAATGCTGTCGGTTTTCTTCCTAAAGAACTACATCCACCACTAATCAATCGCCATAGCATCGAACGCTGTGTCAATGGGCGTAAAGTTGTGTGCGCCTCGTCCTCCAGTATTGCCATCGCCATTGCCAATGCCATTGCCGTTAAGATTATACTAGACCATCCGGGTCTGCAATTGGTTGTTCTCCTCCCTAAGTGTTTTCAACTGCTTCTCAAATTCCTTGTTGACCCAATCCCAGTATCCTGTCCAGGTGCTGGCGGCACCAGCATTACTAGTAGCTGCACCAGCGTTACCAGTCATGGCCTTCATCTTCTCACCTAGCAGCAAGGTAACTCTGAGAATGCTCTTGTTGGCTTCCTCTTGTTTCTCGACGTCCTGCTTCACAGCATTATCCTTCAGCTTCACCGAGAGGACAGTTCTGTAAGCCTCGGCGATTGAGTTCAAACGTCGAGTTGTCTCATCGGGGTCGATCGTGATCAGCTTGGTCACCATGAGATTGCAGAGCTGCCTAATATCATTATCGTCCTTGAGACCAGCGACGACACGATCGTAGAAGTCGATGTTATTGATGCGGCTGAATGCAGTCTCCATCAAGGCGTATAGTGTCTCATACGCGCTCTGCTACAAGTCAGTTCCTATTCACAACGAGTTCATCGTAAACGTACCTTTCGGACCTCAAGACCGTCGTCCACGGTGTGCTTGAAAGGTCCCATCATGACTTCCTTTATGAGTTCCTTCTTGATAACTGATTCTTGCAGAACAAATGGCATCAGTTCTCCTAGATGGGGGTGGATTAGGTCGGGCTTCGATCGGGCAGCTGTAGTGAGTGTAGTCATTGCCAGTCGGCGGATATCCATGTCGGAGTCTTGGAGCATTGTCAAAAGCATCTGGATGAGGACGTCTCGTAGCATCACATCCAAAACCTCGTCACTTTCGGGGAGAGTATAGCGGACAGCCTGAACAGCCATGCCTCGAATACCCAGAGACTGGTCCTTCAGGAGAGCCTATGAAGAGTTAGAACATTCAAAACGGAAGAGCGTTGGCGTGCATACCTGAAGGCGGGGAATAAAAACGGCAGGGTCGAGTGTAACAAGTCGTCCAACACATTCAGCACAAACCACCTTGTTGTCAGCATTGTCGGAAGCCTTGAGAAGCTCGTCCCAGATAGCCGGGGCATAATTGCGCAGATCAGTAGACTGTGCAGAGATTGATTGGAGGATTTCTTTGATGGACTGGATAAGGAGGTACTGGGTGTTTCCACCTTTCTGCATGGTCTTCAGGATGACAGGCAGGAATTCGGGAACATTGCCGGAACCTGCCTGGCCCAGAGCAACAGCGGCCGAGAGGGAAACCTTGTCTGGCTCCTGGTGGAATTGATCCAAGAAGAGGTCAGGCTTCAGGGTTGAACTTGTTCCAAGTCTCTTTCCAGTTTCACCTAAAACAGCCAGGGCAAGACTGACTCGAGCTTCATCGTTCGTTTTAGCACTGGTATAGAGCTCCGTGACAAAGCTATCAAGCTTGACACCAACTGAATCTCCTCCGGTGACGAGCAGAGTTCCGATAACTTTACCAACAACGGGAGGGTCGCCTGCAACGCTGACGTTTTTGAGAAGCCCCTGCATGAGTCCTTGGCCGGCCCCATTCTCTCCAATATTGCTGACTAGCACAAGAAGTTGGTCAAGAACGATTCCGGCATGGTGTTCCTTGAGCAGCTGCGAGATAGCAGCGATCATCTCATCAGTAACCACCAGCTCCGGGTGCTCAGGCACCAAGTTTGCAAGGATAATTAATGTCGGTCCAAGAAGATGCGCGTCGCTGTTAACTATGATGGGCATTAAATCGGTGACAATTCCCTGAATAGTGTCGGGCTCGAGTTGACCCTTCGTAGCGGGCGACAAGACAAGGTTACGAAGAGCAATGATGCTGGAGCCACGGAGCGACCGGTTTGCTTTTCGTAGCTGCGCGGATAGCTCCAACGCAACATCTTGAACCCATGCTTTATCCAGTTGCTCAGGGGTCCGGGCATAACGGGCAACATTCTCGACAGCGCGGACAGCAGCAAGGCGAGTAGTCTCATTCTTCAGTCTCTCTTGGAGGACGTCCAGAGCAGCCTTGACCTTGTCCTCGGAGAGAAGGGAAGATCCCTCGGAGGTTGAAGTTCGCGAAATAAGGACTCCCAATGCGTGAATGGCACGTTGGCGAACCTCGGCATCGGCATCCTGAGCAGAAGATCTGTCAATAATGACCGTATAAAGCTTTTCCAGCTCAGCCTTGTACTTGGAGGCAGCATTGCGTGACCGTGGTGGGGTAATCGTCTTGACCAACTCCTCGACGGTGCGAATAGCCTCACTCGAAATCTTATAGAAACGGTTATTGGCCGCAGATGCGACACCATCGACAATCTTCGTAAGATAAGGCTGTAGAATAGTTGATGAATGAGTCTTGGCGATGTCACTTATCACGCTAAGAGCAGTGATTCTCAACGTGCTTGGAGTCGCTGAAGAGGAGCCGGAATGTGATGCCACATGAGTTGAGACTGATACAGAACCAGTGGGCTGGATAGCCTCTATTATAGGTCCAATGACTTGATCAAAGTACTCAGCCAATCCACCGTGTTGAACTGACACTATGTCATCGAGAAGCTTGATGACTGCCTGCTTGGTAGGAATAGTCTTGCCCTTGAGTTGCTTAGTGATGGCCTTAACAATAGATGGTGTAAGGCGAGCCAAGTCAGCTCGTGGGCCACTAGGAGGGATCTTCTCCAGAACTGGTGAAACCAATCCAGATCCTGACATGAATTGGGACGCAGAACCGCCTCCGCCACTGCTCTGACGTCTTCGTTTTCGGCTGATGGGGATGCGGGTCTCGGATTCTGGCTCAAGGTCGTCTAGGGAGAGGTCTGTTGTGGGGAGTCCTTCACCAGTCTTGCGAACCAAAAGCGAAAGTGCTGAAATGATCTCAAGGCGAACATTCTCCTCTCGCTCAGAAATGCGTTTAATAAGATGAGGTGCCGTCTGGTTGTAGAGAACACCGTTCTCAAGCAGGTCACCACTACCACGTGTTGAGATAACTGTGTAGATGGTCTTTGCAGCGCATCGTCGAACCTTCCAGCTGGCGTCGTCGTCATCATCCTCAAATCCATCATCGGCATCGAATTCATCGTCCTCGTCCATTTCTTCGTCTTCCTCTTCATCCTCCATATCCTCGTCCTCGTCATCCACATTGTAGTTGGGGTCATATTTGAGGTATCGCAGGCACGCTTCTATGGTTTCATCTGTGAACGGGCGCATCTCTTGAGGGCATGAGGCCAGGAAGGCATCTAGGGCTACCAGAGCAGCTTCTCGAACTTCGTTGAAATCTTGCCCAAGATCATCTCCGTCGCTAAGAGCATCGAGATGTTCTTGAAGTTCTTCTTCGCTAAGTGCCTTGATAATCAAGGGTGCAGTACCGGCAAGATGGGGTCCAAATCGTGAAGGAATCGACCGGGCCATGCTACCGAGGATGGAGATGTATAATCTTCTGGTGACAGGACTGATTTGCTTCGTTAGACCAAGGGTAATTCGCCTGACTACTTCTTCTAAGTGCTCGTCAGACAGGTAGACAGCGAGCATAGATATAGCCACGACAGCCCTTTTTTTGACAACGGATGTGCCTTTCTCGCTTTCAAGTAGCTGAATAACAACCTCTTGCATAGCCTCAACTTCAACTTGGACAAGCATAGGTCCAAAGCATCGAACAACCTCAATCAATACGTCGACAGCTTCTGCGTTGAGGTCGCCTTCGTTTTGTAGAAGTCCTTCGGGGACAGGAGGAAGAGGAACCCTGGGGTTCTTTGGGACCTGGGTTTTAGGGCCCGGCCCAATAAGTCGAGGGATCAACACGCGGCTGATGGCACTGTATGCTTCCTGCACATCGGATGCTGGTGGAATGCCTGGGACAGGTCGAGGGAGAGCGATGATGACGTTTCGCAGTGCAAGTGAAGGGACAGCATTGTCCACAGAGTTCTTAAGCTTCAGGGACGAGAGCTTCTCGATCAAGGGAGCGATAACGGGCGTCGGAATCTTGCCCACGAATGGGCCCAGGCTGGTTGCCGTTAGCACTTCATAGATTGAATTGCCCGCTCAACATACCACTTCACTGCAAGGTTTTGCACCTCGCCATTTTGGTCGTCCAACACCTTGATGAGACTATCAACAGTGCGTGCGGCGATATTATAGTCGTGGTGCAGAAAGTCCGGTTTGGCAATATTCAGAAGTTGGAGTAAATCGTTGAGGGCCATGAATCGGAAGTCGGGATCATTATCACTGAGCTTTGTAACGTGGCCCATCACCGCCTGCGGCGTGGCATTGATCTGACCAGAAGCCATACTGAGCGAGCTTCACGATGGTGTGAGCTTGAAGGTTTCAGATCATAAGCGCGGGGTAACAGGTGGAGGGGTATTGGGAAAATTGGATGATGCAGAAGTAGAAGATGTGATCTCGGTACAATAATAGTCAAAGATAATGAACTTGACTTAACACGAATGCTATTGGGATTGGTTTGTACAAAGATTGAGAGTTGAGCTTCACTCTAGGCAGACGGAAGAAGGTCGGAGCTCTCGAAGTGTTGCCCCGCTATGACATCCGAGCTGTCACCCCAGTCGCGGGAGGGACGATCGTTGGTGGGTCGGCTTTTCTTTGATCCGTAACAGTCAAGTACTTCACAGCTACAGGGTATTCGCGTTGATCGTGAAGTTATCGCGGCCTCAATTGTTATCATGTTACAAAATGCGCTGGAGTATGACTTCAAGTCAATCTCGTGTTGCCCAGAAGAATTTGCCTCACAAACCACCCTGCTACACAACCTATGGTCAGAAGTAGTTACAATGATCCAAGCCTGATCAATGAACGTGTTTGTCTAAAACGTTTTGCTATAAGCGCAGGTACAATAGCCCCTATTTTCGAAGGCATCGCCCTTGTCGTGTCATAGGCTTGTCACCATCTTCTTTTTCCAAGGCTAGTGTCTATGACTTTTCCCCTGTCAGGTGGGATAACAAGGAATAGGGCGTTGTTATGTCGCTTTCAAATCTAGACCAATTCCTCATCTTCATCAGTTCCAGAATTTTAGTAATTCAGAGCAGAGTGCTGCTCGGATATCTGCCTACGATTCAAGGCACCGTTACAACAGCTATTCACCAGACCATTAGCAGTGATGTTCAGTTAAATTATAGCTTTGATTAAACTGGATAGGAGGGAAGGCTTACGTATAAGAAACACGCACCTGTAACTCGTCAATTCTCCACGAGCGCTCTGACTATTATCTCACAACTCTCAACTCTAACTCTTACTCGATTAGAAATATGCGCCTCTTTCTATCTTTCGTCTCCCTTCTCTCGCTTGCGACCGCTAACCCTGTGTCTCGCAGCCCCCGGAATAAAGAGGGTGAATACAGCTGGGAATGTGGCATGGTGGGTTACTTCTCAGCAATATTGGGGTATTTGTCATCTACTTACATGTTATAGAATGCTCCGTACGCTTACTACTCGGATTGCAAATACCTCCTTGGGTGGTATCAAACTATCTCCAAAACGGGCTGGTTCGGTATCGGAAAAGCCAAGAGCCTGAGCAAGTATTGGGGTAATTGCCAGATTTCTATAGAATCTGGGCCCCTCGGACACTTTGCACTTGAGATCCAGCAAGATCAATTCGTGGATGTTATTAAACAGGGGATGATGTATAGATGCCCTGACAGGTGGTCACGGATAATGGTCAAACCAGACAACAACACTTGGACAGCCTATCTAACGGAGAAGGGCTGGGACCCGGAACAGGGGTTTTAAGGAAACGACCTTTTTTATTTCGGATGGTACTGAGGTAGCCATTCAATAAACTACTTATTCTCACAAAAGCTTTTTTATTCAAGCGCTTAAGGTTTCAGTGGCTGGTTGATAGTAATATGGGCTTGACCTTGGCTATAAGTTCTTAGGCTAGCTTCAAGGGAGATGATTAGGATATCTATGTGATTTATGTCGTTTCCCAAGTGGACTTCGTTCTGCGGGTGGCTCATCAACAGCAAGGTTTCGTCAAGCCCTTGGTAAGTACAAATCGTCATTCCCTCGTTACTGCCGCATTGAGAGAGTACCAAGACTAACTCAAATCCCACCTAGCTGCCATTCACAAAGTGTACAACACATCTAATGTTACAAAATGCTCAAGAGCACGTACACATCTATTAGGGAACGGCATCATTCACTTTGAACTCCAGTGACTGGTGAGCCAGAACATTGATGTGCATCGTCTCATGCTGCGATTCACATGGTTGGTTTAGCAACTATTCACAACAAGCATCCAGTGATCAAAGATGTGGATGGGAGATACAAAGTGAATCAAATGGAAACATGGGATATAGAAAGGAGACTTTCCCTTTATGACAAGGTCAAATCTCCCATCTCAGTAAGCAGTTTCTCCTTAGCTATAATCAAACTTACTCACGAATCCACCACGTTACATTCGATCTCCAGAACACAAACTACATTCCATCTGCCATAATGCGGTTCCTATTACCATTCATGTCTCTTCTATCTCTCACAGGCGCCAACTTTCTGCGTCACAACATGCCGGGTTGGAGCCCATCCTACAATTCGAGCACATACTACTGGGGATGCGGAACGAACACCACAGCCGCTCGATCAGATTGTGAACACGCTCTTAATATGGCGATTCATGGTCCCGCATTCATTAAGATCCAGAATAATAAACTTTTGGCGTATTGGTTCAGTTCCTGCAAAGTAAGTGTGGTCACCACAGACTCTTACGACCCTGTAAGCGGCCCTATTCAAGTGGATGAGTTTCGAGATATCGCGAACTGGGGATTCGGGTCATTGTGTGATTTGGGAATGCAACGCACCTATTTCACTCCACAGAATCACACCTGGTATGCATATGTCACAGAAGCGACGTGGAACTATGGTGATAATTTTTGAGATAATGAATGCATGGGTGTTTGGTCATGAAGGAATTTGCTTCGGAACCGTCTTGGTTGTTCATAGGTTGATTGGACATCTTGGTTGCACAGATGGTTAGAAGCATCTGATTGAGAGGAGGAAAACTTGGATCCTCGATCCTAAAGGATAGAAGCACACGGGTAGGGCCCTGGCTTGAAGATAAAGTGAGGAAGCCTTCCGAATAGTTCCTGGACTTTGGGAACACCATCAAGACTAGTAGATACGGTACCTTATTCAAGCAGATAATAGAACATTTTTTAGGCACTCATTCTGAAGCTTCAGTGGAGATGTTCCCAAGTCGATCAGTCTGCAGCCTAAGTTCTATTTGTGATCTCGCAACCAAACGGATCTGGTTGTTAGTAGGAAGGTTACACAAAACGACAAAGACACAACCCAACCTCAAACGGCAGGTTTATACAATCCAACACCATCTGTGCAGTTCTATGACGAAAGCCTTGGAAGATTGTTCGCTGCTGAAAGTAGACAACGTTTGCCCAAGGCGAGCTGCTTGTCAAGGCACCTGCAAACAGTGGTAGCAACTGCTAAGTCGCCTGCTAAATGATTCACGGTCAAACACCTGACAATATAAACAACTCCCTGACTACTCCTCGTCCTTTCCCTACTGGTAACCCTAACTCTTGAAATCTTCTTCATATTCGCGCTGATCTCTCACGATGTCGGATCCTTCGAAGCCAGGCTCCTCAAAGGAGTCTTCTAACGACGCCAACGTGACCGCAGACACGAGCGACAACAAGATGTCTCCCATTGAGAAAATCCCTCTCGATGTTCTCTCCTATGCCCTCTCCTTCATTCCCGACAAAGCCTCGATCCGCGCTGTCATGCTCTCCGGTCCGAAACTCTATAACGCTTTCAAGCAACGTGAAGCCTACATTGCATCATGCATCCTCTTCAACACTATGGACGAACCCGTCTACCGGGAAGCCATTGTGACCTTCAACATGAAAATGGCAGAATGGAAGGGCCTTAAAGCTGGAATCAAGGCTATCAACCGCATCTATTCGAGCGAACAGCAACGTATCTATAGCCAGTTCCTCACGTTCGATCGGGTCAAGGAGATGTGGCGTCTTCATAAAGCTGTCGAATACTTCGCAGAACGCCTGCCTTCGTCTCTTATTCGAAAGCATCCAGTCGTCAAGCACAAAAATGCATTTTCTATCACGCCTACTGTTCGGGTGCGGTTTCAGCGTGCGCTATATCGCTTGGATGCGTGTTTGAAGATCACGGAGCTCATGATTGCCTCGCAGTTACATGATAATCACGGGGAAAACAGAGCCCCGACAGAAGGGGAGCATACGGAGGCTCACTGGGTTCATTGCCTGAAAGATCTGGAGGAACACCGTATTCTAAAGGCTTTTCACAGCCAATACTCTGCTGTGGAGGTTGAGCAGCTGACTAGCATTTGTGGCATATTGGTTACCGAGATCGCACCATGCAAGTCTTCTCATCAACAATGACTACACATGATGCTAACAGTTTCTAGCTTTCAATACCTTTCTCGAACGCGATATCGAATTGGGCACCCAGCTGCCATACTACATCACTCACCCCCTGTGCCCGGGGTCAATGAGTCTCATTGCTCAAGGCCTCCCCTTTCTGAAAGACTTTCTCACTGCGGGGTCGCGACCTCTACGAGCAAAAGTCATACGACGGATTAATCCGCCCATTGACTGGAACCCCAATCTCCCAACCCGACCCCCTTTTCCTGGCAACGACGAACAGCTCACCTGCATTGTTCACGATTACGAGGGGACGCCAGGCAAATGGGCACGGATGGACACCCCAGACTTCATGATGCGAACTCCTTTCATCAAAGATCCCGATCCTGGACCAGAATGCGCATGGCACGTCCTAAGTCGCTATGCGATTTTTCTAAACGAGTCCGAAGGAGAAGTTGCCCCTTACCAGTCCCTTCCATGGGGGTACGTCTTCTGGGACATCGATATGTTTGAAAAGGCCGAATTTACCCACATCAGGATGGAGCATCACAATGAATTCGGGTTCACCCTCGACGCAAGTCATCCTATCCACGATTCCTGGCACCCCCTAGCTAAATGGAGTTCCAATATGGCTACTGACCGATTGCTCATGTCCAGCCAGGAGAAGGTCTACCTCAAGAACCGAGGTGAAACAGGATACTTCAATTTTGACTCCTGGATTCTTGGGACTGAGGCGCATTTGTTCCAGGAGTTGAACAACATGCCACGTGAGGTGCTGGCGGAGGCCATGCGTGATATGGCCACGCCTGAACTACTGCAGCAGTTTTTCCAAACCATGGAGGCTCAGCACCCTGAGATTGTTCAGATGGCTATCGATTTGCAGACAGTCGGGGTTGCGAATGCTTGGGTGGCAGGCACTCAGACTGAACCTACAGTTCCTGAGGACGAGAATGAGGATGATGCAAACTGAGGATTCCAAGATACTAGAGTATTGCATAGTGTTTGAGGACTGGAAGACACGTCATCTTTCAGACAGACAGGCTCCGAGTTGTACTCCTCAGAGTGTCACCAAGTGTCTTTGGGGAATATTCCTTCACTGCAATTCGACATAAATTCGGTTTTGGGGTTGGCCAACATCAAGTTACCAGATCGATGGTCTCAAAACGATCCTATTTGAAACTGTTTAAGGGATCTCGGATATATAAGACTAGCTCAGCCATGTATCACAAGGTCGCTACGAAAGGCATCTGAGACTGGGGGAGTTACCAAGATCGTTATGGACAGCTAGAGCGTTCAAGGAATTGTGCCTCTTAGATGATCAAAGATAACCTATCTAGTTCTTTAACCGCCTCTCTTCCCGTGGGCGCGTAGGTGTAGAGTCTAAAATCTTCAATACCAGATCCCCTCCTAAGGTCCCCAGGTATCCCACATGTCATCTACGCCAATGGCACCCTCTACATATGCATCTATATCACCTCTTCCCATTGAGAACCAAAACGAATCATCGTCACCATCTTCATCTTCATCAGATCCCGAATCATCTTCCCACTCCTCTTCTCCAACAAGTTCCCAAACAGCTTTATCTTCACCTTCCATGTCTTCTCTCTTGAATTTGTAGTGGTCCCAGTCAATCTCCTGCAGGTTCGGTACGATCATGGACTTTTTATTCCAGAATTGGTTGAGCCCCGCGATGAGGTTGTCCTTGGATGTCGTCTTTGCAGGGGCGTTTGGCTGAAGTTCCCGGACCTTTAGGTATTTGAGTCTCGAATGTGTGACGCCAGTGTCTAAAGTCGATGTGGGTAGGGGATGGCCTGTCAGGCATAAGCGCTCAGGTGACCCAATGGCGTGTAGGAAAGCCTTCAAAGTGAGTGAACCTTCTTCCATGCGTTGTCTGTGAAAGACGAAAGTGACATCGAGTAGGTTGAGGTTAGGAAATGCTTTGAACTGGTCCTTATAATTATCGAGATTCTTGTCACCCAGGAGCATTGTCGACGCCAATTCGAAACCTGGTGGGAATGAAGTCAAGCTCTCTGGTCGCTCTGAGCCAGCTACACAACGGATGTAGAGTTCCCTGACTGGCCGGTTCTCTTTGAAGCTTCCATTAAAAAGCATCAAAACAAATTCCATGTCCAGGTCGATATCGTTGAGATGTAGGCTGTACAGGTTCTCCCACAAGTTGATGTGCGGAGTGAAAAACTGTGCTTGCTTGCTCTCCTCAAACTCTGCCTTTTCGGTGCTGAGCTTCTGTAGCTTGGGCATGAGAGGAAGACCGCAATGTACCGCTTCGCACATAATGTGATCCAGTATGAAGGCCTTTGGGTTGTTGTTGCAATCTCTCCAGATGAACGTGGTGACGTTTGGCGACAAGAAGAGAATAGACGCAAACAGCAGTTCCAGAATACCATCGTGCTTGAAATCGGGAGAAAACATGAATCGTTGCTTTGTTCGTTCCAACATACAAGCCGACCAGGCGAGTTTATGAAGACCGGCACCATCCAAAAGACGCATCAGAGCCGGCTTGTCAGAAGGACATCGCTTTGACCAAATCTTCTTGCAATCGGGCATTTCAAGTTTCCTAACCCGGGGTCCCACCAAAGGAGCATAACAAAGAATGTACTGAACGTGCTGACGAAGCTCGGGTCTTTGAACGAGAGTTATGAATGTGTTTGTGACATCCTGGGGGCTTGTCAAGATGAGATTCCGATAGAGCAAGGGTTCCAAGACATCCCTGGTGGCTTTGGAGGTATACGTCAGTTTGTACAGAGGAGCTGAGGCTTTGTCCATGCAGCAGTCGCACGAACTGTTGGTGTCTATTTGGTGCTCATGCTCAGTAATATACTCGGAAGCTAGAAGAGATCCGATGTGATAGAGGATGTCGAGGGGCAGTCTTGGTGTTATTAAAGTTTGTGGCTCGCCTGAAGTCTCCATGATGAGCGGTTGGAAAAAGTGGCCTTCGGAGCCAGCAGATAATGGAAATTGCAAGATTAAAGCTTAGAGAGCGGACTGTGAAAGCAAAGCCGACACGTTTAGAATGATGATGCAGAAGCAAAGATATTTCGACCAGTCACACATGGTGGTGTGGCTGTAACACATTAGTGACTTAGTAAAAAGGCCGACGAAACCAGCTAAAAGGATAGGAGAACCTCGTTCGAAAGCCGATAGGGCGGAAAGCGCAAAATTTCTTCGAATACAGCTTTAATTCAGCTTTGTTTAAATGATATCACCTAAATTCAAGCCTCCTAGATCTCATTAAGCCATGAAGATTGATCAACTGCCGCACTGAATTCAACTGCCAGAGCTCTCAAATCGGCCCCACACCCCGCCATCCGTCCCGCTGTGGAACCAACCGACACTCAACATCAACAAACAAATCATTCAAGATACCTTCACAACCTTCAAAATGGTAACTTTCCCTAGCTCCAAACCCTTTTTGCCTAGCTAAAATTCTCAGAACAAAGACTCATCCTTCACGTTCGTTCACATGCACCGCTCCCGCGACGCAGACCTCTTCGAGGACTTCTGCAAGGACAAACTCCCCGATGACGAGATCTACGTTCCGCCCGTCCACCAACCTATCAACCCGGAAGACGAAGACGATGTTGTTCCTGATCAGCATGCTGCGTTTGGAATTCAGCGCGCTACGCAGAAGTCAAAGGAGCCTGCTTGGAAAGACCTGGGACTTTCAGATCTGATGAACAAGGGTCCTAGTATTGGAACTGGTGGAAAACCAAAGGGCTCTGGAAGTGCTCTGCCACGATGAGTTGGCTACACATGGTTAATCTTGAGCAAGGCGTTGGGCGTAGCATGACTATAGAGAAACAGTATGGCAGAATGGTTCAATATTAAATGAGGCATGATATCACATCGCCAAAGACACAATTCGTCTCTATCAAACCCAACCCATCATAAAAACTCCAAAACTCCATCCCTACCAACTAATTCTTCCCCAAGAATCCCTCCCTCTCCAAAACCTCCGGTCTGAACTTAACAAGGAAGACCGTCTTGCCAGGCCACATATCACCCTCCGCAACCGTATGCGCCGTAACTCTCGCTGGGAAATCAGCGCCGTCGCAGACACCTTCTACAATACCGGCTACGTACGCAGCGCAGTTAAGCTGGCTCATTTCTTTGGGCACGCTGATATATTGGTTGACGAGGGGCTCGTTGTCGATGATCATGTATTCATCTGGTGTTTCGGGGTTGGCAGATTTTTCGAGTCGGTCTGCTTGACGGCCGAAGAGGTGCTGCCAGATATTTTGCTTTATAAAGTGGAGGAGGGCGATGATGCCTAGCGGTCGAGTCTGTGTACGCGCTGGTTCGCGGAAGAGGAGAAGGTCGAGGAGTTTTAGACCGATGGAGTGGCCTTGAAGATTAAGTCTGCGCATGATTAGCCCCCGCGCTTTATAAAGAGGGAGGATTGAACGTACCGCTGTTCAAGCTCCTGAATGCCCTTGACCCTTCTCTGCGCATACGTCACCATCTCGCCAAACAGATACGCAAAGCTCGCCTGGCTAAGCTCAGCCGTCTTGGTCCTATTCAACGGGCGACTGTAGATATTCTTCCCATTGCTGGGATATCGCAGGCCAGGGTCTTTGTTGCCGCTTGGTGTAGGCGTTGGCGCCACGGTGTTGGGGGGTTGGAGGTTGCTCATGATGGGCTGTGAGGCTGTCGCTGGAGCATTTCGCAGCTTCTGAATTGCTTTGAAGGGGTTCGTATAAGCTCGTAGGCGGGAGAGATCTGGCGTGGTTGTCGTGCTTGGAGATTCGTTGTCGCACGTGTAAACGTGGGCTTGTCTGGAGGGTAAGGTAGAGGGAGGTGACATATGTGGAGACCTGAGCTGCTGACCGAGCTACACCGAGAGTTCACCTTAATAAGTCAATTATCACAATTGCACTGAAGAAGCATCCATCAACATCTACAAGGGCGAGAATCTTAATTAAAGAGAGTTAGGCATGGGCTCATGAATTATTAATTATGCTCTAAGACTATGTGATCCGTCATCAAATTATAGCAAAAAGTAAAGTCCAGCAATTATCATCCTCATCCAACCCCAACATCCCCTCCCCAATGTACGTCTCTGAGTCCTTAGACTACTGGACAGTCACAACCTTGGATTTGAGCTCCTTCTGCTTAACAGTAGCCTCAATCCAAACAGAAGCATCCTCAAGCGCCTTTCGAGGACTCTTCTTGCGCTTGAGCAAGAATCCCTGAATCTCCGCAGGCGAGAACATACCCTCTGGGATAAGTTGTCCAAACTCCTGCGAGGTCGTCTTGAGTTCATCAATCGACAGAGTCGTCTCTTTGCCCTTGTTATCCACGAGACTGTGAATACTGCCATTCTGTGCCTTCGGCGCAATAGGTTTGGTCTTGGACATGGGAACCGGCTTTGTACGTGACATCTCGTACATTCGGTAAAAGAGCTCTGATGCCTGCGCGCTGGTTGCGTTCTTGAACCCAACCTGAACATCGACTCGTCCTGGTCGTATGAGAGCCTCGTCGAGTGACTCGGGCTTGTTGGTTGTCATGATGAGGATGCGACCTTCATGCGAAGCAACACCGTCGATGGCGTTGAGAAGTCCAGAAAGTGAAATACTTTCCACAGTCAAGATGTTATTAGTACCCCTGTTGCTAGTATTCTCTCTGTCTCTTCTGTTTCGTCTCCGCTTTCTGCGTCTCTTTCTGTCCTCCTCAGAGCTGTCTGTATCGCTGCTGGAGGATTCTTTTGCCTTTTTGGATTTCTTCTTTTCTTTCTTTTCCAGTTTTTCTGTCTTTTTGGCCTTGGCCTCACCGGTCTTTTCTCCAGTACCGTCTTCATTCTCTTCCTCGTCTTCTTCATCGTTGGGACGACGAAGACCAGCGGTGTCGATGTCTTCTAAAAGAACAACACAACGACGAGGAAGTCTCGTGAACAAGACGGCCAGATCCTCTTCGCTGACAGTAGGGTCTTGAAGGCTTATGACATAGATATCGATGCCAAAAACACCAGCCAATGCAAACGAGAAACTTGTCTTGCCGGTACCAGGTGGTCCGTGGAAGAGGTAGCCTCGACGAAGAGGAATGCCTCGAGAAGCATACCACTTGGGAGTTCCGGGGTGCAAATACTCATTGATGTCTCGCAATACGTCGTGCTTCTCTTCATGCTCGAGAATCACAGTTCTCATTGGTCTGATGGGTCTTCGAGCAACTTGCTGCCACATGCTCCATGCATCGCGACGGCTTTCTTTTATTCTAGGGCGATAGATAGTGGTCTTGTGGCGAGTATCGAGGAAATAGGCTGTTTTGGCATCCGCTAGAAGTTGCTTAATAGGGTCTACAAATCGTCAGATAAGTATTGATTCAGAATCAGTGGCGTCAGCTTACCAATAGACCTGCCGAAGCAAGATACTCTGAGCTCCTCAACATCCTTGGTCCCTCCCCAACCGTTGGTGCTTTGCAGAGATTCTCTTTTGCGGTTGACTCGAAAGTACGTCCTATTGTGCCAGAACCCTGTCGTACCCATAGCTGGGACATATCGTGGGTTCTAAGGGGTGTTAGCGAATGCAAAAGGCACGAGTATGATAACTTACACATCTAGCTGCGTCGCTGGCAAAGTTGAGATACTTGGGCGAATCTTCACCATCTTCGACCGTGTTTGTGGCCAAAACATCTGCTGAATCCTCCTCCTCATCCCAAGCACTCTTAAAAACAGTCTGTGCAGTAAGATGACGATTAGTCGCAATGTCCTGCTGCTCTGACAGGAACTGCATGAGCGTAGAATAGATCTGATCATTCTCGCTAACGAATATGGTACACCTGAAATAGGTGTGAAGGAAGCCATCGATCGTTGCATATACTTGATCGAAGAGTTTAGACAAGCCCCAGAGACAACCGAGGAGGGTGAGGAGGAGAGATGGGTCAAGACCCAGCTGAGCGCCCACGAAGCGGTAGACGAATAGGAAGAGCTGGAGTAGAGGCGATGCTTGGCCTGCGGATACAAGAAAAGTGTCCATTATTCCAGGGAATGGTGAAGAAGCGTTTAGTGGTTGGGCAGTGCTGTTCATGGCTTGGAGAAAAGGAGGCCAGCCCATCTTGGTCATCTTCGTGATGTCCATAATGTATGAATGAGTGAAGCTGTTCAGGCCGTGATAAGGCAGGTTTAGATGGTGTCAGGTTTGCAGAAGTTCAGTTTCTCCTGTTGGCGAAGATGTTTACGCGGATGCAAGTGAGCAACTGATCCAATCGAGGCCCTTTCTTGCTCCGACAAGTTAGATGCAAGACTGCGCTGGCAGGGTCACACAACTTCTTCCTCGGGGCCTCTTTTTATACCTGAAGTGAAGAAGACAAGAAGAACATATTACCTGACCCTTGGGTCCGGCCTAGCTTTTGGTTGGTGTTGGCTGGAGATGTTGTTGCTGTTGCTGCAGATGAAGATCAGGCTGTGATCAAGAGAAGCTCGAGAACGCCTTGTTATGCACTTTGGGCGCGTAGGATATGCAGCTCAAATCCATCAAAGCAACCCTGTATATATATGGATGATAATGTAGGTTGGTTTCCTCCTGGTCAAATCCTTTAGGAAGTGGTTAGGTCATGTTGGGTCATGTTACCAAACAAAAAAGCACACTTGTTTTCTTTTGCCCTACGTACATGACAATTAGTTTACGCACTTCCCATACGTACACACATAATCTGCCTGGAATTTAGGCTCTACAAAGCTGCTTATATCTTGTTTTCGTGAATACATGCACGGGATTTGATTCACTTTAAAATAGACTCTGGCACTTTGTGTAACAATCGAGTACTTTCCCGTACCAAACCATAGCCAAGTATGAGTCAAACAAGGTCTTGGCTATAGCAATAAGCAAATGAAAGCGATTTCACTCTAAATGTGGGGGGTTTTGCCTGTTCCGATATTTTTGTTGTGCATGAATTGCGTAGTCGCTCATTGCCTATCTTCACAGAGTGTGTGAGTGCCAATTCGTGTGAGTGGTTGGTTTTTTCATTTTGAGGCACCGCATACAAGAGAGGCAAAACCAACAGGCAGCATAACACACTACGAAGGATGGAGGTTGTTTTGGGCTGCTTTTTAGGTCAGATTTTTCTTGTTTTTGTTTGGATCTTCTGTTTGCTGTAAACAAAAACTTGTCAGCCTTTGTCAAAATTGGGGAGAGTTCACTCCGAATACGACGACTTACATGCTATTCAGCCTTGTGTCATGCATCTATATCCTGGACCTGCAGCATGAGAAGAGGGGTTTGAAAGGAATCGGCATAAGCTGGAGTGATCAAATGACCTCGGGTTTTCCTATTGTGTCCTTGCATGCTGCCAAGCTTGTTCAATCTGGAATGGATATCGTGAAGCGTTGCGCCCGAATAAGCTTGAGTGCGGCTCTATTGCACTTTGTGAACTATCATATCATTAGGACTTGGTTACATCTGGCCTTATGCCAGTTACATATGAACAAAACTGGTAAACATGTTCGGAGAATTCTTTTCGAATTGATTGGCGCACGAGACTCAGCCATAGTAGACAAGAACACTTGTGGATATCGATGCAAGTGCACCGATACATTAAGTGCTCTGCGAAGTATTACGCAGTGATGCAAGACGTCAAATAGAGTGAAGAAGTGAACATGACTGATCAAGACCAATCAACCATGATACAGAAGGATATTCACTATCAACGCCATGCCAAACATCAGAGAACCATTCGAGCATTGTTGTCCTCCGTCTGATTTCAAGTCTTCTGCTAAACAACTGGAGGTAAATACGAGAAATGTCTATAATGTGCCGACTATGCGAGCAGGCGTCCTCAGAACTGTATAAACCGGTTGATCCCCACGATAGCCTGCTCTAGTTCAGATGAGGCTCAACGCCACTCCGCCCTAGCACATAGGCACACGCTCAACCGTCTATCATCTCACTCAAAACACGCGTGATATCACCGTGCACCTATGCCGCAACAGGCTGCTCCTCCAGCTTAGTCTCTGCCAACTTCTCCTGCACATCCTTAACACCAGTATCTTCACCAAACTTGAATCCCTTGACACTAACATCCGTTCCACCCGCGAGGTAATCCTCGCTCTCGCCAATCTCCTTTCCAGCTGCCTCCCACCGTCGGTACTTGTCGTCACGCTTCTGGCGGCACAACTCGTTCAGCGCTGGCCAGTACGTCTCGTGGTCATACTCAAAGTCCATATCACCGCCCCAGTCGAGGCTCCACAGCTGCTCAGGAGGAACGTACTGCTTCATGTCTTCGTTGAACTTGAGCTTCTCGCGCGTCACTGGGTCGATGAACGGGGTGATGATTTTGAAGAAGCCCCATACGATCCATGGTACTAATAATGTCAGTCTTGTGCTTTGTTACAAGAAATACACAGTACTCACCGTTGATGATGAGAGCCTTGCCTAGTCTCTCAGGATAGTGGTTCTGCAGAATATGCAACACCTCTCGCGCAACAGACACGGGCACACTCGTGTTCTTGCGCTCTTTGCTGGGCTTGAAATTAATCATGAGGCTCAGCATCTCCACCCCAGGCGGCATAAGATCCGTCACCCGCTCGACCATGTAGAACAAGTGATGCAGCTGTCGGGGACTAGTATCCGTGTTTTGTCGCGCCGGGTTAAGATACTGACACGGACGACCCTGACGATCATATCCAATGATCATCTGCTTTCCAGTCTCTTGCTCAGGAGAAATGTACTCAGGCGTGAAACCCTCAAGACCGTACTCCCGACGCCATGCGAGAGTTGCCTTGAGCCGCTTGGCAGAGTCATCGACGGACCACTTTGTAGCGCGGAGATAACGAAGGAGACACTCGCGGGTGAGCCATGAGCGCTCGTGATCAGTGATAGGGCCTGACTTGTCCTCCTCGTCGGCTTTCTTCTCGCATTGGATCTCGGTGATGCCCTTGACTTGCTCTAGCAGAGCCTCATACTTTGTCTTTTGCTCGTCTGTCAATTCTGGCCTTGGGAGAGGTTTGCTGTTGGGTCCTGGGCTGGCAATAGGTGTCTTTCGAGGACCAGCCGTGTTTTCTGTTGAGCTCGCCATTTTCAGAACTTTTCTTGAGGTCGAGCTTTGAAAGGGTGAAAGAGATAAGTTGAGTCTCACCGCTCGATCAACCTGAGTAATTAGTCAAGGCTGACGAGTCTATGATGAGCAAATCCGCCAAAAGATGTCGGTAGAGACTATAATTCAAGCCTCTTATCGGTCTTTTCTCACTAATAAGACCAATTGAAACGAAATTCAAGAAAGAACTCAAAGTCAATCTCTCACCTCAACTCAGGAGAAGATGAATTGATGGCTTTATCCATTCACGAATTAGGTGACTTGGCAACGGGCTCAACAAGGAGCCGCACACGAGCCAGCCAATCACCGCCCAATCCTACATCGAATTAACCTCCGGGACCGGCATCCGCTTGCTGCAATTACAGGGGCCTCTCAGTAATTTTCAGGGGACTTCGGATGATGCGGGGCGCCTATCCTCCATCTATCGTGCGAAGTTGGCCTTGAGACAAATGCAGGCTGACATGCATTTTGATGTATGCAGCCGTTCCAAAGTTCGTAATCGTATTCTTTATACCAACATTTCACCGTTATCTTGTGTTGGTTGGGTATTTCGTATCCAACAACCAACAAACATTATAACTGCCAAAGTGATATGTAGACTGCTTATAAGCGAGTTACCCTATGCTTTCTCAATATCGGGATGATAATGATGCATTATGGCATGATCAATCTCGCTTTAACGTGAATTGACTTTACAAACTCGATAGAGCTTCCGAAATGTAGATTTGAGATAACCGAACAAGGGCAGCTCACCGCTAAAACTAATCATGTCTGCTAAACTCCAAGCATGTTGAATTAACAGCCAACATTTAATTTCACATACTAGATCGCCCAACACTTCAATGGCTTATATTTTCCCTTGTCTCATCTTTCGTCATCACCTCTTCCCAGTATCTCCTCCTCCTTGGGTGACCAAACGTCTATCATAAATGTCCACAATCCTCTCATGTGTCCATGTCAATGTCTAAAGTACCTATCAACAAAGACAAGAAATGTAGTAAAAACAACTAGTCTATCGCCTGCACACGCCCTTATCCGTGATACTCACTATCACATCCGCATTCCTTTAGAAATCTCCCCAACCTGCTTTTTACTCCGATAAATCATCAATCCAACTCGTTCATGCGCCTCTCATGTCTTTTCTGTGCTGTGTTTTTAGGAATCAGGACGACTCTGCCGTCTGGGTATTGAGTAGATAACTAAGCACGAACGGGACTGCGGTTGTCACGTCTCGCTGACTTCTCTCGAATAAGCCTCTTGCTTGTCTCTTCGTCGAATCCGCAGATATCTCTCAAGAATAAAAGCCTGTTTCCATGTTAGTTCAGCACCGTTGATGAAGCACGTTCAAACTCACTTGTCTTCGGACGTTTCTTTCTCCCGCATATCTTCGAAGCTCTGTTGACTTTCCATCCAAGCCGTTGCTCGACCTCTTGGATCGACCTTCTTGACCCAAAGGTTGAATGTTCCAGTTACAGGACGGTGATCACTCACTCGTACCTCATGTCGTCTGTAGTCAAATTGTTCAACACGGCCTCGTCCTCTGTACAGTAGTCGATCACACCAGGCAGGGCTTCGTCTCTTCTCGCTGGTGTCGTAGTTATCAGTGCCAACATCGTACTTGTAAGTTGGCGCAAATGTGATTGGCATTTCTTCAAAGGCTCGAAGCTTGAATGCTGGATTTCGTCTTCGTGCCACCAAAAGCTGGTCTCGTTCGAGGAGTTTGCCCAGATTGTTCTGTTTGACAGCCGTGACAACAGTATCACGAGACATGGTATCAATTCGGTAGTTCAAGTCGCCATTGAGAATACACAGCTCATGGTCCATGATCAGACTGCCATCACCGCCACCAACGAAGCTGTCAATACGAGCAGCAGAATCTCGTTCAACAGCGAACAGATTAGCTTCAAGAATGGCAGCAATGTCATTGTGTCGAGCGTTCGCTTGTGACTGCCCGGCAGCCAAATGGCAATTGACGAGGCAGATGGAAGTATCATCAACTCGGAAGCGTACGGCAACACAGCCCTTGTTACCGTGCAAACCACCCATG